CCGACTAAACCCATTTCAATGAGTTTGTTGTATCCTTCCTCGTTCGTCATGAGTGCGTCAATGTTCTCATAGTAAACCTTCACTTTGGATTTGACCTCGGAGAAGAATTTGTTGTAGTTGTCAAGGACTGCCTTTGCGAACTGAGGGTAGGACCAATGTTCGACAATAGGTTTTACTGTGGTTACTAAGCCACCTTGACCTTGAGTAAATTCGTATTTCAAAACAAAAGGGGAGAACCTTTCAACAAAGTTGTCGACCTTCTCATAGTGTTTACTCTTCATCTTTTGAGGTTTCTTAATGGAATATCCCCATGTCGAATTCATAAGCAATTTGATTGTCATTGCAAGTTTGGGGTTTGAAGCTTTCCTAATATCATAGAGTTGTTGTATGACTTTTCCAACTGTATAGTTCCTTCCCGGGAACTCACCGTCTTCGTTTGGAATTCCAGTCGGGATATATTGGACGAACCTCATGTACGCAGCGTTAAGGTCGACATAGTATATTTTTTCGTATGAGTCGAACTTGTCGCATCCAATGGGTCCAGTTCGTGGAAATTCAAGTGAGTCTCTTATCTTCTGAGAAACCTCGCCTGTTATCTCATAAACATCGTCAAAGCAACCTGTTTCATATAAAACCTTCTGACCTAACTCAGATGCTCTCCAATACAATTTGACGTCAATTGGATGTCTCAATGGAAGTTTGTTTATAGCATCTTGAAGTTCTTGCAACCTCATTGGAAGTTCTTCTGGTTCAGGTTGGTATCCGAACAAACCAACTCCTTTTGGAACTGTGTACTTCTTTTGTGCTATAACTTTGTCTGGAACAACTTTTGGTCTTACCAACAATGAAAAGTTTGTTTCGTCTTTTGGTACAAAAGTTTCTGTCAGCTTGTCATCTGGAATTGGTTCCAATAAGCCTTTCTCGAAAAGAATGTTAACAGCTCTGACAATGTTGCACTTACCTTTTCCGAACAATGGGTTTGTAAGACTTTCGTTCAACATGAAGTGGTTGTGGACAAGTACAATCTTCAACCATGGCAATTTGAAGTCAACAACATAGTCGTCATGTGAAGAACCTTTCTCAGTCGGAATGTTAACGCGGATATTGACATTTGCCAACGGTGCAATTTTAGCCAATTGACCTCTGAGAATGTACCTTGTCTTCACACATGACTCAAGATACTTCATTTTCTCATCTGTAACAAGACCAGAGTTCCTGAGACATGTAAGAATGCAAGGTTCATTGACAATTGTTTCAATTGAATTGTAAATTCCATACCTTGTCAAGTCAATGTCAGACTTATTTCTGAACGGGAAATACCCAGCATGTTGTCTGACTGCTTGAGGGTTAGGTTGGTACCATTCGAACTTGACACTTGCAATTCCTTCAATTGCATTCAAAATGTCTGAGTCGGAGTCAACCATTTGTTCTCTCTTTGTAGTCTTGAAAGCGTCAAGAAGTTGTGCAGCTGTTGTGACATTGCCATGTGCATAGTAGATATGACCATCCAAATCTGTTACGGTTAGTCTGAGATTGTATCCTTTCTTATTTCCGTCTTGTATGGCAGCAAGTACACCCATGAAGCCTTCTTTGTTCTTTCCTTCGTCAAAGTTTACTGTAAAGGTTCGACCAGATGTAATTTTACTTCTAACTTCACGATACTTCTCATATGCATATCTTGTTCTTTCCATGGGAGCATGTGCGTCTTCACCTTTTCCTTTTTTCCTTCTCAAAGGATTCAATTGTTCGTCATGTTTCCAGTAGAATCTGGCAAAGCCGTCGTGTCCTTCAACTTGAGGTTCACTAACATCGAAAGGCATGTCCATAAGACGTTCTTCTTCTAACCTCTCTAGTCTGTTTGGATAATTTGCACGTGCTGTTTCTAAGTCCATTTCATAGCGAAGACCAGACAGTTTGTCATAGACTTTTATGGGTCTTCCCTTCCTATATTTAAACTTCTTTGAAACTCTCCAACCATATCTTTCTAACTCTGCTTTTATTCTAGCAGATTTTCTATCCGTTCTATATGGGGGCATTTTTATAAAAATAAAAAAATGTTTTTTTCTTTACTTTACATAACCACCGGCTGCTATAAGTCTTTGACGCCAACCCATACCAGCTAATGAAGGTTGACTTGGTTTAGTATTGAAACTAACCTTTGGTTTTGGTTTATCTTCAGTTTTTGGTTTTTCTTCTTCTATTGGTTTTTCGTCACTTTTTGGTTCCTCTGACCTTACCTCACTTGCTGGAACAGTTGTGTCGTCAACATCTTCATAAATATCATATGCCATTTGTTTTTGTTTTCCTTTCAACTTTTTGTGTTTGTTGTAAAGTTTAGAATATTTCGACTCTAAGTCAATGAGATGTTCTATAATGAACTGTTGGTCAGTGAAGTAAACTTTTCCATCTGTTGTCTCGAAAGCTCCTTCAGACTTCAATATTTTATTTGTGAGAGTCTGTTTCTTTTTTGAGATACTTGCCGTTCCATTTTTATGAAAAGTGACTTTGTAGTTAGGGTTTGTATTTCCAGACCTGGCACTTTCTATTATTGAATTTTTCTCTTCATCTGTAAGTTCTTTGACAGGTTTTGACAATGGTTCTGAACTTTTTGTTTGTGGTGTCAAATCTACCGTTTCAACTTCTTCGGTCATTTCATCTCAGTAAAAAATTTTAGTTTGGTTTGTTTTCAACTGGTTGTTTAGGTTTTTTATGTCGGTCTAAAACTTCCTGAGGTATATGAAAAACTTGACAAACACGTGGTTTAAAAGGTGGTCTTCCATGACCTATTCTGTCTAAAGCTGCATTGTTCATTTCATCTCAGTAAAAAATTTTAGTTTGGTTTGTTTTCAACTGGTTGTTTAGGTTTTTTAAGTCGGTCTAAAACTTCCTGAGGTATAGGAAGAACTTGACAAACACGTGGTTGTGTAACTGCTGGAAGCCGACAAAGCCATCTTGAGCCCATTTGTCTCAATGCTGTATTGTTCATTTCATCTCAGTAAAAAATTTTACATTCCCCACGTTTGAGGCGGTTGAGGTTGGTTGTTGTTTACCCACTGTTGTGCATGGTTATATCCTCTGTTAAAGAATCTTTCACCTTGGTCCATGTAGTGCCCTGCTTGGTTATAGTAGTCATTTGCTTTGTTATAGTAGTTTCCTGCTTGTCTTCCTACATTGTCCATCCATCCTTGAACTTTTCCTCTTGTTTCAGGATTTGGAATAAGATTTGCTGCATCTCGTGCTACATCCCAACCTTTCTGTACGGTTTGTATAATAGGTTGTGCTTTCTCTTTCAGTATACCTAATGTACTCAAAATCTTCCTTCCAATTCCAAATGCACCTCTGGCTAGTGTTCCCACTGCGGGCAAAAATCTAGATGCGACTCCTGCTAATGCGCCAAATAAACCCATTTCTTATGGGTTAAAAATGACGAATTCAAACAAGGACCCGTATGTTTCTAAAGCGACAAAGAAAGCACTCATGGTAAAAATCTTTAGTTCAACACCAAATGCTTGGTTTATGGATATCTTGGAAAACATTCCGAGGTATAGAGAAGATGGACCACCATACTGGCTAATATTTGTCGGTCAAAACACAAGATACTGTGAAGCCATACCATTACAGTCCAAAAATATTTTAGATGTGAAAACTGCTTTGACAATATTCGTTGACAAATACCATCCAACAAAACTGACATCTGACTACGAAAGTTCTTTCAAATCAGACGATATTAAAAACTATCTGCGTTCAAAAAATGTAAACCAATATTTCATTGTCGACCAAAACCATTCTGCTCTTGGTGTCATTGACAGTTGTATAAAAATCTTAAGAGACTTAAATCAACCACAAGGTGGTGAGGTAGATGAAATGTCATATGACGACAAATATAGACATTTCTCCATGGCAAAGATGAGACAAGTTTTAAATATTTACAATAACCGTAAACAAAAAGGTTTGGGAAACCACTCCCCCGAAGAAATGAAAAACAACCCCGACTTAGAGAAAGACTATATATTTAATAGTTTAGTCAAAAGGGATGAACAAGAAAGAATGCCAGGCTTCAAACTTAAGAAAGGTGACAAAGTAAAAATAGAAATACCTAAACGCGACCCATATGAAAATACTATTGACTATGACAACAATGGGAACTCGACAGGTACTCACATTCGTGTTCGTAAAAATAGAAGAAAGTATACAAGAGAATATTATGAAGTTTTAGGCAAACATGGCAAAATGTACACACTGCAAGCAGAAGATAAAACTACTATTGTCAGACCTCGTTTCAAACTTGTCAAAGTTCAAGGTGGTATACTTTCAAAGACAGTTTCTAACAAATATAAGACAACTCCTGACGAATATGCTAAAGAAGTTGAAAATGACGACTAAGCAATTCTATACCATGCGTAAACTGTCATGTAAGGTGGCATGTAGTCTTTACTCTGTCCCGTTGTTTGCGTATACCCTGAAACGCGATGTGTATGGTTTCCTTCTCCCTGTGTGCTACCCAGAAACAATTTATAGCAAACTGAACGTCGTCTTTAACATCATATCCTTTACCTTTTTTCATTGCTGACCAATCCCAAAATCTATGCTTATGCCAACCTGCTTGAGATGTACTTAAATCTATGTAGTGACTGTGCGCAGGTAAGTTTTCACCTGAAATCGTTTTACTTCCACCTGTTTCCTTTGAAGAGTTTGCACAATACAAAAACCTGTCGACTATTTGAGTCCAAGTTCCGAGACCAAGTACTACTTCTGGTCTGGTAGAGTTCATTGACGTGTAAATAGAACCTATAGGATATACTGTTTGAAGTATTTCTGTCTTTAACGTTTGAAGCTCTGTTTTGTCAGCTTTCTTATCATATAAATCTTGAGCAGTGAATTTAACTTTGTTTTCATCCTCCATGACATAGACATTTCTACATCTAATGTATTTTCATCGTCGTTATGTCATCCTCCGATGTTAAACCTTGTGGAAAGTTAGGAGGTTTCCAATTTAATACATCCCCACCAGTTCCATCAGGTTCTTCAACCGTTCCTGCAATATTTTCTATACCAACAGTTGCGAAGAAATCGTGTGTATGTCCAACGTCACTTTTCCTGTTTAAGGTTTCTTGTAAGTTTGTAATATTTGCAATGGTATGTGTATGTCCAACGTCACTTTTCCTGTTTAAGGTTTCTTGTAAGTTTGTAATATTTGCAATGGTATGTGTATGAGTCTTTTTAGAATATTCGTTTTCAGCTCTTGTCACTTCACTTGACATTTTATTGTCAACATATGTTTTGTCTGCTAGTTCAGGATGAGTATGTTCTTTTGTTGCATAAGCTTTGTTAGCTCTTTCTTCTTCTTTTGCTATTGCATCGTCTACATATGTTTTGTCAGCTTTGTTGTCAATATCTGCCTTCAAAAGAAGTTCATCTATAGGTTTCTCGTTTAAAGTTCTTTTTGTTGGATTTATACAAACAGTATGGTTCTTACTGTCTTGAAACAGAAACTCGTCTGTCAATGGGTTTAATGTCAGTTTTAAGTTTCCTTCTTTCAATGACTCAGATATCTTAGAATAGTTTGAAAAGTTTGTTGTGTTCTTATTTAGAGCTTGCACAATGAGTTGTCGGTTGTGTTGTATTTCTCTCATAGACGCTGTTTCTTTCGACATTTTTATTCTAGATAAAATATGCTTTCAATAGAAAAAGAAAATTCAAGAGTTGCTACAACTAAACCATTAGATGAACTTTTTACGAATGTCGGTCAAAAGTTTGAGACAGAGACCGTAAAGCATGAAGGCTATCGTTTTGACTACCCACTAAGATGGTTAAGAGACCCATCCGTCACAAAAGCTATTGGCTTTCGTAGAATGAAGTTCATTTCAGAAGCCATACATGGTTTCCCATTTACGGTCGGTTTTGAAGTTCGATACTATAACAAAGAAAAACGTACGTATGAGAAATTTGTACAGGGAAAACTTTTACAAGTTAGTTTGCTTGTAAACTTAGAAACAACTCTTCAAGCTTTTCAAGAAAAAATAAACGATATCTATCTCGAATATGCAAACCAGTTTAACATTGACGAAGGAGAGTACCATCTCGATATTTTATATGACAGGAAAAATGCAACTGTTAAATTCAATAGAATAGAAGACCTTGGAGAAAACGTTTATATTTCTACAAAATATAACAACTTGGCATGGTATAGATTTTTGAGGATGTTAAATCAGCCTGCAGAATATCCAGTACACCCGAACTTTTATGAAGTCGAAAACCCTAATGGAACATATGAAAATGTTTTCGACTCAGATGCTATTATCGTTCATGCTTCATTTTCTGGTGCACAAAACTCTTTTTTATGCTTAGCAAATGACTTTTACGAAAAACCTACAAAGCTATATGAACCACCGAGTGGAAGTATTTCAGACTTTCAAGTATGGTTTACTACAGATGGAAGAAAGAGAATAGTTCCATTATACCATGCGTTTTACTTAGAACTTAGTCTCATATACAACTACTATCGAACGGTAAAAATATAATTTTTAATACGGTTGAGGTGTTGGATTTGGTTGCCAACTAGACTGTGGTGCAGGTTCAGGCTGTTGTATAACAGGAGCTTGTTCTTCTGGTTCAGGGTCTTTAGGTATAATACCAACGAACTGACCTACTCTTTTACCAATATTTTTGACTCCGTTCCAAATTCCTCTTCCGACAGATTTTATTCCATTCCATATACCTCTTCCAACATTTCGAAAGAAGTTTCCTATTCTTCCAAAGAAACCCATTTTACTATATGTAAAAATCTAATGTCCGCCTAGTCTCTTACGTTTCCTGTTGAGTTCCATAGCATTCTTTAACTGCAGCTCATACATTCTATTTCTCCTCTGGTAGAAAACATACTCTGGGTCAACTCCTGTGTTCGCGTCATCTGCATAGAGTTGTTTATATCCCACTTCAGGGTTTGTATAAAACTCTTTCCATCTCATATTTGCATACCATGGTGGCAAACCTAACGCAGCGTCATTTGACATGGCAGTTTGCATTTGTACATCTGTTGGCACTTGACCATAGTTTGCCATTGCAGTTTGTATTCTAACTTCATTTGGAATATTCTCTGGGTTTGGTTGTCCAGGTTGCTGTGCATTCGCTAAGTTCTGTGCGTCCATTTAATATTAGATAAAAATATCTCTTACGAGTACATATGCTGAACATTTGCAGGCAGTGGTTCATCTTCATATTCTCTATATCTTTCTGCCACGTCAAATAAGTAAATGACACAATGGAAAAAACCTAAAACAAGTAGTCCTATTTCAAACCACATTTACTTACCAATAAAATTTCTTTGTTATGACACTTTTTCCGGTTTATAGGACCTCTCTCATATTCTATCTTATCGTATCTAAAATCATAGTCATGTATATCCTCTAACCATCTCATGACACTTTCCAAACCACTTTTATCGGATGTAAAGTAAAAGCATGGATGGTTATGTAAAACGTCTAAAGTTTCTAAAGAGTCTCTCAAAGTCCAGTCTACTTGGTATTGAAAATCCCATGTGTTATAGAACGGCGGGTCTACTATAAAGAAAACATTTTCCTTGTCTTTATATTTTTCATACAACTCTGTCCAACGACATCTCACAAACTCTATACCCTCAGTATATTTTTCTATGTTCTCTTTGAAAACCTTTGTATAGTTAAGATATAAAACGTTTGACATAAGTGTTTCAATGTCATGAACTCTTATAGAACCACTATACAATAGTCTAGAAGATATACTATCCCAGTCAATATACTCTGCTTTTTTCAAAACCTCTCTGACAATATTTTTCTTATCTAATGGTATACGTTCCATCTTACCTATAGGTATCTTTTCTTTCAACTCACTCAATATTTTGTTTGTGTCTGGTATATGTTTGAGACGGTTCATATAGTTGTCGAAGTCATTGCATATAATCTTTGAGTCAGGAAATACAGTATGGCACAAATGAGATATATAGAAACTTCCACCGAACAAATCTACAAATGTTAGACCATTCGGTAGTTTCTTAAGTTCTCTCAATAGAATATCTTTACATCTACTCTTATTTCCAAAGAAGGGTAACGGTGGTTTTGTAAAATTCATTTTATATTTAATAAAAATGTTTTTTCCCTGAAAAGTGACAGAAAAGTGACAAAACATGAAAACTACTCGGTTAAGGTCTTGTCGGTTTTGTAAAATAACCATCCTATCTCATTCTATAAGGAAGAAAAGGCTTCTCAAAGTATATTTCTTTGAACGCCCGTAACTTTGAGAAGCGACGATAGACCCTTACTTGTCCGGACATAGTTCTACTATTTTGAGTTCTCTACAAACAAGTCAACAGCAACGACTTTCAAAAAATTTTAGGGGCTAGAAGGCACGAAGTGCCTGGAAGCCCCCACACCCCAAAAAAACCTCATTTTATATAAACTGCATGTTATACTAAACATCTTCAGGGGGCTAGAGGGGCGCAGCCCTGGAAGCCCCAATACCTTTTTTTTTTTTTTTTTTTTTTTTTTTTAAGTTATATTAGTTTTCATTATGCATTATGTTTTATAAGATTGTGAATCAATTCTACTACGAATTCCAGAAATTTGTTGTGAAAATTAGATATTTAGCAAGCTTTCCAATTTTTCCGCTGGAGAATATTTACTTCCACAGATTATTATTATCATTTCCCTGCGAATTTATAAATTTTAAAAAAAATGCAATTCTGCACGCCGATAATATTAAATTTTTTGCGATGCATTGGGGAAAACCTAAAGCATATGATCCAACAAAGATTGAAATCCAATACCGTGTCATGGTAGCCGAACTAACCACAGCAAAAAAGAAACAACAGCAAATTGTAGATGTCAACGCAAGAAATCTCGCTCATGATATTCGCGCAGAAAACAAAAAAGGAATTTACGATAAAGCTTACAAAATTTCTGATGCAAAGGCATATATGGCATCATGTGATGCTATTCTTGATGCTTTGAAAAATATTAAAGAAAACAAAAACGAAGCAGTTGCTTCAAGAAACGGTCCATCACCATCAACTGAAGATTCGTTTAGAATAGTTTGCTGCTCTACCAATTTACTTAAGCTTGATTCATTCAAGAAGTTTGTAATGGCCGTATCAAAAGAAATGTTCGAGAAAAAGGTCGCTACAGACTTATTAGATACTAGCAAATGTGATGAACAAGTTTTACAAGGACTTCAAGGAGGATCGCATGATGATGCCGAAATTAAATCGGTAATTCGTGAAGCAGCTGAAGTATTTTCTAATGTAGAAGCAGCTGAGAAAGTTCTTGGAATCAAATTAACAGAAGAAGAACCACAGCCAGAACCAAAGGTACAACCAGCTCCAATGCAAAATAATTATGCTCCTCAGCAATTCAACACTGTTGCAGATGCATCCTTGCAATATCCAACTGCTCCTCCAGGACATGTTGCTTATACATCATGTTTGTCCGACCAAGTATCGCAGCATCCAAATCTATTCGTATGTGAAGATTTAGAGCCTATTGATCGCTCACTGTGGCCATCAATTCTTGCGGATATCAAAGCTGCGATTGCATAAATCGTTAATTTTTCTTAATTTTTATGTTATTTTTACTCTACATCAGCTTTATTATATACAGTGGTTTGAGTCTTGCTATCTAGTTTTCTGAGCCCCTGTAACTCATGGAAAAGGGGGGAACTTCGACGACAACAAAGGTATCGACCAAAATTGTTCACATTATGCTTGGCATATGAAGTATAGTAATAATGCGTATGGACTCATAGAATGGCTTTTGTTTGATTTCGAGATATATTATGATCTTCTAAAATATCCATATTTTACTTGACAACGCATATGTTTTATCGTATTATGAAAATTAAACGAAAAGTATGGCTCAAGATGAGCAAAATTCGATGGTAAAAAAGTAAATTGTTTATTGATGTGGGTACTCTCAGGTATTTTTTTGAAGCAACACTTTATTCGTTTCTCTTTCTACATCTGTATATAAAACATGCACAAATAAGGATTTAGAATTAAAAATATTTTTCGAATAGGGTAAATAAATCGTTAGATCTTAGATTTTATAAATTATTTCTTCTTAAAATGAGACTGTGGTAATGGTAACTATGTATGAGAGTTGGTGTATTCTTAAATTGCGCGAAATGTTGATAAGTTTCAAGAACGATTTATAGTATGTTCAAATATATTAAAATTTAATAATATGTGATAACATCGACTGCAAACAATCGATTTTAAGTGATTGATGAAAATCGATATCAATATTTAAAATTTTCGAAGCTTTTTTGACTGAAAGCAATTGCTTTGGACACCTAGAATGAAGTTCTCCTTGGTAAATTTCTCCAAATTTTTTTCATTTTAGAAAAAGCCGAAGCAATTTTCTAGAAAATGATAACGTTTTTTTAAATTCTCGATTTTTTTGGAAAAATGAGGTTAAAATTTTCGAAAATATAAAATTTAGAGCGATACAAAACTTTTTATTGTATTCTAAATCTCTGCAACCTTTTCATTTTTGTTATTTTATAATTTTTCTACTAAAATATGTCAATTCTAGAGCGAATCAAATAATTATATTTCAATGATATAGAAAAGAGGCATATTTTCCAAAATTATATATCACTAATATTTTACTATCAAATACAGTATATAATTCTATATAAATAACCAGCCATTGTTAGTCATATAAAATTATTTCTGGTTCAAATTCAGGATTGGCTTCACATAATTAGATACCATAGTAAACATCTAGAAAGTAATCAATAAGATCATGATTTTATTCACAGATGAATTCAAGATATATATTGTGATTTGCATTTCGACAATAAATCTGAATAAAATGTGCATTAATCTGGCACATTTAGACCTCTTAACATAATCATGTTATCAGTTAGTGACTATTGTTAAAGAATAAGCAACTTTAGATCTGTATATCATAATCAAACGGAAGTTAAGTTAAGATATTTGAGGCAATATCACATGATAGTATGCATAATACTATACTAGAATGATCAGTCAATCTGTTGTTTTAATATCGTTTTGAATTTATTATGCCAAAATAGTTCTTTGGCTATCATTGGCAATACGTAAAGTTGATATTGTTGTAATATTTCGAAAAAATAAAGGTATCAACTTTAATGAAAGATATGATAAGTTGAACATCGAATAATTGGATTTTTGCAATATTAATATTGTTTAGTCCCTAGTATATCATCGTTTCATACTAATCACGTGGATCGATTCCGTTTCAATGATCAGATAAATCAGAAACAATATACTCAGGTGCCACTTTTTATTTGTTGTTTTTTCAAAGATTTTAGATGTCACTTTTATATATTTGACCTCTTCTCAATTTTTAGAAAAAAATGAGTTTTCATAGATCAAAGCACAAAGAAAGCGAAGAACAAGAGACCTATCAGAGAAATGAAGTCGATAGATCCCAAATATGCATGAGATGCGGAATGATTGGGCACTCAACAATCAATTGTAAAAGCAAATTACCTTCAATTAAAGATTTAAAGGCTGAAATGAATTCAAGAATGCTTACGAATGTTAGAAATGCACCAAAAGAGTGGAAAGAAGATGAATTTGGTTTATATTTACCAGCAGAACCACGAATAGTAGAGATAAAGCAAACGTGGAAAGAAGGTAAGTTCTGTTTTAACTGTGCTGCATTTGGTCATGATATTGATGAATGTCCAAATCCTCCTTTTAAAACAGTATATGGTTTATTTGAGCCATATCTTGCTGATAATTCATCAAAAGCTAACTTAGAAAAGCAAAGAATCATTGGTGCAATACATAAATTCAATCAAAACTCTCAATCTAAGAATCAAGAAACTACAGAATAGAAAATTTTTAAAATTTGTCAAATTTATCAACATTGTCAAAAACAACAAATTTGTCAGTTTACAAAAAAATTCAATTGGAACGATAAAAATTATGGCGGTTTTGGCTCTCCTTTTTTCTTATGCCAACTCGTTTCCATAAGAGCAGAAAACTTCGCGGTCAGGTTTCCATGGGTTTCGGTCGTGTCGGTAAGCACCGTGTTTCACCAGGTGGCCACGGTCGTGCTGGTGGTCAGCACCATCAGAGAACATGGTTCGATCGCTTCCACCCAGGCTACTTCGGCAAGGTTGGCATGCGCCATCTTCACCTCATGAAGAACCGCGCTGACGAGTATGAACCAACAATCAATGTTGACAAGCTTTGGACACTTGTTCCAGAAGAGGTCCGTGTAAAGGCTGCTGCCGCTAAGAAGGGCGATGCCGTTCCAGTTATCGACTGCGTCCAGAACGGATTCTTCAAGGTTCTCGCTCGTGGCGAACTTCCAAAGATCCCATTCGTTGTTCGTGCTAAGGACTTCTCTGAGGAAGCTGAAAAGAAGATCAAGGCTGCCGGTGGTGTCTGCGAGAAAGTTCAATAAATTTCGCTTTTATTACAATCAAAAAATTACTAATTTACAAAATCTTATACGTTGTAATATATTTAAATGACTTAGAAATCAAAGCAAATTATATGCAAGTTAAATGTGATTGATAATAGTAATACTTTGCATGAATTTCCAAATTCATAAAATCATTTTCGGAATTTCGTGTTAAATTTAATTATTTATGAGTGTATTGTTATAGTGGGATACAATTTAATATTAAACATCTTTAAATTTACTTGATAATTCCGAAAATAAAAAAAAGTTGAAAAATTACTGTAATATATAGAATTTTCCAATGCATTCATACTGCAAACTATATTTTTATCATGTTGTTGATATATAATTGAGCAGTATAATAATCAATAAAGAATTTTAAAAGGTGACCAAACTATTTTTTGAAAGTCCGCCATAACTTTAATGGTACTATTTCAGCGTGTACAATGAATACAAAAATTCTAAGAGTGCCACATAAAATAGTACTTTAGACTTGAGTTAATGCTACCAAGCAAATGTTAAAAAGATGACTTTAGTGTTTTGATAATCAAAGATTAAAATCATTATTGTCTAAATCAATAATCATAACGACAGAAGTTAATGTTTTTTCATAAGTGCTTTAAATCCACTTTTAAAAGTATACCTCAAAAATCAAAATATCAAAAAAAAAATTGGCCGATAGGTTTGGCTTTAATTTTTGTCTGCTTTTATGATTTGATATGGATGTTATAATTTTAAAAGTTGAGCCAAATTCACCAATAGATTTTTGAGATTTGCAAATACTCAATAATTTTCAGCGTGTTATCTTTTATTAAAAGAACTATTTGGTTTCAGTATCATATAAATTGATATTTACTTTCTATTTGAACCTTCATTTAGCTAATGATTTAATAATACAGATTTCATCTAGTCCTTATAAGAGAATTTTGAATTTGTTATAATAAAAAAACAAACAGATATAGCTTACACTTCTATAATAAAGATACCTTTTATAGAAATCAGTATGAAATGTGTTTTGGCTTATTGGAAGCATATCAGACATAATCGCCATAATCAAAAAATCTATATACCCAATAAGTAATAAATTTGTCGATATAGATTTTCCATAAAATTAGTTTTTAGTCTGATCTTAAAATAAATTTAATTTTTTATAAAAAAAATCACATTTAAAAGTACCTTTTTAGTAGCTCGAAATCCTGTTGGTGGATTTCGGGCGTACTTCAAAATTAGCTTTTCTTCTACATATGCAAGCTATATTTTAAATATGGAGCAAATCGGATCGGCGAAAGGAGTTTAGTTACCTTTGAATTTTAGGAAAATTTATGACATCAGAGCTTAGCCGCGCATAAAATTCTTTCATATGGCATCTTTAAATGAATTTAAGCAAGGAAAGAGTCGCTGATGTATTGATTATTTTTGGCATAATTTACACAAAGATCTGACTAGAGTTATATCGTAAAATATATCAAAGAACTAAATAAGAAATGTGTTTGGTTTGCATAAAATCGTTAAAACTGTTTTATGAAAGCAAGCATCAGGCAAAAAGCTGCAGTGGATACTATTGCTTACTCGATCTCACTTGTTACGGAGTTAGTAAGTTGTTCTAAGAAGAATATCGATAAAGCTGTGAAATGGTTCAATGAGGCGCGGTCATATCTTAAAAAGATTTCAGAAGGGTGTCAATCAATTAAGAAAAGTTCAAATGAGATGCATCCAATGCTTGAATGTTGCGCAGACAGAATATTTCGAGAAACTTACAAAGCAATGGATTCAGTATCAGATTATATCAACGAAAAGCAGTTGCAAAAGGCGTTAGATTTTGCACAAAACTATGATGGGAAAATATCGCAAGTTAATACATATATGAAGCAAACCCTCGACGAATTAGTAGATTTGTACGAAAACTTTGTTAAAGATACATTTCATCCTATTCAATCTTGTATTAAAGACTGTGCATCATATGGCTACGATGCTCATTGTGGATATCTTCGATATTCAAATTTTCTGGATGAAATAGAAAAGACTTTCAACAATCATTTTGCTGATATGAAAGATATAGATGACAGACTAATAATGTTTGAAGCAGCGTTCATTAAATCAGCCAATTTATATTTCATTAAACATTGTCCTCATGCAGCTAAGGTTAGTGCATCATCTCCTTACCAATTACATGATGAGCAATTTGCTAAGATAGTTAAAATGTTTAGAACAGGGTTTCAAGGATTTAGAAGCCCATGGATCCCTCCAGTTCACGTATTTCAATTTGACTTTAAGGCTGTTAAGATGAGAGCTCTGAAGGATTATCAATCTACAAAAGTTGGCGAAATTTCCATTCAGGAAGGAGAAAAAGTGGAAGCAATTAATACTTCATTTGCAGAATATTATAAAATAAGAACATCCAATGGTATGGAAGGCTTTGTTCCTGTAACAATGCTTTGCCCATATAGTTAAATTTAAATATGATAAATATGATATCTGAATAAACATGTATTTCTGTCCTTTCTTTCCTCAAAAAATAATGTTTTATAGGAAAATGAAAATGAAATCAACTGAAATATAAATTAAAAAAATTAATCATAAATTAAAACAAATTTTTCAGTTGTTTACTTACAGTTGTGTGCTATATGATAATTAATTAGCCTTTGGAGCTTCTGGCTTCTGTTCAGTAGTGGCTGCAGCTGGAGCAGCGGCTGTTGCGGCTGCTGCTTGCTTGCCTTTCTGGTTCTGATGTACGTTCTGCTTGCCATGTGCTGCTTGTCTCTTGTTAGACATGATGAAAAAATGATGTGATTACTTAGATGATGGGCTTCATTTCAATGAATATTTTTTAAATCAAAATTTTGCGACAATTAATTCCACTTGAATATGGCTCTATATAATGTAACGATCATGAGAATGAATATTTCGGTTGAAATTATCAAGGATGTTCCAAATTTTTCTCATGAAACAATGAGATTATCTTTTATGTTCATTTAGATCATTTATTGAATGAAAGAAAAATTGAGAGTTGTTTACATTGAAAAAATCAAAATACTCAGAAAAATCGCCGCTGTGTAAATTTTTTTGACATCTTTCTAAGTGGAAAGTAATCACATCATTTTTTCATCATGTCTAACAAGAGACAAGCAGCACATGGCAAGCAGAACGTACATCAGAACCAGAAAGGCAAGCAAGCAGCAGCCGCAACAGCCGCTGCTCCAGCTGCAGCCACTACTGAACAGAAGCCAGAAGCTCCAAAGGCTAATTAATTATCATATAGCACACAACTGTAAGTAAACAACTGAAAAATTTGTTTTAATTTATGATATTCTTTTTATTATTTTTGAAGATATTCTTTATTAAGGACAAAATGTGTAGTATATATAATAGTATTACTATTACCCAGTACATTTTCCGACCAAATTTTGATAACTCATGGATTTTATCAAAATTCGATTATTATGTGTAAATAATTCAATAACAGTAAGGTAAAAAGATTGTTTATTCAATAAAAGGTCTCAAAGCCTGTAGAATTGAATTTTCAGATTCAATTTTTCTGAAATAAAATGGATGACTGATGAACAAAGGTTCTGTTGTTGATAGAACGATTATTGTATCGTAAATTACCGATAAACTAAAACCTAAATTGACATCCGAAATAAAAATTGCGCAAGTGTTATTTGGGAGTAAAATTGCTGGAACAATTTTCTCAAATCGGACTTGAAAACCCTCGAAAAGGTGAGCATCTTGAGGTTTGAAAATTTTTTCATTTAAAATAAGTAATTTTGAATTTTCTTCTGAAGTAACTAATGACCCTTCGCTGTCCGAATCGTTTGGTGGCGGTAATTCGATACTTGTTTGGTTCAATTGCTTTTCATCAAAAGGAATGAATGGTATATTAACGGATAATGATGGGATTTGATTATCTGATGCAAATTCATCAGTAAGTGAGAATGCAGGAGGAGGAATTAATTTGTTTGCTAAATTATAAGATTCAAAATCTTTCTTTGGCGGAAAACTAACTTCAATGTATGGCAAATCTGCATTTTCGTCTAGTTTTTTGTGCCTTTCAAGTTGAACTTTGTCAATAAATTCTTCGTGATTCATCGAAACCTATTCAACACATCACGAAAAGTGACGAATTTGAAGAAAAATATTGTTGCGTTTTTCATACTCTAAACCTGAAAGATTGCATATGAATGGAATTTAATGAAGAGGAAATAAATGGATTGTAGTACGATCTTCGATTTGTAATGAAAACGAAGGATCTTAATGTAAAAGAGGATGCCTAAATGCCTTTCTCAAGTATGAGATGTTTGAAAATAAAAAATAAGCAAATATTCTCTCCTAGTAAGGCCTTAATTTAAATATAACTGAAACTCATATACTCTGCATCAATGTATTACAACTAAGATATTGCCTAAAAGCTTCAATTGACAGTTTCTAAGCACAATTCATATACAAAATAATTGAAAATAGAGTTATTTATTGATTTTCAGCTACTCATAGATAAGAAATACCAAATGTTATTTGATATTATAGCTATATCAATGAAATGCCAATAATTTATTCTTTCTTTTGAAAATCATGAATTTTATTGAACTTTCCATTAACCATTTATATCTATCCTTAGATTTATTCTTATTTGCACATGTATGTTATGTTTACTAAAACATATTTAATAATTCTAAATAAGATCATAAAAGAACAATAGGTTATTGATAGATTTAAAAATATGATACACATAAAAACGATAAGTAATAGTTCGAACATAATACTAGTCAATAACGTTTTTGTCAAGCAAATAGCCTACAAGTTTTTGAAATCTTGCTAAGCAGATATACTAGCATATCGAAAACATCACTATGGTCTAGCTTTTCTCATATCAAATCTCAGTGTAGATGTTTTTCAAGAATATTTTTGATCAAAACTCGGATTTTTTGACGATTATTTGAACGTTATTTCAACTCAATGTCGAACCTTCCTTCGATGAAAAATCCTTCCCTTGGGCGTACAGCCTATCTCAAGGAAGCTACGAATGCAAAGGACCCACCAGTATCAACAATAAATGACTTAACTGATTACATTTCTTTGTTTAAATCAAAAAGAGACAAGCAAATCTGCTTAAATAAATATGATAAAGCAGAGCAAACAAGGCTCATGATGGAGAAATTCTCAAGGCGAGCTCAGACAGCTCTTTATACAAGGCGCTGTCAATCTCAGATTTCAGATCTTGACTACAGATTAACATCTACCCAAGAAAACGAAGAACAATTTAATCAAGATAGCACAAACTTGATCAATTCATTCGAAGAATATGCAGAAAACAAATTAAACCAATTAAAGAGCAAACATACAAAAGAACTTGAGCAGCATGAGCAAAACAAACCTAAGGATTTACCAGCTAAATATAGAAAGCGCTCACCAGAACTCATTCAACTTTATCAACTTGAAAGGAAACTTTCTATCGAAAATAGAATGGACCAAGTTGCTCAAATCCGCGAAGAAATTAAAGTGCGCGAAGAGAAAGAGTCGAAGGAAGTGTTCAATCGCGCAATTTCCGAGTGGGAATCCGATAAACAACAGTTACTTGAAAAACAACGTAAAGAACTCGAAGCGATGACAAACCGCATTAACTTACACAGGCAAGAACGTAATGATGAAATCGCCCGCCAAAGAGAAGCCATTCACAAGAGACAAAAGAATCTCAAATACGATATTAATGGAATTCAGACACGCATGACAAAGACTACTCCTCATGCAATGAGAAGATCCTTGTTCTTTGCGACTACTCCAACAACAAGAACCGCAAATTTGGTTCCAAATATGAACAAAGATATTTATACGCTTTCATCAACGCTTCCAAAGCGCTCACGCGAAATTCTTTCAACAATGTAATTGTGATGTAAATGTTTATTATATTTTTGCCAAAAATATTTTTAATTGTCTTTTTCGAGATCGCATAATTCGATTTCTCTTTTAAAATTTTGTTGCTTCAATATAGAACAATTGATTTGCTTTTATAATCGGAAATCCATTTGGAATGTCATCGTAAAGTAAAAAATATTAAAGCAGAATGATTGCAAAAATGTAACAATTCGTGTAGCATGTAATATTCTATTAAAGAGAGTCGTTTAATCACACTACGTTACCAACTTCTGGAAAACGGTTTTTCACCCTTATGATCAGTTTCAGACACTTTGGGAATCTCCCAAACTTTGATATTTTGCATTATGATAGAGAAACGTGTCTAGTTTAACGCACAGTTGTTTTAAAGGCAAATGATGATATCACATGAAATTATCAAATTATCAAATTTTGAAGTACCAGTCCAAAGGGTTAATTAGATCCTACACAGATGTGCGATAGTGAAACATATGTGTTCTTGATTTGAGAAGTCCTACTGATAGAGGTATGAATCTCACAGCTTTGTGTGAGTGTGTCTGACACTTGTATAGAGTGGAATATGCGCCGACATATATTATATAATAACATGTAGTTGATAATTATGAAAAAATAGAATTTGATGCGAATGATATTGAAAGTTGTTTTGTAATTTGATATTTTTCTTATATGTGTTAATTAGTAAATGGCTTGTTTGTTGTGATCGTACTGTGAAAAATGAAAGTTATTTTAAATTAAAAAAATGAGATTTTGAGATATCTCTAGAATTAAGAATTTATTATGTATTTGACTTTTATATAACTATGTGTAAAGGATCTCGATGTCTATATGCTTTAAATAAAATTAAATAAAATGAGATAAAAAATTAAAATGGACAAGAAGATATATGGAAATGTAATTTGTATTGTGTTGGTTGTTGGCAAAATGATTTTAATACAGATTTAAGGATTTGGAATGGATTTGAAATTAAATGATTTTAATTCAAGGAGTAATAAGATTTTGAACTGGTTTTTATTTTGAGAATGTAAACTCCTTCCATAGGATATGTATTAGAAAGATCAATTTTAAACTTTTTGAAAGAATTGTTTTTTTGTTGAGTGATTTTCTCATATTTAATAATATATTTAAGTTGGCGTATCTTACGCCCTTCCAAAAATATGTATTAGAAAGATCAATGTCAAACTTTTTGAAAGAATTGTTTTTTTGTTGAGTGATTTTCTCATATTTAATAATATATTTAAGTTGGCGTATCTTACGCCCTTCCAAAAATATGTATTAGAAAGATCAATGTCAAACTTTTTGAAAGAATTGTTTTTTTGTTGAGTGATTTTCTCATATTTAATAATAAATTTAAGTTGGCGTATCTTACGCCCTTCCAAAAATATGTATTAGAAAGATCAATGTCAAACTTTTTGAAAGAATTGTTTTTTTGTTGAGTGATTTTCTCATATTTAATAATATATTTAAGTTGGCGTATCTTACGCCCTTCCAAAAATATGTATTAGAAAGATCAATGTCAAACTTTTTGAAAGAATTGTTTTTTTGTTGAGTGATTTTCTCATATTTAATAATAAATTTAAGTTGGCGTATCTTACGCCCTTCCAAAAATATGTATTAGAAAGATCAATGTCAAACTTTTTGAAAGAATTGTTTTTTTGTTGAGTGATTTTCTCTCATTTGATAATATATTTAAGTTGGCGTATCTTACGCCCTTCCAAATATTTCTTAAAAATTTAAATTTGTCTCATCTCCTACTCTTAATTTAAAAAAATTTCAAAATCCATAATAGTAAACATTTCTTATTTTTATTTAAATCTGAAAAAAATAAATTTAAACAATTTCTCTACACACGACGGCTTCAGCGGTTTTCAGAATGGTTGACAACTGAATTCATCAGGATAATGTCGGTTGGGGTGCCCTTCTTGGCCTCCTGAGTACTCACCAAGATACCCCCAGCTCCCGCAAAACACCTCCCATAGGTGAGCATTAACTGATGAAGTTATTGACAACTTTATCTGATTTTTTTCTTTGTTTTTTTGTTAAGATTTCTTAACCAAAGACTCGAAAACAAAACTTCGCTTCAAGTTGCTGTCTTCCCAGTTACTCTGTCGCAATCTTTTGTCTGATTGCGTGCAAAGTTCTGCTCCTTTGAGACTTTGCCCGACAGATGCATCTGGGAGACAGCACCCAAGCAGCTTATCGCTTCAAGTTGCTGTCTTCCCAGTTACTCTGTCGCAATCTTTTGTCTGATTGCGTGCAAAGTTCTGCTCCTTTGAGACTTTGCCCGACAGATGCATCTGGGAGACAGCACCCAAGCAGCTTATCGCTTCAAGTTGCTGTCTTCCCAGTTACTCTGTCGCAATCTTTTGTCTGATTGCGTGCAAAGTTCTGCTCCATGAATTATCAAATATGTGCCATTTCAGGAGAGATAACAAGCTCATGCCTCCTGGAATGGCGGATTGTTCAACAATCTTCTTCTGATTGCAGAACTTTCAACCGACAAGAGTGCACAATACACTCTTATCGGTCAAAGTTCCGCATTCAAGTTATGAATGGGGAACTTGATATCATTCTGGGAGACATGCAGTGACAATGTCTCCCGGAATGAGACACTGTAACCGACAAGAGTGCACAATACACTCCTGTCGGTCAAAGTTTTGCAATCACATTCTGATTGCAGAAGATTGTCTCATTCTGGGAGACATTCAGAGGCAATGTCTCCCGGAATGAGACACTGTAACCGACAAGAGTGCACAATACACTCTTGTCGGTCAAAGTTCCGCATTCAAGTTATGAATGGGGAACTTGATATCATTCTGGGAGACATGCAGTGACAATGTCTCCCGGAATGAGACACTGTAACCGACAAGAGTGCACAATACACTCCTGTCGGTCAAAGTTTTGCAATCACATTCTGATTGCAGAAGATTGTCTCATTCTGGGAGACATTCAGAGGCAATGTCTCCCAAAATGAGACACTGTAACCGACAAGAGTGCACAATACACTCTTGTCGGTCAAAGTTCCGCATTCAAGTTATGAATGGGGAACTTGATATCATTCTGGGAGACATGCAGTGACAATGTCTCCCGGAATGAGACACTGTAACCGACAAGAGTGCACAATACACTCCTGTCGGTCAAAGTTTTGCAATCACATTCTGATTGCAGAAGATTGTCTCATTCTGGGAGACATTCAGAGGCAATGTCTCCCGAAATGAGACACTGTAACCGACAAGAGTGCACAATACACTCTTGTCGGTCAAAGTTCCGCATTCAAGTTATGAATGGGGAACTTGATATCATTCTGGGAGACATGCAGTGACAATGTCTCCCGGAATGAGACACTGTAACCGACAAGAGTGCACAATACACTCCTGTCGGTCAAAGTTTTGCAATCACATTCTGATTGCAGAAGATTGTCTCATTCTGGGAGACATTCAGAGGCAATGTCTCCCGAATGAGACACTGTAACCGACAAGAGTGCACAATACACTCTTGTCGGTCAAAGTTCGCATTCAAGTTATGAATGGGGAACTTGATATCATTCTGGGAGACATGCAGTGACAATGTCTCCCGGAATGAGACACTGTAACCGACAAGAGTGCACAATACACTCCTGTCGGTCAAAGTTTTGCAATCACATTCTGATTGCAGAAGATTGTCTCATTCTGGGAGACTTCAGAGGCAATGTCTCCCGGAATGAGACACTGTAACCGACAAGAGTGCACAATACACTCTTGTCGGTCAAAGTTCCGCATTCAAGTTATGAATGGGGAACTTGATATCATTCTGGGAGACATGCAGTGACAATGTCTCCCGGAATGAGACACTGTAACCGACAAGAGTGCACAATACACTCCTGTCGGTCAAAGTTTTGCAATCACATTCTGATTGCAGAAGATTGTCTCATTCTGGGAGACATTCAGAGGCAATGTCTCCCGGAATGAGACACTGTAACCGACAAGAGTGCACAATACACTCTTATCGGTCAAAGTTCCGCATTCAAGTTATGAATGGGGAACTTGATATCATTCTGGGAGACATGCAGTGACAATGTCTCCCGGAATGAGACACTGTAACCGACAAGAGTGCACAATACACTCCTGTCGGTCAAAGTTTTGCAATCACATTCTGATTGCAGAAGATTGTCTCATTCTGGGAGACATTCAGAGGCAATGTCTCCCGGAATGAGACACTGTAACCGACAAGAGTGCACAATACACTTAATGTTTTCAAATTTTCAGATTTAAATTTAATCTTTATTTTCATCATCATTTATAGTCTTGTTCCTTTATACAGTTATAATAAATTATCGTCAGATTCTAATATTTAAGATTCTTACTACTCAATTCAATATAATTATGTTAGTCACTCATATTCAGGAGAATAATTTAAAAATCTATAGCTCATATTTTGATAGTTATATATTTAGATGATATATATTGCAATTCCGGTTTCAACACGATCAAATGCCAAACCAAGACAAAATATATATGAATTTTCAAAATATCGATTTACATTAGAATCTATATCTAATTTTATCAATACACAAGTAGTGAATGTTCAATACATCTTTGAGCAACGTGAATAGCACAATTTTATAGGATTATTAGTTGATTATATAAAATATAAGCCAAATCGAATCTGCTGTATAGTACTTTAGTTTATCATTGAATGTTAAATGTGTTCATATAAATATTTGAGTCAGATATCGCATTTTCTAATTTCAAAATTTATCTCATGAAGTTAGAATTTATTTGATCATACAACATCATGTTAGTCAAACCAGAGTTCAATAGCGATTCTAAAATGGAACAAATGCTTGTTTTATCAAAATGTTAAAATATTAATCTAAAAAACTTAATATCTAACCAAACCATTCTAGAATTATTATATACAGGTATGGGCAATCTAAATGCACACGGAATTCGGAAAATTAAAAAGAATATTTATGAGATTATTAAATCTTATGTAATTCAATGAAAAGTAGATAATATGAATATCCATAGGCTATATATCAACATATGAGTTTTTGGTTTGACCAATACTATACTAATGTGATCAAATTAATCTGATTTCTTAGATTTTCATTTGAAGCATTTGCAGTAGTAGGGGTACCTTTATATATTAACATATTAAAAAATTGCGCTCCGATTCGCAGTTTCTTCATGATTTTGAGATTGCATTAGATTTCGCGATGCAGAAAAAAATCACTTTAGATTCCCGTCAAACTCTAAGTATAAGCATGTCTCTATATGTAGAAACTGTCTGCGCTATTTATTTCCCGGCTCAAAAAACCACGGTGTCTGTGTGAGGAAAATACCCATTTTAGGACCCTGGGTAGGGGGTCATGAAAATTTTCCAAGAGTTGGAAATATAGGGTATTCGAATTCGTTATTGTTTCTGTTTGTCGCAATTCTTTCATAAATCTTTTTTATATTTGTTGGTATAGCTGGATTTCAATCGTTTGCGGTTTAAAAACTTTAATAATTTTGATTGGATTCAAAAATTACAATTTTTACTGATTTGAAGTTCATGATAAGATTATGTACATATGGGTAATTATATGGCATCAACTGAAATTATGACATGATGGAAGGGATACATTTCTCCAAATTCCATCAATGTTTAATGAGATTGAATTTATAGCGTTGAGCATAGTTCATATAGATCTCCGATATGATAGCTTTACGAATGATCATTCATAGTTGTTTATCAATCTTGACATCATTCTGACATGTTTTACTTCCAGATCATCAAGCCATTATGCAAAATGCAATCTATGTGAGCTTTATTCCATATTGATGCAATCAAAGATACGCACATTGAAATGATGAGAGTTGGAGGATTGAATGTTACGATTTTTGTTTAAAATTTACACACATATGCTTAATACTAACTAGTGAAAATCAGGTTGATTGAAAATATACAATAATAATGTGTTTGCATTGAAATAAAAAAATTTAGTGACCAACTAAGTTTATTGATATATTTGAACAATTTGCTAATAATATCTTTGATCATCGATAATAATTTAATAAAAATTGAATTGACTCACAATTTTGATAACAGTTATTATTCATCGTTTTAGCGCTTACACAAAACTTGGATAAATCGAAATAAAATTTGATATCTATTGTTATACTTAAACTTCAGAAATTGGGAGGAGTTACAATTATACATCTGTCAGAATCGACCAAACTTTTTAATTCTTATCTAGCTTCTTATTACTAGAATTCGACCTAAATCACAGTCTTTGAAATTTTTTTTGGATAAACTCTCAAATATTTGAGATAAAACAAGCTAAACATACCATTTTTGTATAAAGATTATATCATGATAATTATATAATCATATTTTTTTCACCTACCCTGGTAGAACGATAACTCACTTCATTTTCCCTCCGAGGAATGCTTAAAATTCAGCAGCTTACAGAAGATATCTACTGGCTTGGCGTTTTAGACTCAGACCTTGCTGTCTTTGATATCGTCATGGAAACAAAGTACGGAACAACTTACAATGCTTATCTCATCAAGACACCAGAAGGTGCAGTTCTTGTTGAGACCGTTAAAGAACGCTTTTTCGATGAATACATCGATAAAGTAAAGACTGTCATTGGTGACATCAAAAACATTAAGTACCTTATTACAAATCACACAGAACCAGACCACTCTGGCTCAATCAAGAGAATGGTCGAGCTCCTTCCAGACGTCACAGTTGTCGGATCCAAGACAGCTCTCACATATCTTGAGGATATCATGAACATTCCTTTCAAGAGCCAATCTGCCGAAGATCTTAAGGTCCTCAAGTTCGGTGGCAAGACATTTGAGTTCATCTCTTGCCCATTCCTCCACTGGCCAGACTCAATGTACACACACCTTGTTGAAGAAAAGACACTCTTCACATGCGACTCTTTCGGTGCCCACTATTCACCAAAGAAGTCAATCCTTATGAGCCAGCTCCCACCAGAGGAAGAAGAAGGCTACCAAGATGCCCTTCTTTACTACTACACCGCAATTTTCGGCCCATTCAAGGAGTACGTCATCAAGGGAACAGACAAGATCCTCAACCTCGACATCAAGCTCATCTGCCTTGGCCACGGTCCAGTCCTTGATGCAAGAATCAAAGAGACCATCGACACATATCGCAAATGGTCTGCTCCAATCCCACCACATGAAGGTAAGGAAGTTGTTATGGTCTATGCATCAGCTTACGGTTACACAACCGAGATGGCTGAGGAAATCAAGACCGGAATTATGGAGAAATGCCCAGATGCCAAGGTTAAGATGTTCAACGTCAACATTCAGAACTACGGAGCTCTTAAGGGCGAAATCATGGGTGCAATTGCTACAGCCGATGGTGTCTTACTCGGCACAAATACAATCAACGGCGATGCTGTTCCACCAATCTGGGATGTCGCTCTCTCAATGAACCCAATTGTCCACGGAGGTAAGGTTGTCTCTGCTTTCGGTTCATATGGCTGGTCAGGCGAAGGTGTTGACAACATCATCAAGCGCTTCGACCAAATCCGCTGCAAGGTCATCGACGGCATGAAGATCAAGTTCCGCATGTCAAAGAAGGAACACGAGAAGGTCCGCGAGTTCGGTAACCAGTTCGGAAACTCCCTTGTTACAGGTGTTGTCCCAGAACGCGCCGTTCCAGGCAAAGTTGTCGGTGCAAAGGACTGGTCACAGCTCAACCCAACAGGCCAGATCGTTCTCTGGCGCTGCGTCATCTGTGGCGAAATCTACGCAGGTGTCACACCACCAGCACAGTGCCCAGCTTGCGGTGTCAGTGAGGACCTCTTCGAACTCTACGAAGGCGAGGAAATCGCTGTCAAGTCAACAGAGAAGCTCAACTTCGTTGTTGTCGGCTCTGGTGCTGCCGCTGTTGCTGCCTGCGAAGCCATCCGCCAGCGCAACTCTGCTGCTTCGATCCAGATGATCACACGCGAAAAGATCATGCCATACTACAGACCAATCATCGTCGATGCCCTCCACGGCCCAATTCCAGACGACCAGTACTGGATCAAGCCAGAGCAGTGGTACAAGGACAACAAGATCGACGTCATGCTCGATACAAACGTCACATCTGTTGACTCCAAGGCTAAGAAGGTCAAACTCTGCTGCGGAAAGGAAGTCGCCTACGACAAGTTAATCCTCTGCACAGGTTCCAAGCCATTCGTTCCACCACTCGGCCAGGAAGGACTCGAAGGTGTCCTCGTCATCAGAACATATCTCGATGTCGAAACACTCTGCAAGAAGTGCGAGACAGCAAAGAGCGTCGTTGTCATCGGCGGTGGCGTTCTTGGTCTCGAAAACGCTTCCAACCTTGAAAAGAAGGGACTCAAGGTCACAGTCATCGAGTGCATGCCACGTCTCATGTCAAGACAGTTAGATCCAGAGGGCTCTCACTTCCTCGAAGACGCTGTCAGAAAGTACGGCATCAACTTGAAGCTCGGCCACGCTGTTGGCATCAAGAGTGACGGAAAGAATGTCACTGGCGTCCAGGTCGGCGACGAGTTCGTTCCAGCTGACTTCATCGTTATCAATGCTGGTGTCAGACCAGAGTGCGATGTTGCCAAGACAGGTGGTGTCGAAATCGGCAGAGGCATCTCAGTCAACGAGAAGATGGAGACAAATATTCCAGATATTTACGCAGCTGGTGATTGCGCCTACTTGAAGAACTTCAACCAAGGCCTTTGGGCTCCAGCTTTAGCTATGGGTAAGGTTGCTGGTGCTAACGCTGCTGGCGATGACAAGACATTCTCATTCGCTAAGGAACCAGTCAACATGCTCGCCTTCAATACAGACCTCTTCTCAATCGGCTGCCCACCAGAGAGCGAGAAGGGATACAACGTTATCGGACAGCGCGATGACAAGGAAGGAACACTCATGAGACTTTACTTCCAGGACAACAGATTAGTCTACGCCTGCTGCTTCAAGATGCAGAAGATTTCTGGCGCTCTCCTCAAGGCTGCTCGTGAAGGTCACTCAATGCAGCGTGTTGTTGCTGAGGTATTTTAAGTACCTCTAATTCTTTTAATGTTTAACTGCATTCTACTCAAGTTACAAAGTAAAAAATTTAAGTTTTTTTTTCATCTAATCTTCAGAATTGTTTTTAATAATCTCTAATTTCTGATTATGCATATGAATCTTATTAGTTATTCAACTTATATATACCCTTTTCTGAACTTTCGATACTTGATTGTACCATATTAAACTGATTTCTGAAAATAATAAGTGAAATGATATAGTTTGGATATTGAGAATTGGAGTGTGCATGCTTCTTGATTGTCTTTTCTTTAGGAACAGCCCGATTTATAATAAAAATGTTGTGGATAAAAATGCAAATATATGGAAAAACTTCATATTGTTGCAAGTGCAAATCCACATTCTTAAGTAGGATCCAAATATTAATAAAACTTGTATATGAGTCCTGAGAGTGGGTCAGACGATTATTTTGATCAAAAATTAAAAATGAGTAGAAAAGATAGTGTTCTCTTTACTCCTGTTAGTATTGGTCATCATAAGATCATGAATAGATTTATGAGATCAGCTACTAATGAATACAAAGCTACTTCTCAAGGAATTCCAAAAGATGAACTAAAAAATATGATGATTAACCTTTCCAGATGCCAAGTTGGATTAATTGTTCCTGGGTGCATGTATATTACATCGCATGGACGTCGTGGAACAAATCAATGTGGTATGTGCACAAGTGCTCAATCTCGTGCCTGGAAAAATGTCATTGATGAGATGCATAAATCCGGCTCAAAAGTCCTTTTCCAGATTATGCATGCCGGAACAGCTGCAAATCCAGAGACAATGTGCGGTTCTCCGTTTTTCGCTCCTTCAGCAATTTCAAAAAACTCTGTCGCTCTCACTAAAGCTCAGATCGAGGACATAATTCATCTCTTCAGATCATCAGCTGAGCTCGCATACAAGGCTGGTGCTGATGGCGTTCAGTTACATTGTGCTCATGGATATTTACTCTCTCAGTTTCTTTCTCCATACTACAACAGACGTACAGATGAGTACGGTGGTGATAGAGATAACAGATTACGCATTGTTGCTGAGATAATTCAAGAAATAAGACAATCATTACCTTCAGATTTCATCGTATCAATGAAAATGAACGGTGACGACTACATAGATGGTGGTCTTACACCGAAAGACGCATCTTACTACGTATCAAGACTTACTGGTGCCGTTGATCTTTTCGAGATCAGCGGAGGAGCCACAGGAATGAAGTCAATGAGGTACAGACTCGAAGAGAAATACCTTCTCAAGGGTGCTAAGAAAGAAGAACACCAAGCTCTTATTGAAAAAGCAAGAAGTTTCGCAAAAGGAAACGAGTTCACAATGGAATGGAACGTTCCAGCGGCAAAAATCATCAGAAAGGATAATCCAAAGGTTAAATTGGCTGTTGTTGGCGGATTGAGGAATTTTTATTCCATGGAAAAGCTCGTCAACGAAAAAGTTGTTGATATCTGTTCAATTTCTCGTCCATTCATCAAAGATCCCGCAATTGTCATGAGATACAAAGTAGGAACTATCGATGTTCCAAACTGTTGGAATTGTAACGATTGTTTCTTCAGCATTCCAAAGAAAACAGGTATTTTCTGCCATATCCCAACATATTAAATAAAACCTTTATTGTTTATATATATTTCAATAAATTAACATTAATTTTAATTTACCATGTATAAATTAATGTATGATTTGCAATTTGTATTCCAATTTAATGTATAATGTATTATTTAACTTAAGGCATTCACTTTTATTTGAAAGATAAAGTGATCACGAATCACCAATCACACAACTAATGTAAGTTTAACTTCGCTATATCCAACATGAGAAAAGGCCTCATATTTAGGTAATAGATAGAATCAATCATCAGTAATTTAGGTAATGGATTAAAATGACTGATGTGTTGCAAATTTTCCAAGATATTTTATGTCATTAGATTGCTATGTTCTGCTGCATTGCCCCAATGATGGCTTGATTGATAAAATACATAGGGGAATTAGAGACTTTAAAATGCCCTTGATTATAGAGTGTCCGTACCTTTAAAAAAGAAATGATGTGATAATTAAAATATAAATAAGAAAAAAACTCTCTATTTTACAAAAGATATAAAATCAAAAAAAATATAATTAAAAAGAAATATGACATGGAATGAAAAAAAATTAGCGGATGAGAGTGTTGAAACGGTTGACCTTGCTGCGGGAAGACTGGAATTCCTTAGTGATTTGCTTAGCGATAGCTGGTTTCTTCTTGCAAATCTGCTTGAGTGTATCCTTCATAGCCTTGAGAACTTCGTCATCGATGTTGAATTCCTGGAGTTCTGTCTTCTTGAGGAGTAAGAGTTCTGTGAACATCTTCAATGTTACTAAGACAATTGACTCAAATCTTTCCTGGTCAGATAACATGTCAACGAGGCACTGGAGTAATTCGCTTGTTCCTTCGAATTCTGGTGTGAATGGCATCATAGAGACAAGGGAGCCAAGTAAGTCCTCATTTACTTCAACTTCAGCATCATTTGCGTAAACGTTGAAGACAAACTTAGCGACAGTTGGCATTGCCTGGACACCTTCGTACTCGAAGTCTTCCTCTTCACCAGTCTCGGCGAGATGCTGGACAGCCTCTGTGAGGTAGTTGAAGATGTCATCGACTGGTTTGAGTGTTGATGGATATGACTGGTTGATTGCTGTGAGGCAGTCGAGGGCTGGTTCAACAATGGAGATCTCGTGTGGAGAGAGCTTGCTGATGTATTCCTTGATGATGGAGACAATCTTCTTTGCACCATCTTCCTTGACAGCGCATGCTTCAACACCGGCGGAGAGTGGCTCAAGAACCATTTCGATGGAATCTTCAACATTTGCTTCAAGCCACTGGATGAGTGTGTTGCAGACTTCTGCACCTGGAAGTGGGTACTTGCGGATGTATGAGGCAAGGAAGACAAAGTATGAGCCATCGGATGGGATGATGTCGACTGGCTTCATTCCGTTGAGTGTCTTCATGTCGCCAGTGAGAATGGCCTTGATAAGTGGTTCGATTTTCTCGTGTGGAATGGAGAACTTCTCGAGGAGTTGGTTGAGTGTCTCCATGAGCTGGTTGAGTTCCTCGGAGCTCTCTGTCTGCTTGGCACGTGTGGAAACTGTCTCGAATGCTGTGGCAGCGGATTCTGGAGAAAGCTTTGGAAGTAAGCAGATTGTGGCGGCACAGCCATGGCTGACAAACTTAATGTCTGAATCATTGAGTATTTCGAGAGCGATTCTTGTAGCTTCTTGGATGTGTTCGTCGCTGCCGCCTTTGCCAATGAGATGGCAGACATCTGTGAACATGATGTATCTGAGCTTCTTGTCGCCGACAGCTTCGTTGTTGATGTTGGAGATAACGGCTGTGATGATCTGCTTGACGTTCTCCTTTGTCTGCATTGGGAAGTATTCTTGGCCGATGATGTGGAATGCGGTGATCCATGGGTATGTTTCGTATTGGTTCTCATCGATGAACTTCTTGGCAACAGCGAAGACTTCTTGGTAGGAATCTTCGATGTAATCCTTGTCAAGAGAAGCAATATCGGCAAGAAGGTCGAAGCAGTGGGATTTGATGAGGTTGCTCTTGTCGCTCTTGATTGTCTCGACAGAGAATGTAAGAAGCTTCTGAACTGTCTGAAGATTGACGTGTTCTCCGTCATCATCATGGTGATGTTCGCAGCATTCGTCTCCGCAATCGCATGAATCATCATCTGGTGAAAGGATGATGCGGAGGATCTTGAAGAAGTACTTGTAAGCGGTTGGTGTTGTAAACTTGTCCAATAAGGCAAGGATTGCGTCAACATCTTCTTCTGGGAAGACATGGGCATCGACCATAGCGCAAAGGGCGTGGTAAGCAATCTTGACGCAGTTAATGTTGGACTCGTTCATTAATGGGAGGACAAAATCAAGAAGTTGCTGTAATGGTGGGCAAACTTCCATATCATCCATGAAGTAGTCGCAAAGGAAGTCGATGAAACGGCAGCCAGCAGCCTTGGATAAGAGTTCACCTTCAAATGCCTTTGCGATGTAGGCGATGTAGTCTGAAATCATCTCTGGGGCCATTCTGCAGGCATCTGCAACGACTGGAGCAAAGCAAAGGAGGCCAGCAACGAACATGTCTCCTTCGATTGAATCCTTGAATGCCTTGAGGATTTCTGGGACGTAGTCAACTTCGATAGCGTCAAGTAAGATGTCATCGAAGTTCTCAATGTACTGAGTTGGAATGTCGTTCTTCTCCTTCATGAGATCATCAGCGATGGCGATGGCTGATTTGATGATTTGGACGGCATTTTCGCATGTTGTGAATGGAAGAGCAATGAAAAGTGGTAAAACAATCTTGGCACGCTCTTCAGCCTTGATGGACTTATCAGCACCCTTTGCCATTGTATCAAGAAGTCTCTGGCATGGGGTTGAGCGGAATTCTGGGACAAGGTTTAAGTAGTGAGAGAAGACTTCGAAGTAGATCTGGAGATTATCTGATTGGGAAGCGACGTCAAGAAGCATCTCCCAGAGTTTAGCATTATCTGGTTGCTCTTTTGGATCTTGGGCATCACTAGCTGTGTAGTTTGTAAGTTGCTTGAATAGCGCAGTGTACTGATTATTCATGAACTACTTTTAAAAATCTGAATCGACCAATGGCAAAAATTTTGTGTCTTAGACTTAGATTCATTTTACAAAGCATCTTGGATTTGTATGAATATAAATGTACATTTGGTATCAAACATTTTTGCACATATAAAAAAATATAAATTGCGAGACAAAACCTCGGTGACTCAATTTTTCAGAGAGAGCAATTAGTAATTCTGGATTCCAGCTAGAAACTCAGTAGTTTTATATTGCCAGATCACTTATTAAGCAATATAAACTCCTATGGAAATAGGTTGTTGCATTAAATGCTTGTTTCAATAACAATTCATTTTCCAAATTAGCTCAGAAATTCGAAAAATATACATGTGCATCAAACGCACATGATATTTACTCATAATTGGCGAGTATAAATTAAGTAAATATAATGCAATATCCTCAGAAAATTTGGGTAAAAAAGAAATTTCCATGGAACCATGTGGAAGTATTATTTAAATATTTAGTTGTTTTATTGTTAAAGCTGAATAAAAAAAACGTCATATATTTAGGTGGGAAATTCTGACAATATATGGATGAAACTCATAGAATTGATTCAATGTGTCTTTTCAAAAAGTCTGATTCTCGCCTAGGTTTTGTCACGCAATTTAGAATTGTGGTTGTGATCTGAATTTTTTTCGGCGTCAATAAGTTAGGCCTTGAAAATTGAATAGTTTACATATTTCCGACCAAATATAGATCAAACATATTTTTTTGAAATTTAATAGGGAAAATAGATTCTACATCAAACACAGATATTAAAAACATTTAAATTATAATTTACAAAATTACCCATAGACAATTATTGATGTCTGAGAAAGACATTCACCCAAATAAATACAGTAAATTGCGAAGTATCTATAGGTACTACATCGATTCGTTTAATACATTGTATCGGCTGAAAATGGAAAACGAAGAAGAAATTAACTCATTTTACAAAATGATCAAAACAGAAATGATTGATTCAAAGAAATGTCTTCCCCAAGATATAACCCGGGATATTTTAAATATCATTCCGTATAATAATCGCTATGCGAAGGCATATTTATATCTTGCAAAACTCATATCTGATGATTATCATGTCAAAGAGCTCGTCGATGTTGTTACTATTTCAGATTTCTTGTTTTACAAAGAATATGGAATTAAATTAGAAAAGTCTCATAATTTCGAAAAAATTAAATCAGAAAATCTGGAAATTCATACAGAAAATACGATTTACAGAGCAATTATGTATAATGATTTAAAAAGATTCATCTCATTCACTGAAAGAGATGACTTCGATAAAAATCAAATACTCAAAAGCGATTTATATCCAAAATGTGAAAAAGGATTTTCATTACTTGAATTATGTTGTTACCACGGAGCGGTTGATTGTTTCAAGTTATTAAGAACGAAATTTAACTCAGAAATAACTCAAAAATGCCTCAGATTTTCATTTTTAGGCGAAAATCCAGAGATCATGAGTGAATGTTTGAAACATCTACAGCCAGATGAAAAATGCATGAAGTATGCAATCATTTCACACAACATTGATTTTGTTTCTTTCTTAATGAATGAACACAATATAGAAATAGATCCATGTTTTTGCGGATTTCATAAAAATCTTGATGCATTTTTGGTTTATTTCGATCAAACTAATGATTATAACATATGTTTTGTTTATTCAGTGATATTTAATATTGTATCCCTTTTCAAATATTTCTTATCACTTGGAGCAAACATCAATGAAAAAACTGAATCTGGGAAAACTGCTCTTCATTATGCAGCATGTCTCAATAGCAAAGAAACAGCCGAAATTCTAATTTCGGATGGTGCAAATGTTGATGAAAAAGATAATGATGGAGAAACCTCTCTTCATTATGCAGCATATATCAATAGTAAAGAAACAGCCAAACTTCTAATTTCACATGGTACAAATGTTGATGAAAAAAATAATGATGGAAAAACTGCTCTTCATTATGCAGCAATAAATAATAGCAAAGAAACGACCGAACTTCTTATTTCTCATGGTGCAAATGTTGATGAAAAAAATAATGATGGAAAAACCTCTCTTCATGCTGCAGCAATAAATAATAGCAAAGAAACGACCGAGCTTCTTATTTCTCACGGTGCAAATGTCGATGAAAAAGATAATGATGGAGAAACCTCTCTTCATGCTGCAGCAATATATAATAGCAAAGAAACAGCCGAACTTCTTATTTCTCACGGTGCAAATGTTGATGAAAAAAATAATGATGGAGAAACCTCTCTTCATGCTGCAGCAATAAATAATAGCAAAGAAACAGCCGAACTTCTTATTTCTCATGGTGCAAATGTTGATGAAAAAAATAATGATGGAAAAACCTCTCTTCATGCTGCAGCAATAAATAATAGCAAAGAAACGACCGAGCTTCTTATTTCTCACGGTGCAAATGTCGATGAAAAAGATAATGATGGAGAAACCTCTCTTCATTATGCAGCATATATCAATAGCAAAGAAACAGCCAAACTTCTAATTTCACATGGTACAAATGTTGATGAAAAAAATAATGATGGAAAAACTGCTCTTCATTATGCAGCAATAAATAATAGCAAAGAAACAGCCGAACTTCTTATTTCTCATGGTGCAAATGTTGATGAAAAAAATAATGATGGAGAAACCTCTCTTCATGCTGCAGCAATAAATAATAGCAAAGAAACGACCGAACTTCTTATTTCTCATGGTGCAAATGTTGATGAAAAAAATAATGATGGACAAACCTCTCTTCATGCTGCAGCAATAAATAATAGCAAAGAAACGACCGAGCTTCTTATTTCTCACGGTGCAAATGTTGATGAAAAAGATAATGATGGAAAAACTGCTCTTCATTATGCAGCAATATATAATAGCAAAGAAACAGCCGAACTTCTTATTTCTCACGGTGCAAATGTTGATGAAAAAGATAATGATGGAAAAACTGCTCTTCATGCTGCAGCAATAAATAATAGCTTAGAAACAGCCGAACTTCTTATTTCTCATGGTGCAAATGTTGATGAAAAAAATAATGATGGAGAAACCTCTCTTCATGCTGCAGCAATAAATAATAGCAAAGAAACAGCCGAACTTCTTATTTCTCATGGTGCAAATGTTGATGAAAAAAATAATGATGGAAAAACCTCTCTTCATGCTGCAGCAATAAATAATAGCAAAGAAACGACCGAGCTTCTTATTTCTCACGGTGCAAATGTCGATGAAAAAGATAATGATGGAGAAACCTCTCTTCATTATGCAGCATATATCAATAGCAAAGAAACAGCCAAACTTCTAATTTCACATGGTACAAATGTTGATGAAAAAAATAATGATGGAAAAACTGCTCTTCATTATGCAGCAATAAATAATAGCAAAGAAACAGCCGAACTTCTTATTTCTCATGGTGCAAATGTTGATGAAAAAAATAATGATGGAAAAACCTCTCTTCATGCTGCAGCAATAAATAATAGCAAAGAAACAGCCGAACTTCTTATTTCTCATGGTGCAAATGTTGATGAAAAAGATAATGATGGACAAACCTCTCTTCATGCTGCAGCATATATCAATAGCAAAGAAACGACCGAGCTTCTTATTTCTCACGGTGCAAATGTTGATGAAAAAGATAATGATGGAAAAACTGCTCTTCATTATGCAGCAATATATAATAGCAAAGAAACAGCCGAACTTCTTATTTCTCACGGTGCAAATGTTGATGAAAAAGATAATGATGGAAAAACTGCTCTTCATGCTGCAGCAATAAATAATAGCTTAGAAACAGCCGAACTTCTTATTTCTCATGGTGCAAATGTCAATGAAAAAGATAATGATGGACAAACCTCTCTTCATTATGCAGCAATAAATAATAGCAAAGAAACAGCCGAACTTCTTATTTCACACGGTGCAAATATCGATGTAAAAGATAATCTTGGAAAAACCGCTCTTCATTATGCAGCAAGAAAAAATAGAAAAAAAACGGCCGAACTTCTTATTTCTCACGGTGCAAATGTTGATGAAAAAGATAATGATGGAAAAACTGCTCTTCATGCTGCAGCAATAAATAATAGCTTAGAAACAGCCGAACTTCTTATTTCTCATGGTGCAAATGTTGATGAAAAAAATAATGATGGAGAAACCTCTCTTCATGCTGCAGCAATAAATAATAGCAAAGAAACAGCCGAACTTCTTATTTCACACGGTGCAAATATCGATGTAAAAGATAATCTTGGAAAAACCGCTCTTCATTATGCAGCAAGAAAAAATAGAAAAAAAACGGCCGAACTTCTTATTTCTCATGGTACAAATGTTGATGAAAAAGATAATGATGGAAAAACCTCTCTTCATTATGCATCAATAAATAATAGCAAAGAAACGGCCGAACTTTTAATTTCGCATGGTGCAAATATCGATGAATAAGATAAGAGTATATATTCAGAAGTGACAGAATTTTAAATAAAAGCTCTCAATTTTTTAATTTTTTTTAAATAATCAAATGTCTAAACTGGTGGACAAAAGGCGTAAGTATTCAATTTTGAATAGTTTACAATATTTTTTTAATGGCATCCACTGAGCATATGGTGTTCACTCTAGAATACTTAGAATGCAAAAGGTAGTTAGTAACTAATAGGTTTTAGCATATCCTCATCAATTTTTATTGTATCTTAATAAAAAATAAATTTAATTAATTTCAAATCTCGTTCAAACAAAAGCAGCAGTATAATTCCTTGCGAAATAAAGTTAACAAAAATTACGAATGCTTATATGAACATTCATTGAATGTTGTTTCCGGCAAATTTTATTTCGAAATTTCTGATTCTATGAACGAAATCAAGTAGCTACTTAATTAACACCGATTGGTCAGATAAATACAGAAATGCCCGCTCGAAATTTTTGCTAATTTCAACAAATCTTTGATGAAATAAGAAAAAAACTCTTTATAATCTTACAGATTAGATCATTATTGCTAAGTAACTCATACCCTGTTCTAGAGTTGACTTTTGCTAATGTTACACATTCGCAATAGAAAACTGTTTTTTATTCCATGGTATTATTTTGTTGTTACAACTATGAGGATAATGTAACATTATTCTCATAGATAAAACTCCTGTATAACCTTTTTTCAAATATCAGAAAATTTAATTCTTAACCTAAGAAGAAAATTTTCTGATAGATATAATCTATTTTGAATGTTAATGTTAAATGTAAAATAAAAATAGCCGGGACAAAAGGCGTAAGTGAAATGTGATATGAAATTGTGAGAACCTAATAGAATATTTTGACTACTTTCTCTCAATTTTAAATTTTACTTACGCCTTTTGTCCCGCAGTTTATAGGAAAAATTATTTATTGTTGAATGTTAGGCCGTGAACAGAACTCATACAAAGGAAGACCATAATTGATACGCCCAAGATGAAACATAGCATAAAAAAATTTTATTTATGATAGTTGGTTAAATATAAGCATTTATATATGGGTGAGGTCGCTCATGTGTTTTATATGAAGACATTAAAATGGTTTAGGTTTATTAATAAACTGTTGAAAGAAATTTATTAAATAAAGTTAGAAATATTAGATATAAGAAATAGTGAATGATAAAATATTTATACTATGTATGAACATTGAGAGTTGAAAGATCTTAAAATATCTCAATTGGACCCGGTCCTGAGTATGAAATGTGCAGGTCCTGAATTAGGCTTAGACCAGATCTTCGTATTTTCTCGTTCTTATGACCGGATTCTTTTAGTGTACATTTAAGAAATCACTTTGTAATTAACTATCACTTTGTTGATTTTATTTTAAATAATTTTTATTTTATTTATAATCTAATGAGCGTTCACAATATTTTACATTTACCAAAAGAGACTGTATGCCTCAATTGTTTTATTTTGAAAACAAGAAATTTTCCACTTTTATTGCGTTTTATATAGGAGTGAAGCCTGTTAAAAATGCAATAAAAGTGTAATTATCTTACTAATGATTATTTTTGATTCTAATACCGAACAGCATTTGAATCAAAAATAATTGTATGTTTGATAATTTTTTTTCATTCACCTTCTCAATTTTTTTTACCAGTTTTCACTCGCATATGAGAGAAATCAATTTTGTTTGCAATTATATTTGCGCCATGTATTATAAGAAGATTGAAATATCTCATTGAAGTAACTAATTATTATAATGTTTTTTAATCATAATTTTCTTTAATTTCTTCTTTTCTCTTTTCATCAAGTACACTCATAAGTGCAGAATGAGCAATAGCTGTGCAGTTACTGATTGATTTATCTTCAAGATATCGTAATTCATAAATTTTGTCAACAAATTCCGTAGAAATTGAAGAAGAAAGAGTTCCGCTGTTTCCTGTGTTTGAGAATTCATCACATATTTTGGTGAAACACATTAAAACAGGGTTAACAACAAGAGGATTCTCATCATCAAGCCAATCAAGGAAAACATCTAAAATTCCATTCGAAACAAGACAAAAAATAAAATTAAAATCTTTGTAAATAATAATTGTGGAAATTAAGTTAATGATTTCCACTTTAATATCAAATGAATAAAGATTGGAATTAGTTATAAGTAAATCTATGTATTCAGTGTTCATTATATCCCTAGATATAGTTGTAGATTCATGAATCCATAAGTTAATTAATCTGATTAAAGAAAGTATCCAGAAATCATCATGTTTTTCAACAATAAGCTGCATTATTTGAGAAACTAATTGTTCTTGTATTTTTTGGAGTCTGTTTTCATCAATATCTTTCATAAATTTTTCGAAAAATTTGAAATCTTGTGAACAGCGGAAAAGAAGGAAAGAAAGAAGAATTATGATGCTTATTGGTATCTGACTGCCTGAATCATTGAAAATAAAGTCTATTCTGTTGACTAAATCTTGAATTAAAATTGGATCAAAAATTTTGGTTGAAAAAAGGAAGAAAATGCGTGAAAATGGAGGATATATACTATCTCCATATATATTGTATAAATTTATGAATGTATCTATCTTATATTCATTGATAAAGGCAATTCCAAAATCAGAATCAAAATCGAAGAGATTTGCGAAAACGCAGAGTGCATTGTTCACGATATCTGCATTATCAGAGTAAATTGCTCCTTTGAAGTCATCTAAAATAGAACTAATCGCTAAAAAATACGGTTCAAAGAAATTTTTTTCTCTTGTAAGTAATCTTGCTATGCGTATTGCAATTAAAACGATATCTTCATTTGTGTTATGTGCGAAATCGCATAATATATCAGCAATGTTCTGTAATAATTCTTGATCTATGTTTATTGGTTTGAATTTCTTAGTAACAAGTTCTTGAAGTGTTATAATTATCTGATTGATGGCTTCTTGTGGTGAATTTGATTTAGTTTTTTCCTTTAAAAGATTCAAATAGTGATATAAAGTTTCTTCGTCAAAATATTCACATTCTAACAATCTTTCCTCTAAACCATTCAAGAGAGGCTTATCATTTTCTATTGGATCAGTTCCAGAACCTTGTTTATAATCTTGGTCATCCATAGAAAAATGACAAAATCATTGAAATCCAGTTTTATGTGAAGAATTACAATCACTAACCATTGTCATGATGATTTGCAAACATAAAAAATTCCAAATTTTTTTCAAAATCTAAAAAATGATGAAATGTTATTTGAATTTTTTCTTCATTTTTATATTTTCGAATTTTTTTTGGAAATATTATGTAGAGATTTTCCAAAAACAAAAGATACCAACATTCTGATTTTAGACAATAAACGTATTTAAATAGAAAAATACAGATTTTATTATAAATTCGCCAAAATATTAAATCAATTTCTGTATTTTTTCATGATTTAAAGACATGTTCATTAAAAATATTTAAATGACACAAAAATATATTTATTCATTACTCAGTTTCTTCAAGTACAAATGAAGAAAGTGACTTATCAAAAGCACCAACGTATAAAATGTTGTTTTGCATTGTTAAACAACGTGTTGCCTTGTGCCAGTTAGAAATCTGGAATGCAAGCTTGTTATCAGCGATATCAACTGCATTAACTTTCAAATCATCAGTTGTAGAAAGGAATATTGGTCCTGTTGGCCAAATCATTTGTGGTTGTGTAAGTCCGTCGCTAAGAACATGGTCGACATTGGCCAAAACTTCGAGTTCTTGAGCTCCAGGAGTAAATTTGTAGATAACAGCTCTGTTTTGGTCGGTTAAAACAATGAATGACGATTTATCGCTTGGGCTCTCCTTCATATCACGAACGCCGAAGCCGTGAGTATCGAATTCAATTGGATTCATCAAAAGATACTGAACTTGTTCGATATCATCGAGGCTTCTGTACATAAAGGAGTTATCATTTTGTAATGCATATATAACGCCGTTGTTAACTAAGCACATCGATGAAATTGCGTTTGGATGCTTGAATCTCTTTTCAAGAATGAAATCTGATCTACGTACGAATGACAATTCGCCACTGTATGAAGAAGCAACAATGTAGTCACCTAATATACGGATGTTTGTTACATGATTATTGCTGACTTGAAGTGCAAACTCAGATTCGAACTTTTGGATATCGAAAACACCAACATGGCCTCCCATTGTGCAATAGTAGACCTTTCCATCGAGGTATTGGAAGCATAAGATTGTTGGAACGTTTAATTCAGTGCTCTTCAATTCATTGAGATCAGCATCGAACAACCTAATAGTCTTATCGTTAAATGATGCTAAAATACCCTCTGGAATTGCAATAATAGCAACTGGAGATGCATTAAATTCGACTTTTTTGCTTGTTTCTGTAAGTTTGAGCTTCTTACCTTGCATAAGAGCTCTAAGAGTTGTTGTTTGACCTGTGATTTGAAGTTCACCGAATGTTTGTCTTAACATGTGCTCTTTGAACAAGCCTTCTTTGTATTTAATGCCAGATTCCTTTTCTAAAGCATTAAAGGCTTCCATGTAGTTCTCTTCCTTAAGGAATTGCAGTACAACTTGCACTGGATGCATTAAAAAATGATTGGACGAGTAGTAAAGTTGATCGGGTTTTGTAAATTATTCAAACTTCACAAATTTAGAATTAAGGGGGAATAAATAATTATTTTGGGGTCAGTGTTCTTGAGATGTCTTCCGGAATTACAAGATGGGGAATTCATAAATTAAAATATCCTGAGCCAAAGTCAAATTTTGGTGAAGAAGGATATAGCAGTCATGCAAATGGCGGCCAAGAACATAATTTAGCCATGAATCAAAACACCCCTCTTGAAAGGTTCGAATCAATATCAATAAACTTTGAAGATTACCCAACAAATGAATTTGTTTATAATTTTTTAGTTGGATATACACAAGAAGTCGATTTATCAAAGTTTTATGCTCCAACTGCAATATTTTCTGTTACAGTTGAAGAAAGCACTCCGCAGTCAGAAACAATCAACGTAATTCAACAAAATTATTCAAGAAACATCTTGAAAGATACAGAAGAAAATTATGTCACAGATCCATGTAAAATTATTGAAGTACAGAAAGACATCTTCCCATATGGTATTAGATGGCAGCCTTCTTCAATATTTAGTTCAGAAATTTCTCCAGGTGTTCATTCTGTTGTTTTACACGGTTACTGCGCTGTAGAAGAAAACATTACTTTGAGATTTACAAGATCAATGATCATCGGAAAAGAGGGCGATTTGATATTAATAACAAATGACCATGTGTTCTTATCAGAAATTAAAGAGGAGTAATCAGACATCAATAAGTCAATCCGTTTATATTAGATATATTGCTTCCAATCATTTCAGAACAAAATTTTATTTTGATTTTTTCTCAATTGACTCAAATTACGAGAACCATACTAAGACCCAATTATTACCTTTACCACTTCGCTATTTACAACAGATATTATTAATACATTTTTAATTTCAAATGATTTTTGTTACATAAGGCCAAACAATCAATATCATTGCTACCTGGTGATTGGTTTGGCTAAATACTCAGATAAGTTAGATATTTAGTTTTGTTTTTATGTTTGATAAAATTTAGATTAAAAATCCTTTATAATATACATTATTTTTACACTGTAAAATCGATTTTATATGATTCTAAGGAGTTATCATGATTAAATTCGAAAAATAAAATGGAATTTAAAATTTCTTCTGAAGATAAAACAATTTAAAGCTAAGAAACAAAATACAATATTAATGTCATTCATGAATATCAGAAGAATTATTCCATATATACAAGACAAACTTCATTTCAGATTAATTTCAGTTATGATTTTTGTTTTTGAATTGAACATAGGATATACATCTATATGGTGAATGCAAACACATGTATGGCTAATGCTCTTTGAATAAAACGCTTGTAAACTACACAAATTGAATTTATGGATGTGTACGTTTAAAATCTTCACTAATCATCAGATGATGTTAAACTCACAGAACTCTTATGCAAACACAGTGCACACTGATAGGGTTAAGGCAACAGTTGACTTTCGCTCACTGTTTTTACCTAAGAAACTTACTCATGTTGAAGATTCAGAATATTCAGACGTCGAAATTGAAGATGATGCTGATGAAAATCTCTCACCCGATCAGCCTGAAATGCAAGATGCTGATATTAGCAACTCCACAAAACCATTAAGTGTTGCTCGCTATGCTGAAAGAATTTTCGTAACAGATCAAAAGGAAGAATCGCAGTTCATTATTCCAGAAGGAAGGTTCGAAGAAGTTCAGACTGAAATTACTCCAAAAATGAGAGAAATTTTGGTTAAGTGGTTAATAAACGTACACCACGAATTTAATTTTGCAAGTGATACATTGTTCAATACCATTGCATATTTAGATCAAGTATTATCGAAGAAAAATATACATAAAAATCGACTTCAACTTGTAGGAGCAGTTTGCTTGTGGATGGCTGCAAAAGTTGAAGAAATTAGAATACCTCCAGTTAATGAACTCATTGAATTATGTAATGAACCATATACACAGGCTCAATTTTGCCGCTATGAAGCAAAAATTCTCCAACTTTTGAATTTCAGACTTCAGTACCCAACTACTAAGAGCTTTCTCAGAAGATACCTAGTGGCAGTTTCAGCAGACAATCCTCTAATCGAAGTTGCTGGATTTATGTGCGAGGCCTCGTTGCTTGATCATAGAATTCTTCAATTCCGTCCTTCAGTTGTTGCTTTCGGAATTATTGTCTGCTCAATGACTGCCATTGGTCGCCCATGCCCAGTTAATTTACTCAAGAAATATGCTCACTTCGAAAACCTTTCTGAGGTCAATTCCACAATTAATATTATCATCGAATCAACTAATAAAGTGTTGTCAAAGAAGATTGGAGCATCATATCAAAGATACACAGATGTTGGATCATCTGGGGCAGTTATATCTTTGAATATTGATGATGCCACAATCAAAAGGATATATGAGTGTTTATAATATATTTTGTTTGATAAAATTTTCATGTTTGATATATAAATGTTATCTATTCGTATACAACTTCAATCTATTAAATAAGTATTTATGCTAGTAATAATTGAATGCATAAAAAAACACAAAATTTCATTTTATTCAGAAATTATTTTATTTTTTCGTAACAAACAAATAGGATTTTGATAAATCTCAATAAGTTAAATTAATGTAGCATGGCTAATTTTTCTCATATTCATTAAGAAAGTTCATTGTAGATTGAATAAACGGAGAAAGTTGGTTGATTGTTTTTTCCATACTAGATCTTTTAACTTGCTGTTCTAGCGAATCAATTTGCTCATCCAATTTAGTGAACAACTCGTTGACTTCAGGAGGAAATTGAATTGGTTGATCAATGTCAATTTCAGGAGTATCTGGTATCAATTCATCCAAATACTGATCTATCATTGTGCGAACTGTATTAACAAACGCATTTTTCCTGCCGAGAATTTGTTGTTGTAATCTAATTGCTTGTTGTTGCATTTTTTCTATTTGACATTTGATCTGTTGTCCTTTAATTTCTTCTTCTGGGGTCTGAATGATTGTTAAATTTTGCCTAAGTGCATTTTCAAATTGAATATTAACTTTATTTTGATCTAAATTAATCTTCTGATCATCTCCAATGCTTTCTGATATTGCTTGGCTAAATAGTTCGACAATTTTACCAAGATCTTCATTTGTTATCTGGGGACGAATTTCCATGCCCGTTTATTAATTGATGCTATGATTGTTAACTTTACATTGTCAAAATGGTTTTCTAGCTGACATGATTTTATTTCTCAGTGAACAGATCGATTTTTCTGGTTTCGTCCATAAGAAGTTACGATCCTTAACACTCATGGATGGCATTTTACTATAAATTTTTAAAGTTTTTCATTTTTTTCGTCAGAAAGTCCGTCACTTTTTTTAATATTAAAAAATGAGTTTTCAGGATTTAACAAAAGTAAAAGCAGTCTTTTTCTACTCCCATTCAGGATCAAGAATTACTGCTCAATACTATGATAATAGCATTCCAGACGAAAAGAGAACAGATTTTGAAAATAATATATTCAAACGCGCTTCAGAAGATTTCGATGGCCAAATTATGCAACATGAAGAATACATTACCGTTTATCGCAATTGTAACGATGTTGTCGGTTTTGTTGTTGGCGATTTAAAGGCAAATGAACTTTTATTAGACGAAGTTCTTGAAACAATTTTCACTGCTCTCTCCCTTGTTTACAAGAAAGTTAGCTACGATGATTTAATGAAGCAGATAGATCTTTTATACTTACTTTTAGACGAAACCATCGAGCAAGGATATATTTTCGAAGGAGATCCCGAAATTGTTGCCGCTCGTGTTGTTCTTAAAGATGATAAGGCTTTCGCCGGTAAGGCTGTGCGTTCTTCGCAAGGCTTTTAAATGAATATTTAAATACAGTTCCTTTATTAAAAACTCTTATTATATACCAGCAATTACATATTCACTCTTGATACAATCAGTCTTAAGTCAATATGCTTTTGATTTAATTTGGATAATAATTTTATTTTGCTATTTACAACATTTTACTTGTGAAATTATGACACTATATATCTACCAATGAGGATTATATTTCAATTATTCATATATTTTCTTAATCCAAGAAGATTTATGTGGAAATTTTATTTGATTTGTAATATATCTTTAATTTGATAGTTCATTTTTTTTGAATGTTGGAAGTTTTGTTAAGATTAGTCCTGGAACTTAGTCATTATTATATAAGTAAATTTTTCAATGTTCAGTGATTTTGTCAATTCATTGCCTCAAATCAACAATGAACACGAAATCACTGAATCACTAGTAATACTAAAGAAATCTAATCGGTTTTCATCTGTTTCACCTCAAAATCCAATTCAAATTAATGAAATAATTGATGATTTATTAAACAAGATGAAGATAATTCTATCTGGAAACCTTGATGAAACAGTAATCAAAGCCAAAAAATACTTACAATTCATTTTAAATCTACCCAACGAATTAATAAAGTTCGAAAATGTAATAATTGCGGACAATTCATTCTTCCTTCAACTAGACAATAAAGTTATATTAAGTTCAGATGATGAACCTGAACAATTATCCGAATTAATCAATCTAATTTTACCGTTTTTCATTCGATGTGATTTTAAAACACTTTTTCAAGATGACATAATTCAAAATGTTGTCGAGCATATTAAAAATTCAAATTATTTCCCTGATTTTACTCAAGCAATTCAAATTCATACATTAATATTTCAATTAAATGAAAATATCCAACATAAAACATTCTTTTCACCAATTTTACGTCATGTAATACAGTTAATGTGGGAATTCAATCAAAAAGAATTATCAAAAAACATAATTAAGCATTTAACAAACGAACTTACACCAACATTATACAATATTATTAAAGTAGTTTATACAGCGAACTTTAATCAATCAGAAAAACTATTTTGTTCCACTTATATTCCATTATCATTTCTGATGATTGCTGCTTCATATCCACACTCATTAGCCATGATAGATTGGAAGAAATGTGTTAAATTCTTTTACAATTTAACAAGCAAAGCAGAAAAAAATTTTCCAGATTATGAATTTTGTCTTTCTCATCCAGATTCAGTTCCAACACAAGCAATATGCGAAAATATCTACGTACTGATGATTTCTGAGTCACTTTTAGTACATTTACAAAATAATACAGATTCTGAATTTTCTTTACGTTTTCTTCACATTGTAGCAACGACAAATATTATTGGACAACAAGCCGTTGTCAATTCCTTATATATTATGTTCAAATACAGCATTTTTGAAAATACAAAAACAGAATTTTTGAAATTACTCAAAAAACGAAACAGTTCAGCCCTACAACTTACAGAAGATATCTTAATAAACAATACTAATGAGAAAACACTATATTTGATGCAGAATTTCAGCATTCCAAAAAATATTATTTCAATTTACAACAAAAAAGTGAATAATCTTGAGAAAACCGATGATTTTTCACTCAGAGATGTCGTCTGTATATCAGATATCCTGTTATATACCATGTCCACCTCTGAATCTCTTTCGATTTTACGAGGAAGTTTCCTAAATCGAGCGAAACAAGTCATTCATAGGATAATTGATAGTAACATCTGTATTATTGATCTTAGATACGCAGAACTCTTCGCACATGCCTCAGCAAGTCTGATGAAACTGGCTGAAAAATGCAAAATTTTTGATTTTGTAAATGGCGGATTTTTCGATGTCAAATTTGTTTTATCCATGTTTAGTACGATTGTTTCCAGTTGTCGACCGATTCTTCCACGCGACAGGAAAGACATAGACACATATACAGCGAAAATGATCACAGAAATCGAAAGATTTTCTTCATCAATTTTGGAAAATTCCGAAATTTTCTTCAAAATTTCTTTCGCCATCATTTATGAGAATTGTCCTTCTCTTTCCTTCCCAACTCTTGTGTTGTTCTACTACTCACTAAAGGCGGATCCTTCCCTCCCTTACCCTCATTTCGACAACATAAAAGCATTCGCAAAAATTCCTTCTTCTCCTTGGGAATGGTCACTTCACTTTGTAAAATCTGACGACATAATATGTCATTACACGGCCATTGAGTGTCTTTGCACGATCATTTCGAAGCAATCTGATGAACTGAATGCAAATGTTTTCGATTCAATCATCAACGGAATGAAGAAGAAAAATTCCGCGAAAATTTTAAATTGTTTGCTGATTATTTTATCGGAAACAAACGGAACAGTTAAGTCAAAACTGTTCAGTTGCCATAGAGATGACGCTGTTGTTATGGCTTTGCTCTCTAATTACTTCACAACGAGTGTAACTTGTGAATATGAGACACAAAAGATGGCTTGTGACATTATCTATGTTCTTTCTTCAAATTTGTTCTCAGGAAAATACGGAAACTGTGATTTGGATGATAATTTGATATCAAATGTCACTGATAGATTTTGTGAATTATTAAATTATCATCAGAGCTCAGGAAACCAACATATCTTACTTAACATCATTACTTTGTTGTCTGGGCTCTGTGAAAACAAACAGTTTCTCTACAAAATCTTTAGAAATCAGATTTCATTAAATTTCGATTCGGCCATTTACTCAAATATCAGAGATAAGTGCGTAGATTATGCGCTAAGAACAATTATTGCTGTAAATATGCATAATCACAAGTACGCACAGATTTTGTTCTCAATGATTCAAAAATATGATTTAGAGAAGTTCGAAAAGGGAAAATACGTAATAAACTTGATTCACAATCAGACAAATGATGCTCAAGTACCAAAAACACCTGATAATTACACAATTTGCCACTATGAAAGAATATTTGACTCAAAATGTTCACAACTTCCTTATTATTCAAGGGAAGCTGGATTATTCCCATCCATTTCTCCAAAAATCATGGCCAAACCAAATATAATCGTTCCACAAGAAGATTAAGACATAATCAACTGGATTATTATATCTCTTGCAAATACACATACAGATCGTACTTGTTTGTAACTTAATTTGACATGTTTTTCGAATTGTTTTTTATTTTTATTATATTTTATATCTAAATCTTCTTTAAGGCTTCACATTAACCTATAGAAGACATAGATATATCATATATTTATATTATGTATAATTTATTAAAAATTATTTTTAAAATTTGAATTTCAACATTCCTATTTCTTTCGGAATCGCTTAAATGTCTCACAAGCCGAAATACATCTCATTGCTTTCAAATTAACAAATATAAATGAAAATTGAAAACGGCATAATCTCTTGATATATAGGAAGAAGAAATAATTGAGTAGACATCAGTTCAAGCTCTTCAAATCTTCGTAGCTAAGCTCTTATTATCAACCGCAATCTATTGAAATGCAGAGATTTGCTAAAAATGTCACTTTTATCATTCAATTTGAAATTGAAAGATAAAAAGCGAATATTTTAAATTTAACAACAACACCATAGTTTAAATCCAAATGTGAAATAAAAAATAAAATTCTTAAGGTCAGTTCAAAATTTAAATAGTTTACATTGGCCATAGAATAGGAAAATGTTGCCCATTTTATTATCATTAGTGAGGAGCGACGAAAATCGCACATTCTATTCATTTAAACAGACTCTTGACCACGAAAATACAGGTTCAGAGACCTTTGATCAGTACTATTATGAAGTTACTGATCATGTTGTCGGACAACCAAAAGCAATCATCGTTAAAATAGGCGCAGAAAGTGACAAACTCGTTGCATCCGGCGTTAGTGATTTTAACGCTGTTCTTGCTAAGAGATATAACGCAATTGTTTTAACAATTCAGCACAGATTCTTCGGAAAATCCATTCCACAGGACGGACTTACAGTTGACAAACTCAAATTCTTAACAGTTGAGCAAGCTGTTCAAGATTATAAGGTTTTCCACGATTATTATCAAAATGAAAAGAAACTTAATTTACCATGGCTTGTTGTTGGTGGATCATATCCAGGCCTTCTTTCTGCCCTCATCAGAGATAAATATCCAGATGATTTCAAAGCAGCAATTTCATCATCCGGCGTCCTTTATGCTACAAACAATTTCGTAGAGTTCGATCTCCAAGATGCCATTTCCATGGGTCAGGAGTGCGCTGCAATCGCTCGCCAAACAAGATACCAAATTGAAAAGCTTCTCGAAGACCCAAGTGACAAAGCTTATGTCATGAACCTCTTCGGCGTCGATACAGAAAAATACCCACTCAAGGATGGCGAATTCATGAACTTCATCGGCGAATTATTCACCCTCTCATTACAATACAACAACCTCTCTAAGGTTTGCAGCCCACTTGTCAATGCCCGTCGCCTCGGCTACGATACAGTTTCCGCTCTCGCTACATACGCAAAGGGCTGGTTCTACGAAAACCAGGCCAAGCCACAAGAATACTCTACAGCCCACATGAGAAACATCACAGGACCAAACAACGATCAGCGCTGCTGGTTCTGGATGACATGCAACCAACTCGCTTACTGGCAGATCGGAAAGGGAAGATTATCTCTTCGTGGCGAAAAGGTTACAAAGGAAGTCTTCGAAGACCAATGCAAGGATGTCTTCGACCAGGAGATGCACCCAGACGTTGATGCCTTCAATGCGAAATACAGCGGAATTCCTCTCAATCGCGACCACATTTTCTATACAACAGCTTCACAGGATCCATGGACATGGACTTGCGTAACTGAGGATGTCAAAGTCAACGAAAATAGCGTCGTTCGCACATACGCCGGCCCTGAGCTTGGCCATTGCAGCGACCTCGATGGCGCCACAGATAACGACCCAGAGGACCTCGTAAGAATTAGAGAACAGGAGATCCTCACGATCGAGCACTGGCTTTTCGATCAGTAAAATTAATTAACTTTTTTTAAAGATTTATATATCAAATTATCATCTTATTAATGCTTTTTCTTTTTTTAAATAGGTAATTTCATAATGAAATCTTGATATGAAATAAAAAATTTCGGATTTTTCATCTATTTGTAAACAAAATATTGATATATTCATATTGTTTTATTGTAATATCCATTTCATAGATTAATTTGTTCTCATTTTATGAATGATAATTCAAAGAATAGTAGCAATAATAGCAATCAACTGACCGAAAATGATAAGAAGCAGAACGATGAACCAAATAAAACATCAGGCGAAACTAAATATGTTTTAGATCCTAATCTTCTTAAGTCCGGAAATAATATCAACAAACAGAACAGCAATTCTGATCAAAATACTAAAACAACAGAGAGTAAAAGCGATAAGCCAAACCAAAATACAAAATTCCAACCATATTATCCTCTTTTTGATATTATCCAAGAGAAATCAGAAAAAACACCAGAAAATTCCAAAAAATTCGTAACAGGATACGTTGATGACAATCATTTTGTATTCGCTGATGAATTTACAAATAATTTGATAATTTCTGCTACAGGAAAGAAACAACGCGACATTCCAATGGATTACAAGCCATCATCAATTACATTAGTTAAAGACACAATTTTAGTTACAAGTGATAAAAATTTAAATATTTTTAATCTTGAAAAGCTAGATTCACAAACAAAAACATTCCAAAATATAGTCTACGCCAAGTGCGATCTAAACATGCAAAATTACTTTTATTTCTTAATAACTCCGAACTTATATTTGAATTTTATTTCCGAAAATCAACAAGTTAATAATGACATGAATTTTCAACAGACATTGGTATACGATAACGTTTTACAGTTTGATTTCTCATTTATTTTGTTTTGCATTTTAGATCAAAATTTCAAGTTAACTGTCTTCGATAGAACAGAATCCAGGTTTGTCATACACTCAGAAATACTTATAGACCAAAATAACGTCAAAATATACTGCGATAACTCAAATGTTTACTTATATAATTTTCAAAATGAATCTTGTGAGGTAATTAATGTATTTGAGAATACGAGAGTTGTATACCATGAAGTTGTTAACGTAATTTCATCAAATTATAAAGTTATTTTGATCTTCAAAACAAAAATTCGAATTGAAAACGAAGAATACCAAATACAAGGCTGTAAATGTGCATTACAGTCTAACTATAACAGATACATATACTACAATGCCCAAAAGATTGAAAAAACTGATTTGCAATTTCCGAAAAATCCAATTTCATATAAAGAATTAAATCTTGAGAATTTCTTCCAACAATCGAACAGTTTAGTCAGTTCCTTAGAAAACAAGCTCTCTCAAAGCAGTTCTCTTTTAAATCCAACTCTTCAATCTGCAAAGTCAAATTTAAACACGTTCAGTAATATAATACTTAATTCAGGACTTATCTGTGATTCATTGATTTTCTTATTCGATAAAAATCCAAATCTTTCTTTATCTTACATGAGGAATCATCCTGATCGTTCAATAATCAAATTTCTGACTTCAAAGCATAAGGAAATCATCAAGTGTATTAAAGAAAATTCGATTTCTCAACCAATTTTGATTTCAATTTTGCCAAATTTGCTTTCTGTTTGCCAAACTCATGAAAAATTTATGGATATTGTAAACCAAATAATTGAAGGCATTGATTCAACAGATTATTTTAATTGTTTTGTTATATCTCAAATATATGATAATTTAAATCAGTTTTTAGATACAATTCAGAAAAACAATCCAAAGTTGCAAGATAAAATCACTAATTACAAGGATTTCATTCAAAAATGCCAAAATAATTTCTCATCAATGGAAATTGACCTTGAAACATTCTAAAACAAACAAACACCCTACAATGTTTATGTTTTATATGTTTTTTGATCTACTTTTTTTTAATAATTTTTAATTTTTCATGAAAAGTCAAAAAATGTTAAGTAATTCAAACTAGGAAAGATATTTTTTATAGTAATTAGTAAGATCTTAGCAACATCCGGTCTTTTGAACCTTTGATGTTTCAGAGATATCGACACCCTTTAGATCTCGAGTACTTTCTGGCTCAATGTTATTTTTAACGATGTATGAAGCTAATGCCTGGATAGCTTCTTCTAGATTTGTACCATCTTTTGCACTTGTTTCGAAATATTGCAAGTAATGATTTTCTTCTGCATATTTCTGCATCTCTTCTGTCTTGTTACCCCAGTTTTCTGGCTTCAAATCGATTTTGTTGCCGATAAGTAAAGTTGGAACTGCTTCTCCGGCAGAAGTTTGAACTTTAGCCTGGATATCGTCCATCCAGATCTTTGTCATCTCAAAGGTTGAAGGGCGGGTAATATCAAAGACAACTATCGCGCCAACGGATTCTCTATAGTATACGCCAGTCATTGAGCCAAATCTTTCTTGGCCTGCTATATCCCATAACTGTATATCGCATTTTACGCCATCGGCAGTGATGATTTTATTTGCAAAGTCAACGCCGATTGTAATTTTATAAAATTCCGAGAAATTTCCTTCTACAAAACGGCGAATCATAGATGTTTTTCCTGTACCCATATCGCCAACAACGATGATTTTGTAAACCTTCTGTGCATCGTCATCTTGGACTTCTTCTTGCATTAAAAAATTTTGAGAGTTAGCTCAAAACGATACGTAAACCTCCGAAAAGATCGACCTTAATTTTTGTCATTTTTTCTCCTATCGGTGCGGAGATGCGGTTCCAAAATCTTTTTTATAATCTTACTGGATATTCCACGCTAAAAACTTTATCTACACGAATAGAAAGTGCATATTTTTACATAGTTATCGTTGATAAGAGAATAATTTTTGGGAAATTAAAGAAGATGATCTATTATAGAGCATATTTCAAAAGAGATCTTTTATCCCATCTCCATGCTATTTGAATATTTCTATAAATTTAGTTTTTTTTTTCTCAATGAAATGTTGTAATTTCACTAATCATTTTTGTAACGACCTTTCCATCAGCTGATCTAATCATAATGTAAATGGTAATTAAAAATGCATGGATAAAATTCTATTTAGTATTAAATCAATACAAAATTATATTTGATAATATATTAAAACGAAGATGTTTAAGATATATTAAGCTTTATTCAGATATCATAACAAAAACAAGGTAAAATAGCTTGTTTGAGAAGATTGCATAATTGTTTGCTTTACAAGTAAGCATAACTTTATACTTATCATCAATAACTTTTACCCATAAGCTAACAATATTGACACCACTGTCATTTGATGGAATGAGCAATTGTTTATCAGCTCTCCAACCTGTTCCAACATAACCAATTGTATAGAACCAATCTTTGCCCCCTGGACATCCATCCATCAAATTTTCGGTGTGACTCAGAAGTAAGCCGCCCCATATACAGTTAGTTTCATTACGATTTGCTAAAATCGTGATGTTATAATATCCTTCCACATAATAGTGAGAATTATTTGCTGCTTTTGGTCTCTCATTTAGCGGATTATTGGTTTGCTGCCAGATATTATATAAATTAATTTCAGGATAAACGAGTGCAAAGGTAAATTTGTTGTCTTGATCACGGAACTCATCAGTGACTTCAGTAGGTATGGAGTATTTGTATGTTGTGTTAATCGATTTCGCCTCAGATTTGTTGGCGAACAATCCGCCAAGCAAATTGTGGTAAAATATCTTCATATATATACCACGACCAATAAATGCATACTCTCTGTACCCAATTTTGAATGTTCTGAATTCTAACAAATTTTATTACTCCGGTATCGTTTAAAAATGATCGGAAATTTCATACTTGTTGAAATTGACTAGTTTAAGATAGTTAGCAATGCTATACGGCAAAAAATAGATTTCATTTTCGAACAATAATGCAATTAGTTATATGAATTATATAAATGAGATACAAATTAAAAAAACAAAGGAATTGATATGAATAATAAATAATATTTTATAATTTATCCAAGCTTTGATTCCATAAATGAGAATCCTGGTATATTTCCTATATCACCTAGGCCAGGAGCACATAAAGAATCAGTTGGAATTTCATTTGTAAATTCTGGATCGAAATTAGTTGGATGAAGTGGATCTTTTACCTTCGGAATAAAGCGGGGTGTATATTCGCGCTTATATACCTTATCCCAATCAAGGCCAGCGAAGAAAGGATCATCTTGAACTTCAGCAAATGAAGGTCTTTTCTCCGGATCCTTAGTAAGCAATCTGAGAATGAAGTTTGTAACCTTGAAATCACATAGGAATGGGAACTCTGGATCTTCTGAAACAATTTTATCAAATAAATAAACTTTGTTTTCATCGGCAAATGGTGTCTGACCAAAAATCATTTCAAATGCAAGTACACCAAGAGCCCATTCATCTACTTTGTAGCTGTAAGGTTGTTGTGTAACTATTTCTGGGGCAAGATATTCACATGTTCCGCAGAAAGTAGTTGTTGATTCAGATGTGTCTAAACTCTTGGATAAACCAAAATCGGTTAACTTAATATGTCCTTTTTCGTCAAATAAAATGTTTTCTGGCTTTAGATCGCGGTAAACGATACCGATTGAGTGCAAGTGTTGCAAAGCAAGACCAATCTCAGCAATGTAAAGGCGAGCATCATCAATTGGAATAGTTCCAACTTGGTCCATGTGGTAAAATAATTCGCCACCAGCCGCGTACTCAAGACCAAGGTAAACTTTTGTTTCTGTCTGAAATGCGAAGCATAAATTAACAATAAAAGGATGACGAACTTTCATTAAAATATTACGCTCGGCAATGACAGAACTTCCATTGTCATCATTCAGGCGCGACTTTCTGATGTATTTGATAGCAAATAGTTCACCCGAATCCTTCTTCTGAACGAGCATAACTTTACCATAATAACCTCTACCGATAACGCTGATGATTCTGAAGTCATTCATAGATAATTTAGGCATATCAAGCTTTTTGGAATTGATGGCAAGCATCCAGCATGAAATATCTTCGTTTCTCGCTGAAATAAAATATAAAGGTTTCGTTTTTTCATCAATTGTAACTTTAATTGTCGATTCTTTGCGATCTTCGAGAAGCTCTGCTTTTGTTTGTCTAGTAACCATGAACTTCTTGTCAAGCTCGCTGAGAGTTCCATCTAAATACAGAGCTAGCTCAGCATCATTGAATATTACATATCTTTTACCTATTTCAGTATTGTGTTCGTCAACCAATCGAAGCCAGCCTCGCTTCTCATAGAGACTGGTATCGGGATTATCGAACATTTTTTTGAATTGAATGAGCAATTTTCAAAATTTTTTCTGACATATTTGAATAATTATATCTGCTGGGATTACTTAGAATATGATTATCATAATGTTATCTATATTAATATCTAACTCACCATTGTATTTTATGCCGGTGATAATCGTACTTTTAAATTAAATTTTTCATTGAATATTCGTTCAGCATATATTAATAGTATCAATCTTTTTTAAAGTTTAAAAAAATTTATGATTTGAATTAAAAATTGACCTTAATTTCAAGGAATAGATTGCCTTAAGATTAAGGTTCATTTATTAATGGTAAAATATTTTGAAATGGCATTTTTTTTCAGAAACTTCAATTGTAATTAATACCAAAATAAACAGAAATTATAATATACACAAGGTTTAAAATTAGTTCCCAAGTAAATTAGTTGGAGCTTGGTCGAATATCAATTAACTCAACAAAACACTAGCGTCATTTCAGAAAGAAATTCTTGACGTACTATAGCAGTTATTTACATGAATAATAATCATTTAACTTCAATTGAAATTATTGATTTCAATATTATTGGAAACATTTTAAAAATCATTGAGCCCGGATTCGTATATAAATCCATGATGTATCTCGTTGGATTGATGATCGAATAGCAGTGTTTACCTCGGTAAATAAAAAATATATCTTCGCTGAACAAGTTTTTGAATAAATCATTATATCAACAAATTCTAGTTTCATAAATATTATAACACCTACTGAGATGCGCATTTTCTTGCAATAGTTATGAAACCAGAATTTTCTAGTGTACGAATAATATCTGCCGTCTTAACAGACACAGGCTTTTCGGTGTCGTCTCTTTGATGGTAAGCAACACAGCCATCTATTATATAATGAAGAAAAATAGTTGTTGCAATTTGAACTTGCTCTCTAACTTCTGGAGTTGAAAGACCATATTCTCCTGCTATTCTCTTAAAAACATTTGTGGTAAGAAGTTTATCCTTTTCTGATAATCCGAAGTGCTCTGGATTAAACGTCATATATTTTACAATAAAAAAAAATAAAGTTTCACATCATCAAATTCTCAATAACTATGAGAGATAGCTATATAGACTATAAGCATAAGACATATGATTTATACACTTCAGAACTGATGTTTTGGAACTTAAATTATAACAAATTTCAGAAATTTATACATAAAAAACAAGATTTATTTGAATATACAAACAAACAAAATACATATTTGGATGAAAACTGTGTTTCTGAAGAAATTCTCATGTATAGCTTGATATCTCGGATTAATAAAAAAGGAAGAATCCAAGATCAATAAAATTATTAATAATAAAACAAAAAAATTAATTAAGGTGCTGTTGAAGCCTTGATAAGATTATTCTGATCTTCTTGTGATGAAACATTTGATTTAACATATTCCACGAAGTTCCTCTTCTTAGCGGCTATATGTTTTATTGCTACTTTTGCGTGTTTTCTTGTTTCTTGGTCAGCATCTTTAACCATGTAAGCCAAAGGAACTAACAAAGGTGTTGGATCTTCTATCCTTTCAACAGACTTCTCAGCACCAAGAGCAACTAAAGCACGACCAGCAGCATATGGACTCTTATGTTCCCTTGAAATTATGGCGCATTGCCTTGTATCTGGCACGTTTTCCAAAAGTGACAAAAAGCATTCACCTGTCAAATCCTGAATGAAGTGATGAGAAGATTGGCTTTGCATGAGTTTTAAGAGTCTCGTACCCAACACATCAGCTACTCCTGCAACGCTTATATCTTTGTCTTTTATCCACTGCAAGACTAAGTTCAAAGCGTTCTTAGATAAGGCTGTACGTGTTGATTGAGCGCATTCAAGCAAAGCTGACATTGATGTTCTAAGACTGCTCTTTATCAAGTCTTTTGGTGCGCAACCACCGAGTAATGCTTCAATAGCTTTGTTCTGCTTCTCCCAATCATCGCTCTGTAGGTCTTCCAAGTATTGTGCAGGCGTTGGAGTCTTGGGAACAGGAGGTGATGATGGTGGAGGTTTTTCTGTTTTTCTTTCTTTAGCTGTAGTAGTTCTGACAGATCTAGGACGTGGCTTAGCCTTAGGAATTGGTGCGGACAAGGCGGCATCGATTGTTAAGTCTTCGCCAATGTCATATGCACCACTTGTCTTGATAGGACGAGAATCTGGATCGTGAATTTCAACGTGTGGTTTTGCTTTTGGACGTTTCTTTTCTGGAGTAACGTTTTCACGACTACTGTTGTTGGCTTCGGCATTGGAAACAAGTAAACCATCGAAATTCACGACGCCTTTCTTTTTGTTCGGTGGAATTGATTCGGATTGAATCGCATTTTCGCGGCTTGAGCTCTCTTCTTTGTTCTCTTCAAGATTAATAAGTCTCTTTTTAAGACCAGAGCGTCTTTCCCTGAAAGGATCTTGCTTTTTCTCAGCTTTGATTTCATTAAACGCGTTTTCATCGAAGTGAGAGCCTCCAAAGTTGGCTGAAGGGAGTTCTTCGTATTCTTTGTGTACCTTGGCACGAATCGGCTTTGGTTGCCTAAATCCAGATGATACAGCGGGAACTTCATCGAGAACTGCAGCATCGAAGTGAGCATGACCTACTTTTGGCTTCGTTTCATCGAGTTCTAGCTCCGTATCGAATAAAGGATTATTCAAATCTGTTTTAATATCACGAGTTCTGAAAACTGGCCCTGTTTTGGCTCCTCCTTTAAGAAGTCCACTATCTTCTTGCTCTGGTGGTTCAAAGATCACTTCATCGTCATTAAATGTTGTTTGAGGAGGAATAATTCGATCTTGAACTGGGAGAGAAACTGGTTCGAAATTAAATGTATCGTTGGCATCCTGACCAGGAGCATTAGGAAATGTTGATGTAATAGGTCGTGATTTAGATAATAATCTGCCTGCTCCTTGTGAAGGCAAAAGTGGTCTTCGGTAACCTTTTTGAGACATAGTCATATTAATTTTGGCTGCCTCAACGGCACCTGCTGTATTAATTTGTCGAATTACTTGCGGTCCGAATTCTCTATTTTTAGGTATTGCCGTAGCTGGATTGTGAGAAGAACGGCCTATCATACGAGAAGCTTGCGATGATAGAAGATTGTACAACCGATCATAGATTTCTGAAAAATTAGCTTTTAGATATTCAAGACACCACAAAGCGCTTTGTTTAACGTTTTCATCTTGAGTTGTTAAACCTGTATCGAAGAATGCCGAATAGTCTATTAGAATACTAGGATTCAACGCATTTTGTTGTATCAAATTTGGCAAAGTTTTGTATATCTGAGAAAGTAAATTAGATGGTGCGCTAGCTGATGATCGAACAATTTCTTCAAAAACAGTTTTTTGATCTGTTGCTCGAAGTAAATCACCAATAACGGCACCGCCTAATTGTATAACGAATCTACGATTGTCCTTTAATTGATCAAAGGCTATCGATACGCAAAGGCGTACATGAATATTTCCTGCCTTTTTCAATTCCGTTATAACTTCCTCAATAATTAATGAACAGTTTTGAGCAACTTTTAGATTAGCATCGGTGACGTATTGTTGAATAAATCGCAAGAAACCATCAAAATCTATTTCCTCAACTGGAATTGTTGGCACGTATTCTAATATTTCTTGACTGCATTCGATACGTTTTTGATAATCAGTCGATTGCATTTGTGCTATTGAATTAGGAGGAAGAAATCCGAAGTATTGTTGAATATCATCTGGTTTCGACTGAGAATTGGTATAGTTTGCATTCGCCATTTCCCAGTTTTTTTATATCAAAAATTACATGTCAAAAATTAAATTTTACTTGTCAGAAAAAAATATAAAAATCAATTGAAGACCAAGGACCATCATTAGCTCCTGTAAAAACAATATGCTCTAATTCATAAAAACAAGAATAATAACATTTACATATAAAAAAATCATCAATAAATGCAAAAATGAAAAATAGTGATTTCAAATATATAAAAAAGTAGATAGAAACTGTAAAATCAGTATACAAATAAATCTAGACAAGACAGTAATAGATTTAAGGACAGCTTAATTCTTTGGATGTGCTTTAACTTGCAAAACAGCAGGATCAAGACTTAGAACTTCCGCTAAAGCATTAACATTAAGCTCTCCAGGGCCAAACCATAAGGCTACGGATAAACCTATTTGATTAACTTTGGCATACATTCCGCATAATTCTGGTTCTTTGATAACATCGTCTATGGATCCTCCTACAATAGCAAGAATAATCTTTTCCCATAGTTCTTGAGTCCAAACTGAAAGTGAAATTGTAACTGCCTGGCCATTCTCGTTTTTAGGATCTTCCCAAGCTGGTTTGATTCCTTTCTTGAAAAGAGATATTCCTCCTTTTTTAATTTCGCCGATTGGAGGAAATTGCATAAAATTATTCCAAAAATCTTCGACAGTTTTGAAACCAACGATTGGTTCGATCTCGAAATTGCGATTTTTACCTTCCCATTTAATTTGGATAACCCAGAATTGCCATTCTGTTGGTAAAGGATGAGCAACTGTCATTTCAATGAAGACAAAAAAAAAAGTAATGTTCAAAGATTTTTTTTTATTGAAAACTATAAAAATTATAACTGTAAAGGATTCGTGTTGCAATGCACATATTTTTGAGATTCAATCTTGAGCGTGGATATCAATCATCACTCAAAAAAAAAAGATACGTTATGTAAGAGAATTATTTCGCAAAATTTTGTAACACTCAGAAAAAAATGAATGAAGAGCCTGTGTTTCCTAAAATATACACCGGAAACAGTAACAGAGACAGTATTCAGACAGGAGGAGTTCCCAATACATGGGAAACAACTTATCATTCATATATTAAGCCTCAAGAAGGTCAAATCGAACCACAATACGTAGATACAGTAGCTCTTCAAAAGACGCATTGGCAAGGCAATGGAGAATCATCAGATATGTTATCAGAAACAAAAGCGAAATACATTCAGTATCCAATTCAAAAGAAAGATCAAATCCAAACTCGTCAAAACCTTATGTCTACAAATTACGCAGACGATAATAGATTACCAATGGAAACTCGTGAATCATTGAATAGATACAAGGTTGCATCATCTCTTGGCGTTTCAAAACCAACAATTTCTCATCAACAGTTAGCAGCTTCTCACATTGATCTCAAGCAAGCAGGAAACGATGATTGGACTACAACAACAGGCTCTGCATATCAGTATCATCAGCCTGACCCTGCAAAACCAGCTTTGGCAGATTTAAGGTCAGGAAACGGTGCTCGCGAAGCAATGGACAACCAAGGAGCCTTCCAAGTCTATGTTTCCGAAGCTCATGACAATTATAGGAAATTCAATATCCCTCCTTCCCAAAATAACAATCAAGATTTGAGAAAAACTTCAATACGCGTTGGTGGAGAGAAAGTAACATACGAAACTACCAATAAGCATGATTTCAAGAAGATTTCTATCGATCCATCCGAATTAGAAAGCCAGAAAATCTCAACCGCGCAATTACAACGTTCTCAGTTCGAAGTTGGCAACAGATCTTACCCAACAGAGAAGTCCTCGTATCAGGAAACATTCAAGCAGTATCCGGACGCACAGCCACCGAAGCCTGTTGAAAAATCTGCTTTTGTTTCTCATCATGATTACAGGAATTGCAACGAAACGTTCAAGAGTTCATCCCAAGATGCATATGTTCCTCTAAATGGAAAGCCATCACGTCCATTTAACATGAATTTGAACCAATCCCATGTAAAACTTGGAGAAAATTCTGTTCATGAGACAACATCATTATATAATGAAACATTTAAGCCACAATCGAGCACTATACAAAACACACATGTCGATCCTGCAGAAGCTCGTGCTTTTCATACTAGACATCATGCAAATGTAACAACAATTGTTGGAATTGAGACAAATAAGACGATAAACCAAACATCATATGTTCCTCATCCTGAATCGAGACCAAGAGAGCCAATTAGAAACGATTTCAACAGTAATCCGATTTGTATGGCTAACCAAAGTACAATTCAGATGCAATCTACTATGAAATCGGACTTTAAAGCTCCACAACCAACTGCTCCAAACCAAGCTGTGAACAACAGACTTCAAAACAGTCATTTGCATCTTGGAGGAATGAATACTGAGTGGAAGACCACACAGAGTGATTATTTCCAGTACAAGACATTCAGAAAAGGCGATTAAGATAATATTATATTGTTTTTTATAAAATAAATTATCAAATTCATAATTTCAACTTTCATTTCGTTTAAAAAAATATATATTTGATAGATAATAACATATTTTAAATACATGATAAACATTAGTTTTATAAAATCAAACAGCATTTGGTCTTATTAACAAAGCGTGTTGGCGATCCGTTATTTCCTATAATATTTCCATCAGTTTGAACTTTGTATGAAGATTTAGGTTTAGGATCATTTGGGTTTGTATCTTTTGAAGATTTAGGAGAATCTATGTTTGTATGATTTAAAGATTCAGGTTTGTTGTTTTGAAGTAGCTCTGTTTTATTAGATGTAGATTTAATAGTATTTTCTGAATTTTTCTTGTCTTTAAATGCTTTAAATTTCTGGCTTTTTTCTGTATTTTGAGAAATTTCAATTAATTTTTCAATTGAATTACCTTTTTTGTTCTCTTCAGCTTCCTTTTGGGCTTCAAAATAGAATTTGTTTGAAAATATTGGAGATATTGGCGTTATATAAATAAAATCACTTTCAAGTACGATTTGTCTTTTGATTTTGGCAATATCATATGAAAATTTTAAGACTTTTTCGAATATTTCTGGAGCAGAGTATTTTGCTGCAAATAGTAGTGGGTTTAAACCGAAATCTTCTTCCTTATCCCAATTTTCGAATGTAAGAATGTCGTCAACGTTGTAGATACGTATTTCTACTTTGTCTACATCAGTTCCTTGTAGTTGCTTAAAGATTTCGCTTGGTTTTTTCTTTGTATCCATTGTTATCTTCAATTTTTGAAACGTATTTTTATAATGGATACAAAATCTGCAGAGTTACAATAAATCACTCTATGTCTTTCTCTGTTATGAGATGAAACATTGCGTCGGTCAATGTTTTCAGCATTTGATCCTAGTTATTCAAAATTTGTGTATTAATTATTAAAATTAATATATTACGAGGCAAGAAAGAAGTGCTACAATTTCTGCCTTGTTCATGAAGTGAACCAGTTATTCAATTGTGTTCATTAGATGAATATTATGAGTTGCATTATTTGCGCTGCAAAATTTGTACAGCACACAATTTGCAACATGTTTCTAATGATTTCGGCATAATTTGCAACTTCATTAGAGTAAAGTTTTTTCCAAAATTAGCTAACATTTCAATTCTTTGTAATGTAATGTTTTTCAAATAAAATACTTGTATAAATATGTATCTTTCAAATCATGATAGTATCTATATTAATTTTTTTAAACAATTTTAATTTCTTCTCTCTTAACAGGAACTTCGATTGTAAGTTCTTCTGTTTCTTGTTTCCATTTCGCGGAAACTTCTTTTTTGTCATCTGGAACTTTATCAAGTTTGAGTGTAAGATGATATTTTGGACAGCGAAGATCAAGAAAGCCATTCATAACGTTAAGATCTATATCATCTGGCTGGGTACCATTTAGTGCAACTTTTATAACGACAGCATCGACGTTTGCATTAGATGGGTCGTTCATATTAAGACCAAGATAGACATCGCCTGTTCCGATGCATTGTTTGTAATGTATGTGGTATTTTGGTTCTGGCCTGTCATCTGATAAATCTTTGTAGAAACCAACTGGAGTAATTTCATCGTCATCCCAGAAAGTTTCTTTCTCTTTTTCTTCAATGACTTGCTCAAAATATTCTTGGTGCTCTTCTTCTTCTTTATGACTGCAATCTTCAAACATTTGCTTAAGAGCAAGGATATCTATGCCTCCATTTTCCATTTTTGAAAATTTACTAACGTGCACTAAAATCATGGCTTGTAGCTTATATATTGATGGTATATGTTGATGGAAATGTGAATTTGATATAAAAATCCAAAATTTGTTCAAAGAAGTCAGCAACTGCTATTTGGCACAGCCTATTCTCTTCTATGATATCGAATTAAAAGCCCAAAAGAACATTTTTATTGAATGTGAGGGCAAATAACACACCATTTGTCCATGTGCAACTGATAATTCCTAAATATTCATTCCAAAAATCCAATATTTCTTCAATTTCATATCAAGATATTTAATATTGATTTTCATTTCTATTTAAAATTGAATTTGATATATCAATCAAAACATGAAGCTCAAATGATATAAATTATTGAAATTAAAACAAAATTCACAAAACTTTTTATCCTTTTGGTAACTATTCAAAATAAGTTCATATAATTCACATATGGATCCTAATGATTCTATATCCCTTATTAATTTGAAAATCAATTGTTCGGATTTATGGCATGTTTTGCCACTTTTGGGAAAAGTGAAACATTTAAATTTTACTAAAATTGGCATTCTTGGAGAATGTAGATATATTGTGAATAAAATGTTTTCCACTTTGAGAAGTTCTGAATTTATTCTTTGAAATTTGGTCTTTTGCAAAATAACGCATTCATTTTGATGCAACATAAAGAGAGACTGTATATCCTAGCGTTTTCAATCATTGTATACATATTTCCCGTTTATTCTACCAGAGAAATGTACTTTTCCGTTTTCGAGCCAATAGATTTGGTATATTTATGGGTAAATGGATCGGATCCTGAATGGAATCAAAAATTTCAGCAATACAAGCCAAAAGAAATGCAACTTCGAGATATAAAAGATAGATATATTGAAAAAAACGAACTCTTATTATCATTAAGGACTGTTGATCTATATCTTCCATGGATCAGAAAAATCCATATTATTACAGATAATCAAAGTAGTATATGATGCGGGTTGTGTGACTTTTTTTGTAATCGTAAGAATTCTCACATAATTGAATGATTTTTGAACATACTTCCGAATAGCAGATTTTAAAAATTTATGAATAATTTATAAAAAGTTTTTATTCCTACAATTCCTATATTACCATTAATAAAAAGAATATATTTTTGACGAAGTGAAGATTCGCACTTCGTCACAAAACTCCGAAAAAATAAAGTTAGATTTTTTTATTTTATAATAAATGAGTATAACAACTAATTCATTGAAATCTTTAAAGTTCACTAATTCAGAATTAGAAAATATTTTAGAAAATTTTGGAGACGGTTCTTATCCAACATATATGCAGAATGTGAAAGAGTTTTCCAGATTGTTGAATGAATTTAAATATAACGGACCAATTACTAAAAAGGCTATAATGAGATATTTATATCCCAAAAAAGTTGAAAAACAGGAGAATATTCCTCTTTATGGTCCAGAGGACCTGGGCTCAGAGAGCCTTGAAACACCTCCTGAATATTTTGAAGAAAAAATTAAACAAGATGAATATTATAACGATGAGATTGAGAAATTGGAACAATTAAGAAATGAAATAGATGAAAGAATTAGTGAATTGAGAAATGCTGAGAATGAAGTAGAGGGTTTAATGAATATCCCAGCTTCAGAATCAGAAGTTCAAAAATCACATGAGGAAAGATATAAAAATTACTTTTTGGAATCTACTAAAAATTTATTAGATGGTGATATTGACGAAACACTTTCAGAAGAAGGCACAAAATTTATTCATAAACATAAGCTTCAGGTTATTGACGATGGAGATTATCCATGTATATTACTTTCACCTCCTCTTGATTCTGAAAAATTCAAAAAAGCACTGAAAAATGTAACATATGCAACAAATACGATTAAGAAAGAAGACCATGATATTTACACAAATTATTATTTAAATAAATGTACAGGTGTTGATAAAGTTTTTGATTTGTTAGATAAAATATCAAAAGAAACAATTGGAACCTATAAAATTTTATGTGATTGTGGTTTCATTATTGAAGATACCAATAATGTTTCATATGAAAGAACAGCACCGAAGGAAGACGAAGTTGAAAGGTCTATACCATTCGTTATTAAGAACATAAAAGATATGAAAACTTATAAACATTATATTTATTCATTTATTTCAGAAAAAATGGAAGCAACCCATAAAACATCATCTCATCATTTTATAGCTATTCATACATTCCTTTTCAAAGTTGTGAAATTAAATAAGACAGGAATTAGATTTAATGTATCAGGGTACGCATTCTTGAGTAAATTAAAATGTATTCGTCACGTCGCAGATGATAAAAATTTATGTGTTCTTAATTCATTTTATGGACTTTAGCCCTGGACTCTCTGAGTCTCGGACTTTAAAAAAATAAACTTTATTTTTATTTATTTTTTAATTTTTATTCTTACATAAATGAATAAAAATGGAACAGCTAAAATGAATGATAATCAAATAAGAGCCGAAGGTAGAAGGTTATTTAAACGCTTCTATAACATTCCTGATGGTGTTAATCCTAAAACTCGTAGAAGTTATTTAAATGAAGCCATAGATGCATATGAAGGATTTGACATTTCATCAGAAAGTGAGAGGTTAGCAAGAATGTTAAACGTTAATATTGATTTTTATTATTGTGACCCTCAACCAGAAGACGTAGACATTAACAAGGTAGACTTTCCATTAGTGGAATCAATAATGATAGATCCAGAATTTGAAACAGTAAATATTTTATTAACACAGAGTCCATGTGGAAAACTTCACGCTGACAGAATTACAGACGTTGAAGCACTCACAGGATATAAAGTTTGCCCCTTTTGCAAAGAAGAAGTATATTCTATCCGTGATGATCCAGAAAGGAAAAACCAAAGAAGATTTTTAAAACATTGTGAGAAATGTAAAGAAAATAATGGAAGATTAATTCAAGACGTTCAATTGCAAAACACACAACAACCATATGCACCACATATCACGAAACAGAAGATATATCAATGGTTATTAGCACATAATTTGCAGGAATATTATAAACCAACAAGATATTATATTACTTTTGACTTCGAAACATTAGAGACTAAAGAAGAACTTCAACTTTCTGAATGTGCAACTTTGAACGCTTATTTAAAACCATTTATGGTATCATCAACTGTCAAAATAAAGCCGCAAAGCGGCGAGGTCGTAGACCGTGATAAAACATTTACGAGGAATTTTTGCTTAACATCAAGTGATTCGTTCATCTCTGATTGGATTGAATTTTTATTTTCAACCTGTTCATTAGTTGCTAAATCAAATATTGAACAATATGAAGAATTAATGAATACATTAAATGAGAAACAAAAGGAAGCATTTAAAGAACTTCTAGATGAGGAATTCAATAAAGTGAATATCATTGGTTTTAATTCGGGAAAGTTTGATTTAAATTTAATTCTTCGTGATTTAAACACTGCAAAATGGAAAATAAAATCAATGCTGGGTTCTTCTTCACAATTTAAGCAAATCATTGTAAAGAAAACAAACGTTCCATATGAATTAAGATTTATTGACATCAGAAATTATATAGCGGGTGGAACATTAGACCAATTCACTCAAGATTTCGGAAACAATAAATCACGTGTTAAATCCTTTTTCCCTTATCAATTCATCACATGGGAGAATTACGAAGATGAATTATATAAAAAGGAACCATTCACTCAAGATTCATTTTATTCAGCATTAACACAAGAAACAATATCCGATTCAGATTATCAAATATATCTCAATGATGCTAAAAATTTTGAGAATAGATTAGAATATTTTATTCATTATTGCAATAAAGACGTTGAAATTATGATTGACCCAATTGATAAAATTATCGAAGAAACATTTGTTTATAAAATTGACATGCTTCATAATCTTTCTTTATCATCGAATGCATCAATGATTCGTTACGCGTTAGCATATAAGAACTTCAATCCTAACGAAACATATCCAGAAGAAGAAAATGTGGAATCAAGTTTTGAATTAACAAAAAAGTATTGGAAATATAAAATTGATTCATATAAGAAACAAGATGAAAAGGCGAAAAGAGATACTAAAAATAATGTTTCAATGGATGATTTTCAATACTATCACGATTTAATCCTTTCATCTAAATGCAAAATGTGTGGTAAAGCGTTTACATATGTAAATAAACCAACATTGGATAGAATCGATAATGAAAAACCACATACCAAAGAAAATTGTCAGTTAATGTGTTGTTATTGCAATGTCATAAAATCAAATAAAGATGAAGATGTTCAACGTTTAAGAATCAATTTAAGAAATTATGCATTAAAAAATAATTTACCAATGACTTTAGATTCAGTTGAAGCTTATCACATTCTCCGTAATGGAATTACTGGTGGTTTATCAAATGTTCAACATAGAGTAAATCTTAAAGGAATCACACGCATTAATAAACTTTCATATAATCCAGAAACTAAAACTGTATCAAATGAGGACACCACCAACATTATGACTCATTTCGTTGGAGTTGACTTTAATTCATTATATCCTTCATCATTTTCATCTAATCCTCATGATTTCATTCAATATACTGACCATAAAATGTATATGCCGGGAAGATTGAATGGTGTTATCATTTGTGATACAGCAACAAAGAAAGCAAAAGCACTGGGAATTATTAGAAAGAAAAATACTTTATTCGTGGCTGAAGTAAAGGGTCACATTGATGAAAAATACATTAATGATTACATAAACTTTTTACCGATAATAAGAAACTTAGATATTATCACAGATGAAAAAACAATTGGCAGTTTTATGTATAATTACATGAAATCAAACAATCTACCAATTGACCAGAAACAGAGAAAATTAACTCAGTTAGCATCAACACACAACCAATATCAACCATTTTCTTCTTATTATCTATGGTATCTAATAGACAGATTTCATTTTATCATTGATGACATTCAATCAATTTTAACATTTACTAAAAACACTTGTTTTAATGAATTTGCGAACAAATTTATGAACGAAAGACAAAAGGCTGAATTAGAAGGAAATAAAGGAAAAAGTTTATTTTGCAAGATTTCACTTAATGGATCATATGGTTACGATGCAATGAATACACAAAATTACGCAAAGACTAAAATAATGAATGCACAGAAGTCACGCGTTGCATGTATGTCAAATAAGTTTAAAAACATAAGAGAAATAGGTGAGGATACATATCAAGTGATGCTTAAAGATAGATTTTATAGATGTGATACATGTTTACAAGAGGCATTCTTCACTTTAGATAATGCTAAATACTGGTATTTGGTTTTCATTTATGATTTTATGTATAAATGCTTGAATGTTAATCGTTTTCATTTCATTGAAGGTGATACTGATTCATCTTATTGGGCAATCGCTGGCGACCCAAATCTTCCTAACACGCAAGCATTTCAAGCAATTGTTACTGATAAACAATTTTATGATAAAAACATTTTCAAATTCGCACCATTTGATTTCTTCTGTTTTGATGAGAAATTTAAACCTAAATTAAATAATAAAGCTGAAGAAAAAGCACATGAGAAGAAGTTATTGGGTTTAGCAATTGAGAAACAAGGTGATAACATGGTTGCTTTATGCCCTAAGTGTTATACATCATTCAACGGTTCAATTGATGGAAGTGATTTTAAAAAGATTGCACAAAAAATGAAAGGTGTTAGTTTACGACAAAATAAACAATTAACACCTAAAAATTATTTGGATATAATAAATGATAAATTGATATTTGATGGTCAGAATATTAATTTACAACTTAAAAATGGGTCAATGACTCGCTTAACAATTGGTAAGACTGCATTAACAGGAGCACACACTAAGGCTGTATGTTGTGAAAATGGATGTTGTATGCCATTTATTTAATAAAATGCCACAGAAGAGACAAAAGGAACTGTTAATGATGGTTTTGATACTATGATTCAAAGAGGTGGGCACCCTTAAAACATTGATTTTATTTTTATATAAATGGATAACACAGATTTAAAAGATTTAATTGCTGATTTAGTACTTAATCAAAAATTTCTTGATTATTATGGTTTAAAAGCATATCTCCAAAAACATAATAATTATATAACGGGTGATGATATGGAATATTATTATCCATATTATAAAAATGAAATTTTGAAATATCATAATAAAATAATTTCTGAAATTAAAGACAAAATTAAAAATAATGAATATTCAAAGGGAAAAACTAAATCGCAACTTAAACAGTTGAAAGATTTCAAAAATAAAGTATTAACAGAAGAAGATATTGATGAATTATATAATTTATATAATCATGAGCCGCAAAAACAAAAGATGCAAAACGCCCAGGTTCTTCAGACCATAAATGAAGTACAAGCTTTAATTTATGATTCATTAGTTAAACCATATTCAGCCCGACTTTTAAATGAAGATCAACTTTTGGAATTCATCCTTCAACATAAACTCGAAGCGGGAAAGTATATCAAACCTTTATATACAGCATATTTAAAACAAATGAATAGAATACATCCAGAATTAATGAAGGAAGGAATGAAATCCAAAATCAAAGCAGATAAAATTAAACCACTTGCAACACCAAAACCTCCAATGACAGTACCTCCTCCTCCTTTAGTTAATCCTTCATCATTCACTTTATTATATCCATTTCAAACATTAAAGAAGCAAAAAGATTTTAAAAAGGATTTCAAGATATTAAATAAACCAATTGACCCGAAAATTCAACCGTTAAAGGAAAAATTTAGTCGCCCTTCATTTGCACCATATCCATATTCATACGAAATCGATCATCTGGAATATTCAAAAGGAAACGTTACTTATTTATTTGCCATTAACATTAACACTAGATATTTATATTGCATTCCGGTGAAAGGGAAAACAGAACAGGAAACAAGAAGAGCTATTCAATACTTACTAGATCATGAAAGAGTAGATAATATCAGGGGTGATGGCGATAAAGGATTTCAGGCAGCTATGACTCATTATTTCCCACAAATTAATTTTTTCTTCTCATCCTCTCCATATACGTTTCATAATAAAATAGTTGATGCGGTAATGAGAACTCTTAGAGATGCGTTAGGGGTTAACGGTCAGATATACTGGGATGGAAATCATGACTCCATCATACAACAGTTAGTATATTATTATAATAATACATGGCATAGAACTATAAACATGAAACCAGTGGAAATGAAAAATGATATTTCAAAAGAATGGGAATATATTAGAAAGCAAATGGAAAGGTTGAATGATGTTAAACGTGAACAAATTAATTCGGGGCTCATGAATTTTAAACAAGGGGATAAAGTTTTGATTCATCTCGATTATGGAAAAACTGATAAATCAATGACAAAAAGAAGACGAAGATTTGACACAATAGCTGAATTTGTTAGATATATTAACGGCAATGCATTAGTTGAAGTTGACAATAAATTAATAGAAATTCCGATTTATTTTATTACTCCATTATATTTAAATAATATTTAATTTTTTTTTTTCGTAAGAAATGAGTGACAACGAAGCAGTCAAGAGTCCAGACGATGAATATAAAAAGAAACTAAACAGAATTAAATCAAAAATATGCTATTACAAAAAGAAGCCACAATGCGGTGGGGTTGATGCCCATAAAACTAATGGAACTGAAAACGATAAAGAAATAATCGAAAAATTAGAAACTTGCCGTTCAATCCTTAAACTGAGTGAAGCAAAATAAAAGAATTTAATAGAATAAATAAATTGATTGGAAGAGATGAATTTAATAAAGATGAATTTTTAAACTCAATCCAAATTTAATTTTTATTCCTCTTTGACAACATCTCTCTTTCCATCATTACTGCATAACCGCATTTTCTCAGTTTTAGTGGTTTGTTATTTTTAACATGTTCTTGCATCATTTTTATCATTTCCTCCCTTGTTATGATTCGTGGTAAATTTTGAGCTTGTGGGGTATTCATTTATGATAAAAATAAAAATTTAAATTATGCCGTTCTAAAGTTTGTGACAACATGACATTTTGACAACAACACAGGAGGAAGGTATTTATGACTTATTTTTGAAGAACTGAAGGTGTCACCAGGTCACCATGTGTCACCAGGTCATTTAACTTCTCTGAAAAAATGTGACAACATGACATTTTGACAACAACACAGGTTATTCAATAATGACTTATTTTTGAAGAACTGAAGGTGTCACCAGGTCACCATGTGTCACCAGGTCATTTAACTTCTCTGAAAAAATGTGACAACATGACATTTTGACAACAGGTACAAGAGAATGCAAAAATAAATTCCAATCATACTTTATAAAGCATCATTTACAGGTATTTCATCGTCAGTAAATGAATCCTCATTATCGTTTGGTTCAACCTGTTTATATAATCCTTTCATTTCTTCTTTCAAAACATAACACCATGTTTGTTTACCATCTATTCTTCTCTGTTTCCTATCACATTTATCCTTAATGCTCATTTGGAAATTCTTGTCTTTCATGTCTGATGGTTTGCAGAATAGAGCATTTTCACACGTCATACCTGCACACAATTCATCATAATGTGTATTTATCCATACATCTAAAGGATTTGTTGATAATTCAATTAAATCTTGTTTGGCTTCAGTCATCGGAATGATTCGTACATTAAATGATGAAAGGTCATATTGCATAAAATACGTCAGTAAATTATCATAAAATTCCTTTGTGCATGAATCCATTAAATTCTTGAAGTAATCAAATTGACCCCTGAATTTACTATTAACTCTTAAAACTACATATCTTCTGTCTCCAACTTCAATTTTGACAGGGTAGACGTTGTTAGTTACGAAAATGAAGTTTGCAACCTTCTGTGCTGTTCTTCTGGGTTGATTCTTTTCATTAATTCTAATCTCATTATCCGTAATAATTGATTTCAAAGCGTTGAAGTTTGCAAGTCTGTCTTCACCTACATTCTTGAGTTCATTAAGTACAAGAAACATTTTATTTTCAACTACTGAGTTGAAATTACCCGTTAGCTCACTTATTTCAGTAATGTTTTTACATGAATAACCAGCGAGAAGTTCAGAAATAATGTCTGTGAATCTGTTTTTACCTGTTCCCTGAAGTCCTTTCAAAATAATTGCTGTTTCATTCTTGATTCCAGGATGTTGAATCATTGATGCAATCCAGCCGAGAAGGTATTTATACACTTCATCGTTATTATCACAAATGGCTTCTTTAATGAAATTCATAAACATCTCAATTTTTGAGTAATCTGGTTTTTCGAGAATGTTGTATTTATAACCTTGAAACGTTGAGAAAACATCTGGGGAATCAGATTTAAAGCAAACACCCTTAACGGTTAATGAGGATAATTGATTTAATAGTACGTCCCATGCTGTTATGGTTTTACCTTCTTCTTTAAATAATTTAATCATTTTGAGTGACTCTTTCATGTTTGATTGAAGAACGAATGATATTTGATTCATTTTGTCGTGTATGTTGTAATCTTTCTGAATGAAATATTTGTTTCCACAATCTACAAAACGAATTACACGTGATAAATCCTCAATTACTTCAGAACTGTTTTTATACTGATGATTTTCAGCCTTGCGTCTAATATCTGTTATCAAAAACGAGTCATCAAGTTTTATATCAAATGTTATTTTTGGCTTACGTAATAAAGGCAAAACGTATTCATCATAATATTCCTTTTGATAAAGTTTTAGAATCTTCACTAAAACAAATGGAGAAGTCATTAAATGTGCATATCTACTACGTGCTTTTTCAAAATTACTTTTAGCATTTTCTGTTAAACTGCAGAAGTTATAAACGTTATCGTATGCTTCATTAATTAAATGATTAGGTAACGAATTAATTGCTTGAAACAGTGTGAATAATGTAACTTCTTTTTCTAAATTCATGTTTCCACCGTCATTATGTACTTCAAAATCACTAATGCCATCAACTATGCTCTGGGCAAGTTTATCGTCAATGTTTACATCTTTGTTTTCATTCATGATATTCTTTATTTCTTCGTTCTTCTGTTCAACTCTTACCTTAATATTCAAATCATTTAATATATCATTCACTGTTCTAGTTAATGTTGAATCATAACTTCCACGAATGAATGAGTATGTATTGATTGGTTCTGTTGCATTCTTGCGAACTCTTGATTCAGCCATAACCACTAATGAACGCTTTGAATCATCCATAGAAGTCATTATGTCAATATCATAATCATTGCAGGAATAACATTTAATCATTCTGTTCGAAACTGCATAGAAGAAATTAGTGTTACAATAAATGTGAAGACCTCCTGAAGCGGTTTTAACGATAACATCTTTATCCGAAAGTTTTGATAAAATATCTTTTCTAACTGTTTCTTTAAGTTCATCATTGTACGATTTATTGATATCAACATCTATAATCGTTAAATTTGAAATTTTATTTACTAATAAAGCTGTACCAGTTTTCCTTCCTCTTCCTCCATCATGTTTGAGGTAGTTATGTAAATCAATCTTGTTTTCACCAATTCTTTCGTTGAGGGTTTTAGTTTCTGCCACAACTAATTCCTCAGCTAATGAATCAATAACTTTTTCATCAGAAATGATAAAGTTGCTGTTGTTGTTTGTTGCTGTCATTTATATAGGAATAAAAAAATAAAAATAATTTTAAAACTAACTTTATTTTTGGACTGCATCAAATTTTCGTAAATGTTGTCAAAATGTCATGTTGTCACATTTTTTCAGAGAAGTTAAATGACCTGGTGACACATGGTGACCTGGTGACACCTTCAGTTCTTCAAAAATAAGTCATTATTGAATAACCTGTGTTGTTGTCAAAATGTCATGTTGTCACATTTTTTCAGAGAAGTTAAATGACCTGGTGACACATGGTGACCTGGTGACACCTTCAGTTCTTCAAAAATAAGTCATTATTGAATAACCTGAAAACATTAACATAAACATTAACGTAAACATTAACGTAAACATTAACGTAAACATTTATTTCTGCAGTTCATCCATTACTTCATTACCTAATTAATTACAGACATAAAATATATTTAGTTCATTCGGTAAGCCCAGACCTTTGGGTCAAGCACATTCATTGAACTCTATACCATGCGAATACAGTCATAAATGGTGGCATGTATTCTTTACTTTGTCCCGTTGTTTGTGTATATCCTGAAACGAAATGTGTATGGTTTCCTTCTCCCTGAGTGTCATCCCAGTAACAATTTATAGCAAACTTAACATCATCTTTAACATCATATCCTCGACCTTTTGTCATTCCTGACCAATCCCAATATCTATGCTTATGCCAACCGCTTGAGATTACTTAAATCTACGTAGTGACTGTGTGCGGGTAAATTTTCACCTGAAATCGTTTTACTTCCCCTGTTTCCTTTGAAGAGTTTGCACAATACAAAAACCTGTCAACTATTTGTTCCCATGCACCAACACCAAACATTACTTGAGGACCTCTTGCATCCATAGATGTATAAATAGAACCTACTGGGTTCATTAAATCAAACATATGAGATATTATAGGATTGTCTCTTTTGAACTTAAGATATAGTGTAACTATTTCAGGTTTCTTCTGGTTTGTGTCAGAATATTTTTTATAATATAATCTTATGTTTTCAGGGTAGGTAAAATCTTGACTATAATATTTATTTCTGTCATCTGTATAATAATATACTATTCTCGTTTTTTCTATTGCATTATATCTTTTATATCTATAATAATCTAAATATAATGTTAGTTTTTGTTCATCTACATGTGGTGTTCTGTCGTCATCTCCATAGTCATAATAATATGGTGCTGGAGCTGGGTCAGCCAACGTCATACCTGCCATTTCATAAACTCTTAAATATTTCTTTTGTTCGTCTCCATATAAGTTTAAGTAGCAGTTGTTGTCTAATGGAACTTTAACTTGTGTACCATTATTCTTTATATAGCCTACATACATTTCATTGTTATTTTTCGGAATGAGTTTACACCGTATACCATTTTTTAAGGAGTGTACAAACTCCCATCTAAAATATTTGTTTTCTTCATAGATAGAAACATCCCCAACAATAGTTTCAATATTTTTTGTTGTTCCTATCAAACTTTGGTATATTTCATCCACATAAGTTTTATCTGCCTTCTTATTTAACTCACTATCAACATATTCCTTATCTGTCTTCTTCATTAATTCACTATCAACATATTCCTTATCTGTCTTCTTATTTAACTCACTATCAACATATTCCTTATCTGCCTTCTTATTTAACTCACTATCCACATATTCCTTATCTGCTTTCTTATTTAACTCATCGTTAACATAAGTTTTATCTGCTTTAAGATCTAAACATCCTGAAACCCATCCTGTATCAGCTTTAGCTTTAAAAGTCTTCAATGTCCATTTATGATACCATTCAACCCTTTCTTTAATTTTTTCAGCTATTTCATTATCTTTTTCATCCACATAAGTTTTATCTGCCTTCTTATTTAATTCACTATCAACATATTCCTTATCTGCCTTCTTATTTAACTCACTATCAACATAAACCAAATTTGCTTTCTTCATTAATTCACTATCCACATATTCCTTATCTGCCTTCTTCATTATGTCGTTTAGGAAACCTTCTATGAATTCCTCATTTAAATTAAATCTTCCAATCTTCAAAACTTTAGGAAATGCATTTAATGCGTAATATCTCTGTTCTTCTGGTGGAATTGATGTTATATCATCCGTTATCCTTTAATTTTGAATTCATAAATAAAATTTCTTTTATATTTGATATCACTGCACCACCTTTGCAAACGAATTCGAAATGGTCATTTTTCAATACTATCTCCAAATCTCCATATTTCAACCTTTGCGTTTGTTCTGCCGTCTTTGAATTATATGCATATATGGCGTATGTAATGGTCTGAGGGACCTGGGTGTTTTGCCTTAAGTTGTGGTTGCTGTTGTTTAATCATTTATTATGATTTAAAAATAAATATTTAATCGTTATCTCATCAGCTATTTTTTCTATTTGAAATTGCCATAATATTTCATTCATAAATTCTAAATCACAATCAAATAGGTCAGTTATTCTAAATTTAATATTTGATAAATCTTTTGAATGAAGAATAAATGAATTCCCGGATAATTGAAACGGATATGATAAAGAAAATGTGTTTAAGTTGATGGATAAAATGTTTTGTATTGATGGGTAAGAGTTAGGGTCTAATGTTTGATGTGAAAATCTCATTGGGGTATTAACTTTATCACATTTGATTAAAATGAAATTGGAACCAGTGTCAGAATACAAAACATCCCCAACATCTTTTTCAAAATTTAATATCCCCAACAATGAACGAAGATGAGGAGTACAAAATTTAATTTTCAGCGGAAATTTAATAAGGTTATTTATTTCATCAAGTTCAAAAAGTTTATCAGGTTTTGATTTAAAATTTTCTTCATACCATACGATAAATGATTCATTTAAATAACTTAAAATCATGTTAATATCCCATTTCGCTATCACATTATTTATATACATATCATACGTTTTTTCAAGGTCATCTTTAATAAATGATATATAATCTGAAGGGTCTAAAAGAATGGGATTAAATTTACCACTCACAGAAACGAGAGTAACATTATAAATTCCGCTAACTGTTAAATTTAATTCACAGTTATTATTCGAAATAATATTGATAATTGACATTTTTATTACGATTAAAAATATGGTAAAGCGTTATTTTCCAGTGATAAATAAAACTAGAATAAGATTACCTCAAGAATTCATAAATTCAACGAATAAGAAATTCATTCATGTTATAAATTTTAGTGTTTTCAGAAAATATGAGTCAATGTCATATTCATCAACAGGTTATATTTCACTTCATTCAAATTTAGTTCAATCAAACCCATATAATGACCATTTCATAAGATTTTCAGATGGTATTAAAAATGTAATTGATAGATTAAAATATGAACAGATTGACAATATCGAATTTTTGGAATTTTGGTTTAAATATCCCGATGGAAAAAAGATTGAAGTTAAAGATATAAACTGATACTATAACAAAAACAATTACAATGACCGATCCGGATAGTGGGGAACAAAAAGAAATAAAACAAACGATAGAAACTGGTGAAAGGTCAATTATTATTGATTAGATTCAAAGGATTATTATTCATAATGTTAATGCTTGAATATTAAATAGCCTTAACAAAGAATTTTTCAAGTGATATTTTATATTCATCAACTATTTTATTATATGTTATATATAAGTTAAATGAAGTTCAGTTGTTGTTCCGTTCTTTGATATCTTAATTGTGCTAATATCCTTTATAGGATTTATTTTTGCAACTGTTCCGCAGCATGAAACCTCATCATCTATGAAAAATTGAATCTTAACGTCTGAATCTTGAACATCACAAAGAATGGCGATAATGTGAATTAATGATTCATAAGGTAAAATAATTAAACCGGATTGGTCAATTAAATTTATTATTGAATCATAATTATTAATTATTATATCACGGTAAATTTTCATTAATTCAGAATTAATGTCTACTTTATATGGCGCATTGCGACTGGAATCGTAGATTCCTGGGTTCTCGATGTTTGATGAAAGAGGCGGGGGTATGTTGGATAAGTGGGAATTTCAACGGTTCTTTACCGGGTTCAGATAAAATGATTGGGTCTCCATTCTCTTATTTTGCTCCTCTCCTCTTTCTTTGGTAAGTCACGAGTTAATAAATTTGGTTGTGTTTGCTGAACCTTGTTAATTCAGGACTAACATTAACTTTAACATTTGAATAATTCGTGATTTATCATCATTTACGTTATAACCAACCGTAATCTCTGCTTTTGCGTTTGTGTTCTTTTGACTTGTGAAACGTCTTCTCATTTATAATTGAATAAAAAAAAGAAAAATATATTTAAAGTTTTATTTAGTTGTTACGGTAATATCCCAAGGTTCATCCTTGTTTGCTTATACTTTCTTTGTAACTGCACCAATTATGTTATTGATATGATTTGAGTTTCTTCCAGTCTTATTTTATCATTTACAATATCTTTAATCATTTCATTACATGCATTCTTAAAACCATCTGATTTTTCTAATTTACGTCTATCACTTTCTTTAAATTAAATCAAAGTTATAACCTTGTTGAGAATAAAGTGGTTTCTTTATCAATTCCTTGAACGCTTTCTGAAAGTGAAGATGAAGAAATTCTTGCCACTTGAATTGGTTTAAATTCTGCTTTCATTGCTTCTTTCTGTTCATTGAACACTGGATCGAATAAAGCAACTTTAAAGAATTTCTTAGCTGGAATTTCAGGTCTCAAATTTGCATATTGACCATCAAACTGATTAACATTTCGAGGTAATCCGTTTGTCTCTTCTTCAATAGACGTTTAATTCTTCATTGAAATAAGAATATGGATTATGACGGTATGAAAATTGGACCATCTTTCACTGTCTCCGATATGTTGTTTAACAGCTTTTCCATTTTCATCAAATTGCATAGGATAACGTTCATTATATGCTTTACGTTTAGGATAATCAGTCATAGTTAATTTTATCCATTTATGACTTTAATATTTCCTTTGACCATCAGTAACGAAAACTTCATTTATACCATCAGGTTTTCTTTCCTTTGGACCTCTGTAATGTCTGCTTCGTGTGCTTCCCAATTTGGTCCATGACGTTTGGCATATGCTTGAGCTTCTGGTAATGTTAAAACGTTTCTCATTTGTTTAACATCCTTTTGAAGACCGGCAACAATGTGGACTAATTCTTTCATTCCGTCTGGAACTTTCATAGTTCTATTATATGCACCCTTTTTGTTTGTCCCTTGTTTTTAATGTGAACCTGTAGAAGATTTGCTATTTCTGTCATGTTTAATTATAAATAAAAAATAAAAATTAATTATAAAAAGTTAATCAAATTTAACACTCTTTATTTAAATCAACTATTATTTTTCCATGTTCTCCTAATTGTTGATATTGTGTGTAAAGTTCATTAATGCTCATTGGTAAATTCACTTGATAAAGCATAACGTTCAACCTGTTGACGACTAAAACCACTGAAAATGAAAAGGGTGGACAGGTTTGATTTAATGTTTGTGCTTAATGCTTTAAAGTATTGAACAGCCATAAAGAATGAACATTGAATATGTCGACATTGAGTTAATAATTGATTAAAATATATGATTTCTCATTAGTTATTAGTTTTGATTTCACGGCATCATCTAGAAAAATTAGTGAATGCAAAAATTCTTTATCAAAATTTGAAATAGAAAGTGTTTCAAATAATTCATCCCGTTGTTTATCAATAATTTTATCCTCTAATCCTTGCTTCTTGATTGTATTATAAATAATTCTTTATACATTAAAAAGTTTTTTAAATAATCTTCTGCTTCTTCTTGTGATAAATAAATAATTGGAATTTTGATTAAATGCTTTAAAGATTCAAATGTATCATCTGAAGGTGAACCTGAACGGTTGATATAAATTAACACATGTGAATGGGGGGAAGTGTTAGCAATAATGATAATTTGTTTTAATATCGTTAATGTTTTACCTTTATTTTGTTTAACCAATTGCTGCAGTGATTGAATTTAAGTAACATTCAGAATATGGAATTTTCATTAATTTTTCCTTAGATAGAGCATTTCTATTATCACTCAATGCTTCATTAATCATATCATCTACGTATGTATTATATACTCCGCTAATTCTTCATAAGGGGTGGATGAATTTAAATCCATTTAATCAAAAATAAATTTATAATTTTAAACATTTCTATTCATCAATATTTCATCATATGAACTTCTATACTGTGGTGGTGTACCTGTTGGATGATATTTCAAACCTTCATCCGGTGTCCATGTCCAATATGTAGTCCTAGTAAACCAAACCTGAGGAGGATTTGTCACCTTTGAACAGTAAGTGTCATTTTCACCCTGAATGATTGGATAAGCTTTCACTTGTACTGTAACTTGTGAATTGAAAGTTTCTAATCCATCAAAGAATATACCCGCTCCATCACGTTGAACTGGAATAGTGCATAAGAATGAAGTTTGGTCTTTCCATGTTCTAGCTAATGGCTGCCATTATCATCATTCAGTGGTCTAGTTAATGAGTCCTCGTATTCTTCCGTGATTCATTCACTCCATCTAAATCAGAAGCTTGAAGCATACGTGTAAAGAATATGTCACCCACTGTGGTCATCGCTTGATCGGGGAAGTTTCTGGAATCTATAGTGACCTGAAGACCTCGAAGCATTGGATTTTCTAAAACTGTTCTTTGCATTGCATTCTTCGGAAATGTTAACACAACATCTGTAACATTATGAAGAGCGTATGAGAAATCTGAGCTAATACCTTCAGGAGTGATGCAACCTCCATTTAGTGAACGAACGTCAATATGTTGAGCTGGAATCATGAATGGATCTTCCTTACTGAATAAACGTGGTATTGCTTTAACTGATTCTTCAATTAAACCGTATCCTGGTGTAATGCATTTATCCTCTAAAACTTCCATCTTTGTGCATGAAATAATAACGTCATCAACTGTTGCGTCAGCAGATGTAGCGGCTAAGCTTGTAATTAATTTGGTAGGAAGTCCGATTTGTTGGAATTTGCGATCATATTTATAAACATGATTCATAATCTTTTCATAATTTTCATCAGTTATCTTTTCATAAACGTAATTTTGTAAATCAGCAACTCTTAACGGGTCAACCTGACAAAATACTAAAGTATCCCTGAAAACATAATATTTAAGAATGATATCACCAAATGATTTAGGATAATCATCGAACGCCTGAAATGCTAACAAATCATTTACCGGAATAATCATATCAAAAGTGACATCAACTTCTTCATTTGCTTTCTTGAAAACTTCTGAAGGGTCAATATATTTACCACATACTGAGTTATCATATTTTTGAACATTATTATATAACGAATGAACAAACTTTTTAACTTTCCTTTCTGATTTTGGTTTATATGTTGCAAATGCGAAAGATTCACGGGCGCAATCCATCTGAAGATAACCGGCATCACCTCTTTCGGTTTCTACTTCTAATTGTTTAAAGCTTTGATTTGATGATTTGTAACCAACGAATAAACGCATGCATTTAAAAGCGGCATCACATGTGAAAGCTTTATTTGAAACTAGAGTTGCTTTAACTTTGCGTTTAATATATGTGTCACCTAATTGGTTCACATCATGAGCCGGATTTGTAATTCTTAAATGAGTTTGTTTATCATCAAAATATGGAGCATCAGAGTCATAGCATGAACTTTCAAGTTCTCTATAATATCTTCTACCGTCATTCTTTGCGAATATTTCATTTATCTTTTCGAATGAATGAAACACATTTCCATTAATCGGTTTAGTGTTTGGCACCAAATAGTTAGTCGTCATTTATTATAAATAAAAAATCAAAATTAAAAGATGAAAATGAATTTTTAATTTTAATGAAATAATCAACTATGGCTGCAGGTATATTTAAGAAACTGTGGGATAAAGTAAAAAGAGGAGCGCATAAAGTTTGGGAAACATTGAAGAAGGGAAATTGGATATTTAAGAATAAAGAAGCAATTAGTGACGTTGCTGAATCAATAACGCCAAAAGCTGCCCCAATAAGAGAAATATTAAATAAAGGAGAAAAAGTTTATCAAAGACTTCAACCGATACTAAGATAAAAATAATATTTATTTATTTTTCCACTATCTACCTCCTATTTTATTAAGTATTCCTTCAGCATTCCACCAATTGCGTTACCTGCTTGTGCTCCCATCGCCGGATTACCTGCTTTAGTACCTAATACTCCACCTATGATAGTTCCTGCCGTTTTCGCTACTGGTGCCAAAAAGTTTGCAATGGGTTTAATAATCTTTTGATGAACCCAACCCGCAGCTTTCTTAATTCCATCCCATAATTTTTTAAAGAATCCTGCCGCCATTTCTGATTTAATATTAATTAAAAAATATATTTCATCACTTATATTCTAATTTTTATTTAATGATAAATGAAACCAATTTTAAAAATAAATGAAACAGAGGAGGAAGAAATAAATGAAAGTGAAAATGTTCAACAAAAAATAAACGTTGTTAAACCAATTACTGAAATAAAAATTTTTTCATCTGTTGAAGAATTTAATGACTATTATGCTAATAATAAAAAATTATTTGAAGAATTGACAACGTGTAAATTGAATAAAATGTTTAAAGTTGATGGATTCAAAATTTCAAAAATAAAAGGAGTGGTTAGTTTGAAATCTATTCCTCAATCAAGAATCACCTCATTAATGAAAATAGATGATTTAACAAAAAGAATAGAAATTATTGAAGAGCGAATAAATCAAATTATTGATTTCATAAATCATGACTCGTTGAGCCCGGGTCCTTAAAGCCCATCACTGAGTTCAAGGTTATATTCATCAAATATTTCATTATTAAATGCAACTTCTGCTAGTTTATTTATTTTTTCAATACGATCATTTGAAAGTCTATCGTTTAATTTTTTCTGAAGTTTTTCATTTTCTAGTTCTGAAACTTTATTTGGATGATATGTAAATTCATGAAATTCTTTGGCCTCGGTTTTGATCATTAATTTACAAAGAACTTTTGTGGTTGGAATTCGTTTGAACCATTTATTAGTTATATTCGTTATATATTCAATATCTGGAATTAATTCCCAAATTTTTGCATTTTCAATTAATTTATTATCAAATGCAAAAGCAATGGGTTTAATATTATGTTTACCTTTATAATATAAACTTTCTACATAATCATCGAAATAAACATCTACTTGTTTAACATTTTCAAGAATTGGTGAAAGAGCATCCATTAATTGATTGACGGTTACGAATCTTGATCCACTCATTTTCTTACGAATTAAAAAAATAAATTATTCAAAAATGTCAGAAGAAAATATTTAAATAAATTATTTAAATTTTTTTACTCTATTCAAGAATTTTATTTTTGATATAACTCATTGAATTCAAAATTTTTTAAAAAATTGACACCATATATAACCAGTAGAAATTCTGCCAGTAGAAGTTCTACCAGTAGAAACTTTACTAGTAGAAGTTCTGCCAGTATAAACTCTACCAGTAGAAGTTCTACCAGTAGAAGTTCTGCCAGTAGAAGTTCTACCAGTATAAACTCTACCAGTAGAAGTTCTGCTAAAGTATTCAATTTTGAGGGAAACAGTAGAAGTTCTGCCAGTATAAACTCTACCAGTAGAAGTTCTGCCAGTATAAACTCTACCAGTAGAAGTTCTGCCAGTATAAACTCTACCAGTAGAAGTTCTGCTAAAGTATTCAATTTTGAGGGAAACAGTAGAAGTTCTGCCAGTATAAACTCTACCAGTAGAAGTTCTGCCAGTATAAACTCTACCAGTAGAAGTTCTGCCAGTATAAACTCTACCAGTAGAAGTTCTGCTAAAGTATTCATAAACACCTTTTTATATCTTATTTACATCTAACATGCACCAATTTATTTTATAACTTTATTAATACTAAATTTTATTTCATACAAAAAGTAAAAATTCATAAGTTATATATTAATTTAATAAATTATATTATCATTTATAATAAAATTTTTCGAAATGCAGATAAATTTTAACATGTTCGAAATGAAACTATTATAAAATATATTCTTTTTATTAATGGTAATATAGGAATTGTAGGAATAAAAACTTTTTATAAATTATTCATAAATTTTTAAAATCTGCTATTCGGAAGTATGTTCAAAAATCATTCAATTATGTGAGAATTCTTACGATTACAAAAAAAGTCACACAACCCGCATCATATACTACTAATCAATATCCGAGCTGGACAAATGTAAATAACTCAAGAATAAATTTTGTTTCTCATGAAACACTACTTGGAAATGGTAGTAATATATTTAATAGCAATTCTATACAATATGCAATCACAAAGATCCCTGGATTAGCAAATAAATTCATTCTTTCTGATGATGATATGTTCTGGATAAAAAAAATTCCAAATTCTTTCTATTTTAACAAAGGGGACCAATCATTCAAATTAATTGGCAAGGAATGGAAATAACCAAAAAGTTTCGCTACACTGATTGGTGTAAGAATGATAATAACGAAGCAACTTATTTTCATGCAATGTTCAAAGCTTTAAATATAATTCGAGACAAATATCCCAAATTTTCAGTTCCAACATTCACTTATGCGCATGTTCCTTTTCCGTATAGAGTTTATTTATTAAATAAGGCTATTGAAGAATTTCCAATTGTCAAAAATCAAACTTTTTTGAAATTCAGGGATTGTACAATGATTCAATTCCAAAGTTTCTTAACTTTTTATGCCCTTGCTAAAAATTTAGCCGAAACAAGATCAAATGGTTCTTTATACGTTGGAGATCCTGTATGCGATGATGTTGCTAAAAAGATAATTAGCCAAACATTAGACACAACATCAATCTGCCTCAATAAATGTAATGCAGAAGGATTTTCGAAAATAATCGAAATTTATCCAAAATCAGAATTTGAATTAGATTGATTAAAGTTCCAGTCTCACCCTCTGAATTTATGTGCATAGTATTATATAATATAGATTAGTTGAATAAGGAGGGCAGTACTGAATTTTCATGTATAATATTGTATTATATATTATCACGATATAATTTACCAATGAAAAAGTAACAAAAGCTCCGAGCCTTAATAGAGAATTTTCTATATCAGTTCTCACATTTATTTGTAGTTATTGTAGATATGATATGGCCAATTCTCGTGTTAAAGTGCCTGGAAATATACGATAAAGTAATAAAAACTCTGTTTTTTGTCAATAATAATTTTTTCCTGACACCCACAAATTTTTGATAAAAGAGATGCAAAACTTAGCTAATCTCTACGATTTCTCATAGCATTACCATATAAAACATTAAATCGAAAAAAGGGGAAAAATCTTCACAAAATATAATGTGTCAAAAAAATTGAGAGAATGTCAGAAAATTGTAAAGATGTCAATGTTTCTCAGATAATGTGATGATTTTAAATACATAAACCTTTCATATTTAATGTATGGAAAACACATCTAAATATTTTAAAAGGTAAAACAAATAAATTTTTTATTTATATAAAAATATATATATATACATTTATCTAAGTTCGAATGATCCTGTGTATTCTATAGCTAAAGTTATAAGTTTGAATGCCTTCTGATAACTTGAATATCTTGGCATGTGGAACTGGTGGAAGCAAGTTGAAGAAGTAGGCATTCTATCAATTCCTTCTGCACGATCTACTTTGAGGAATTTTTCATCATCGCCACAATTTGGAGGCAATCTTATTCTTCCAGTTGAAAACTTGAGAAGAAGAGATCTCTGTTCTGATGTCATCATCTCGCAAACTTTTAGGAAAATGTCTTGTTGAGTGTTGTCTAAATTCTCAAATTTTGTCACTTTTCTCAATGCTTCATAAGTAATTTCTCTTTCTCCGCACGCAGCGTATTCCAATGTGCTCCAGTCCAAATTAAGGAGAGGATCGATGCCGATGTTCTCCCACAATCCATCTCTTATAGCGTTGAGGGAAGCCTTCAATTCATTGATTCTGAATTCATTTGCCAAACTGATGAATTGTGCGCAATTTGAAGCAGTTATGAATTCAGTTCTTCCTCTTTGTATCAATGGCATTTCATTTCCTCTTGCGTCCTGAATGACGAACTTGTGGTTGAGTCTTGCCTTGAACTCTTCATCAGTCATTCCTTCTTTCATTGCCTCTTTAAACGAGTCAATTGTTGTCTTGTAATGATCATCAATTTCCATGATTCTTTCCAATGCAATTTCGCCTGTAATGAGGAATTCCCAGACTAAAGGTGGGAAATTGAAGAACTGGACTAAACCAGTTCTGATACAGATAGCTATGACTGCACCGAAAACTCTGTATCTCTCTGGACTGTTCTTTATCATTGGATGAGGCAAAGGAATCACTGTATCTCTGTATTGGCCAATTTCATTCCTTGAATTCGGTGTTGGAATGACTAATCCGCAATTTGGAGAACAGATGTCGAGAGCGAGTTCTGTAACAAGTTCTCGTGCTGGACCACCTGCGTCGATGCCAACTTCATTGGTGAAATGGACTTCCCAAGGACGATCAGTTGAATCTTTGAAATCATTGATGTTCTTGTAGATATTGACCATTTGAGCAATCAATGTCGCATTGTAGTTTGTAGAAACACCTTCACGGACTTCTACTGCAGAGATTCTGTCGATGTTTATGTCTGGACGCCTTGATTTGGAGTTCTTCTTGATGATATTCCTCAAGTTATCCAATTTCAATTTAGGAGAAACTAATGGCAACAAAAGTTTCATTGATGGGTTCGTCATGAAATCGTTCTTCGTATTTCCAAAGAACCAGTTCATAATTAACAGGAAATGTGCTCGTACACACAACAGATTCAACGGTTTGGTTTGTGTACTTGAAGCAATTGAATCTGGACTGATATCAACTTGCAATGAATGGTTAGAGAACAGTTTATAAGGGAATGTCGCCAAAATCAATCTGTCTGTGTTGTTGTCCCAATTAAACAAAAGATGTTTGATATCATCAATGAACCATTCCTTGTTTTGAAGAACAAATTCGTCTTTGTTCGGTCTGTCGTTGGAAATGAAATACGGACTCAAAAGTTCCCACATGTTCGTGTCATCACAAATTTCAATGTAAATTGTTGTGTGGTTGTTCAAAACAAAAGCATGAGCAAGTGTTAGTTCTTGTGGATTAGACATGTCTTCTTCAAATGAATACTGAAGTTTAATTGATGAAGGAGCAGTGGTCAACATGAAATTGGCTGAGTGTGGAACAGTTTTGATGAACTCAACTTTCAAAATTTTTGACGATAACCGCTTAGAAACCGTTGGAGGACATTTTTGGGAATATTTGGCCCAGATGCCAAGTAACTGATAGAATGGGAATCCGTATTGATTGTCTCTTGGCATGAGAAGTCTCTTGAGGGTGATGAAAAGTCCTTTCTCTTTCTTCTCGTTCGTTTCGAAACTGTCGAAACTGACGTTCTTCGGAATTTCAAACGGTTTGATTTGAATATTTTTGAGGGAAATTTTATCGGTTTCGCTTGCGAAGTAATCGAAATAATATTTGAGTGACAAATAGAACTTTTCATCCCACAAAGTTTGTATTTCTTCAAGCCATATAGCGATTTGCGGATGTTGTGCAACATCAAAGAATTTTCCTATCAATCCTAGATGTATCAAAAGATCGCCTTCGATGTCGGATTCCATCAATGGGAAGTGATTAATTAAAAACCGTAAAATGTCAGAATTATAAGTAATAAAGAAGGGGGAGTTACCCAACAAAGCTTGGATAAAGAAGATGTAAACTTTTGTTCTGAAATCCTGCATCAACAAGAAAGGAATTTCCTTCTTGAAATAATCCAAAGCGATGACGAAATATTTGAAAGAAACAACCAAATCAAAGAAAGTTCCAAGCAATGTTACGGTATCATCTTTCATCATCGGAATAGCTGCAATTAAATTACCTGGATCTTTGTTTTCTGGTGGACTCAATGTGAAACTGTGTCCTGCAGCAACTTCTATTGTATTTGAAATTTTAATACCTTTACAAGTATTAGTTGAAATTGTGCAGATGCAGTCAGGAACAACAGGTTGCAACTGTGTCTGCATGATTATCCACAGGTCGAAGCCTTGTTTCGTGAATGTCTGCGGAGAAGGTAAAGATGATGGATCAACAATTATAGCGTAAGGATGATTCTGTTTCACGGAATGGCTCGTTACATCTTTTCCTTCATTGAACAACAAACTGGCCCACGCTGTAATGAATTCAACAGCTTTGTTGTGTTTTCCAATATAATTAAAGATATTTGTGATGGCGCTCTTCTGCAAAAACTGGGAAGATTTAGGTGTCATCACGTTTTGATCAATTAAATTCAATTGGAAATTGATTGGACTCGATGAAAATGCATCGTATGGTTCAATGACAGTTAACAAACTTAACATTGATTTCAACAAAGCGTTTTGATCAGTGAAATTGAATTTGACCAATGCTCTGTCGATACCAATTGATGATGGCGAATAACACTGCAACAAAACTGTTGACAATAATGTCTTTCGCAATTTCTGGGAATATCCTGTAGCGAAATGATTCAAAATAACACTTGGAAGGATACCAAAGTTATGAGGATGTATGTGTGGCAATGTATCTCTTGGCACAAACTCTTTAATTCTGTTCTTCATACTGAGTTTTCCTGTGTGTTGATCAACAGAAAAAGTTTTAGAAGGATTGAAAACAGTCGAAATCGGATCATCATTACAATTGTTTTTCAAAACATAATATGAGTTTGGAGGTGTCGTGAAATGCAACAATTCAGTCGACAAAATCTGGTTCAATGGGAATTTAATCAACTTCTTTTGTTCAATGTTCTTTTTGTCACTTTTTTCAAGTGAAGTGACCAATTGAGTTGACGATACGGAATCAGCTGGGAAAATCATGAATTTTTCATTGGAATTCTTTCCACTGAATCTTTCGCATTCTATGTCTTCAGGTTGAGAGAACGGATGGCAAGAGATATTCAAGTCCTTTATATTTGTTATTGTTTGTACAGCGTTTGTCAAACAATTAACATTATTAATATTCTTTCTATTTCTCTTGAAAACGATTTTTCCATCCATTGTATTCAAAATCTTTTTCTCAACACCGAATTCGTATTTCAAATCAGCTCCTGGATACAAAACAACAACAAAACAAACCATTGTGCTTGTAAATACATGTTTCTGGAGTAATAATCCTGTCTCGTTATTATAAATCGAGCATTCCTTAGTCAAATGATCGTATTTCAACAACAAATTGCATTTAGGACTTTCTTTTGGTCCTAATGCTGTTTTGACTTTTCCTGAGATTGTTGATTTGTTTAATCTCCTGGAATACATCAAACACTTAATATTAGATTCGTTAATAGCCAAATGATAGAATCCTGCATCGTATGATTGTACAATATCAGCAGCTTCGATTGATAAACTTATATCTTCTGTTTGACTAAAAACTTTTGAAATAAAAACATGTAAACCATCTTTGCAAGAAATCTGTTTGTCCGTGAACACCAAACCATCTGTATCTTTAATAACAGATGGAGAAGCATAGAATAACTCTGATGTTGACGATCTAGGAGTAGTAAATCCTCCGTCATTCGATGCCAAATGTTTTCTAACGATATTCATGAAATCTGAATTATAATTTTCGAAAGAAAACTCAGGAAGAACATCATAAATCTTTTCATTAACTAACATATTAAAGAAAGTTAAATCTCTGCAGTATTCATGCATGGAACTCAATCCGTAATAAAGTAATCCTTCCGTGAAATGACTTGGATTATTCATCGTCAAAAATTTGATGAAAACATGAATTAATTGGTCATAAAATGGGAAAATGGAAGGAGTAAAAGGTGTTGAAGGAATACTTAATATAGAATCAGAGAAAGGAACACTTAATAAAGTGGATTCGGCGTTAATAGGTAATTGCCAACATTCAAAAGTTTTGTTTTGTTGGTTAATCGATGAAACATAATACAAAATTGAGGATTCGCTGTCTTTTATAAGCGAACTGAATGAAATAACATCAATAACATTACTTAATACTCCAAATACTGCATAAAGAAGTAATTGGTCGGAGAAAATTATCAATGATGATGACACTTTTTCTTTTGGAGAAATGAAATTTTCCAAAATAAATCTGAAAACATCCATTACGTATCTTCCTGTTGTAGAAGATTCATTTAAGAACCTTCTAACAAGCTGTATCAGTTTCAAACAACCACTCAAGATGATGTCCGGTGTCTTGCAAAGGTTTTCTTTCTCCAAAGACTTTTCAGAAATTGAAGGATAATCTTTTAAGAAAGAAGAATGTCCTCCAGAACAAATTCTTGAGATTTCATGGAGTATCCAATAGAAAATGGAATCCTTTGATGATGATCCTTGGCATAATTCACCCAAAGCACTAATATACCTTGTGTATTCTTGTGGTTCGCATGTCATTAATCTATTAATTATAGTGCTTGGATGAATTTTAGCATCCATTCCACTTCTATAGAACAAAGCAATTGTTTCTGGATCATCTGGATCTAATGAACTGGCTTGTGACAATTTCTGATATAAGTTCTTGAATTCATTAGTTGCAAAACTCTCTGAATTCTTTGCTAATACACAGAAAAGTGACACCAAAAGTGACACAAGTGAAGTAGAATTTTCTTTGTTAAATTTGGATTCTTTTCCTGTTAAATATTGGATTAACTTCAATGTTGGCTCAATAATTAATGATGGATATTCTTGACCAACAGAAAAAGTGACATTTGTATAGAACGCAATGAAACTTTGTTGAGCGAAATCTTCTTTTATGTTGATCGTCATTTCATTTACCAAATTTATTAATTTTATCGTTTCTGTCACTTCACTTGGGATATCTTTAGACATTGGATTAGCAACACCTAACACTAATGTTTGTATTGCATCATTTGTTGAGTATTTCTCAAGCATAAGTGAAGTGATTGCCATAGAAAGAGGAGTAAATCTATTTGACAAAATTTCTTGGATATAACCAACAGCTTGTGAAATTGATCTTCTTGCTGCATGTGCCTTTTCTATCTGATCGAAATACTGTTCAACAGTTATTTCCGATGTCATGAAACTGGAAATCTTCTTCGCCATCAAAGAGAAACTCGATTCAATGTCAGACATCAATCTCAAACATGGTTGCAAATGAACTAAAAATATACATTTCTTCATAATTAACTGTATAAATTGTTCATAACTGTTATTTGATTCATTAGTATTGGAACTTGCTTGTTTGGCTCTTCTCAAGTATCTCCTTGTCTTGTAAACAAGCTGTACAATGTTCTTTATGTATTTGGAAATCTCTACAGGTTGATTTGAACTCAAATAAATGTTTAGATCACATAAATCACTTGTTAATCCCAATTGTTTGGTGTAAGCAGCCAAAATAACTCTTTCTAAATGTCTCAAATCATTGTTCTCGACTTTCTTCACATGATCAGGTATCTTCAAATACAAATAATCAATCAATGTCTTAATTGCTTGTGATTCATCTTTGGCAACAAGAGAAGTTAAGAATCCTTCTTGTATTTCAGCGTTGTTTGAGTAACTGGTTGAATGGAAGTTGAAGGAAAGACCTTTGCGAACTAATCTTCTGTGTGATTTCTGTTCGGTGGTCGCTTGGCTTACGATATCGTTAATATCGTTTGGAGTAAGTTTTGATTCTTTCGTTGGTTGGTAGAGCCATGAGTAAGTGGTGGAACTCTTCATTAACGCGGCATTGTTCATTAATGAATCAATGTAGTCAATGTAACAGGAGTAAACAGAGTAAAATAATAAGTTATGTTGTGGATAAATTGGACAATCAAATTTGATCGTGGAAATCATATGTGTGAGCTTAACAAATAACTCATGGATCTTGGTCGTTGCGAAATCAACAACAGTTGGGAACTGTTGGAAGTGATGAAGCAACATAATAAATTTTTCAAAGATATTCATGTTAGGAATCTCAGAACGAGTGGTTTCGTTGTATGTATTCGGCATTTTATCGATACGTGCTGAGAATTCATCGAATATCATGGTGGAAAACGTAAAGAAATTATCCATCAAAATATCTTTGTTTCCTTTATCGACTTGCTGCTGGCTTAAGAGATAGTCCCTTGAGTTGATGAATAAACTACGCATGTAAGTCTCTAAAAGCTCGGTTTCTGTAATCGTCAATTTTGGATAATTCTTTATAAGGCTTAGGAATGTGTCCTTGATCGTGGTCGAGTTGAAACAGTACGGATATATACTCATATTGTGGATCTTTTGGAGAGTATATAGGATAAATTCCGTAGACATCTTCTTGATGATTTTTATGAAGACCGTTGGCAAGCTCTGCTTATTGTCTGTGAAGAGCAACTCAATGGAGTTAACAATTGTGAAGATAACAGATTTATGGGCAAAAGTGAAGTCCTCGTTTTCAAGAATTCCCACGAGAATGTTGATTGAGTCCACGGCGTAAATAAACTTCGGGGGCGCTTGGTCACCTATGACCGATATTTGTGTGTCCATATTGGATAAGTTGTAATCGAAGAGCCTGATTAGGGACAATATTGTATGCTTGCATCTCTCCAGCTTAAATCCTTCGCATTCCCGCTTGGATGCGTAGATTTCTGTGAAATAATTTATTGCATTTATTATGTATTTGACGGCATCGTTTGTGCAAGGTGCGAAGAATCTTGCCGTCGTTGGAGAATAGTTATGGTTCGATTGCGCAGCGTGGAAACTCAATCCAGCGAAGTGAACTGTGTAAAATTCGAGGAAATTTATCAAAGAATTGAGAACTTCCGCATGAGTTGAGCATGGTGCGGATGGACTGAACTCAGCCACGTTGTTTATGTCCGATCCTGTGAGCCACGGAGGCTGAGAATTGAAAGATGGGATATGAATGATCCTCTGATTGTTGCATCCCCAGTAGCATCTGTTCCACGGGTCGTAAGTGAGTGTAGAAATGACATGTTCGAGGACAAACTGCGAATCACAAATATGTCTTCCGTCAACTAACGAGAAATGCCTTGCGAAATAGGTGTATTGGTTATCAGAGGAGTTGACTAAATGGAAAAATGAGATTGTTATGCCATTTGTAGCAGCAGTTAAGTTTGATAAAAATTTTGATGGGAAAAGTTCTTCATCAAATGGTTCAAGAAGCGGGGCATCCGATCTAACGAAGTCAATAAACCTGTGGAGAACAAGATTTGGTGGCTTTATCGATAGAACTGCTACACCACATGGAGCATTCAACGAATAAAAGTACTTTGAGTCGGTAGCGTAAGGCGGATTGCACTGAGGAATGATTGTAAATTCGCCGTGTATAGAGAATTTGATCTGGGAATTGACTCTTTCGAATGGTTTCGTTCTGTAAATTGAATAAATTGGAATTTTCTGGGAATAAATCAGTAGATAGCCATTGGAGTATGTAATTGACATGTCTTCATTCGATGATTCGTTTAATTCGTCGAGTGTATACTGCTGGAATCGATTTTCATGTTTTGTGATGTTTTTGGAGAGATCTACTATGGTAAGTTTCTTTCCTTTGCCTATGATGTAGAGATGTGTGCCATCGGATGCGATGAACGATGTCTGGACTTTGCCAATTTGAGTGGAACTCGAAATTGTAGTGGAAGAAATGATTTGGTTTGTAGGGGGTGCGAAACATGTGTTTGCAAGGGATATGGAATTTATTACGGATTTTAATTGGTCGAATGAAAAATCATTTGTTTTTTCAATTTTATTTTCGAAACAAAGGTTTGTAATATATTGGAGTGACTTGATGATGGCTGTTATTTCGCCTGCACCAAATCCCCATGACAAAAGTCTGTAGATCGCGTTCTCATCGTCAGATTTAAAATCACTAAATCTTGTAGTTAAAGCAGCGTAAGATGGATGAGGACGAATTTCTTTGTATTGGACAATCTCTTTGAATTTAGTAAGAAAATCTTGATATGCTTCTTCGCTTTTAAGATATGTTCCGACATTAAAGAATTCTTCAGGGATACGTCGATGAGTGTTGACAATATCGTTTTGTATGCCGTTTATTTGCTCGTTAATCGCATTTAATCTACGTCCTTCGTTCATAAAATATGGAAATGCTCTTTCTCGTAAAAATCGAAATAAATTCGAAAGGATTTGTATTTGTTTTGGCTTAGAATCTAATGTGCCGCAAAATAAAGGAATAAGAACCTTAGAAAAGGCTTCAGATAAAGTTGATGTTGATGAATATGTAAGATAATCAGTAATAATATCGTATACCATTTCGGCAGAAGGCAGATTGAGATCTTTTTGTACTTCTTCGTTCGATTTATCGAATAAATCTGATTGGAATGATGTCTTAAGCGGAAGTTCATCAAATCCAACTTCGATAACATTCTGTCCTTCGCCTCCATATGCGTCAGCATTCTGTGTCAGGGATATACTGGCTTGAGATAAATCCTGACCCATATTGCTCGCTTAGAAGTGAAGGGTAAAAAATCAAGGGTAATTTATCAATGTCAAAATTTTAGAAAATTTTGTTCTAAAAGTTGTAAAAATAATGTACATATTTGTGTTTTATATATTCAATTTCAGCCTAAAAAAATTCAAAGTCTTTGAAAACAATTGGAAGTATTTCATATATTATCAATAGAAAGTAAAATGTGTTGATATATCGGATATTTTCTAATCATTTTTGAATGATGGAGATTAAAATATAATTGTTAGGTTTCAAAACATTCAAATTTGGAAACAGAGAGTACGCATTCATTGGGCGTGGTATATATTTGAAGATATTTTACCACAATTTGCTTGGTGGATTCTTCTCCAGCAAAGAAGAAGCAAAATCCTCTAACTCTCAATATAAATATTCTATACTTACCGAAATCAATGATGAATTCCGTGATAAAGACCACAAATTTACATTTGCACTCATTTATCCTGAAATTAAATTGTATAATATTTGGCAACAAAGCAATAATCCATTAAGTGAGAATAAAAAATGGACAACCAATAACTATTATTACGTAGAAGGATACCAAAACATCACTATATTAGCAAAGCGAAATGAAGATTACTGTAGATGGGGCGGTCTACTTCTAAGTCATTCAGAAAGTTTGATAGATGGATGTCCTGGAGGCCAAGAGTGGTTTTATACTATTGGTTATGTTGGAAGAGGTTGGGGACCTACTGAGCAGAACTTTCTCATTCCATCAAATAATGATGGTGTGAATATTGTTAGTTTATGGGTCAAAGTAATAGATGATAAATATAAAATTATACTTAGTTGTCAAGTAAACAATTACATTTCTTTCGTATACTGGATATCATACTTGGTATTCGTAATGACGTCAGAGTAAACTATATTGGTATATAAATTTCCTCATTTAATATAAATTTTTGATTCATAAGATTTCATTAACAAAACGAACTCTTCTTAACTCTCGGCTAATGGCAAGAAAGCAATTGCCTTAGAAAATGTTCCAAAGAGGAGGTAAATTGTTTTTTGTTCAAGAATATATCAGCAAATTTAGTTCCATCTCAAAGAATGTTCAATAGTAGGGAACTTAATATTACTCAATCTCGCAGAATCTATTTTAATGCAAAAAATCAACAGCGCAAAGCTTCAACTATTTAATTTTAGAAAGTTTATGTTTCTTGTAATTGCAGAAGTTTTTAAAGTATATTCACAAGAGTTAACAGTTCAACGATGAATAGAGTTTTAGATAATATTTGTAGGAACAACTTGATTATACTACAATCTCGAGCAAATATCAATATAAAGTATGTAAATGAGGGAGCAATAACTGTTATATTGATTTTAAATGTGCTTTCTAATGGCTTAATGCGAGTTTAAAGAGATAGAAACAGGATTTTTACTTACTTTGAAAAAGACCTGATTAAATACAGTATAATTTAACGCCTATGATGATATCATGTTGTATTTCGAATATTTCCTTTTGTACCTGGGCCTTTTTGAAAACATTGAATCTGATTTTCTTTGAAATTTTCCGATTTGCTGGCAGCAATCAAACATATGAATGATGAGGATGATTGCCCTCTTTGCGTGAAATTCCAAAATTTTTTTAATGTCTAGAAAATGAGAATAAACTTTTCATATTTGGATTTGAAAAAAATAAAATCAAAAAAATTTTGCAATATTTTGACTGAGTTTCGAATTAAATTTAATTTTTCATCAAATATAAGCAAGTTTTATGGAATTTAAATTGGTTATTATATTTATTTTTATTAGTATATTCTTTTATTTACGAGAAATAGGTGAATCATTCTTTTTTGAATAAATGAAATTAAATAATAACATTATACTCGGATGAGAAAGGCTTAATCTATATTACTTAGCACATAGTTTTGTAAAATATATAATCATTCATGCATTACCTCATGAATTAATTCATTCATTGGTGATTGAAATTTTATCCTCGGCAATATGTTGATTCGTTTTTCATCAGCATGGTATACTATTTCACATTGAAAACGAATTAATATTAGTTAATACAAAAATATTATCCTCAATTATCTTCTCAAAGAAACATTCCCTTCATTAATAAATGAGCACATGCCTATATTGTTTATCTGATGTTTCAAAATGGTCTAATTTATGGTTATTCATTCATAAATTGACATACAATATTTTCAAAAACGTGACGAAAATTTTAAACAGCTATTTCAGAAAAAAAAATATCATTTATCAATGGCTAAATATGTCGATAGCATTCTTCATGACTATGCTTTGACATTTGGCAAACAAGAATCAGAATCCAATAATACAAGCACAGATATTCCTAAGCGAATTCAAGATAGTCAAGTAATGCCTTCAAATGAATCTAAATTCGGAACATTACCACCAAAAGAAGCTATGAATATTGTTGAGAACTTAAAAAATGAACATGTAAAAGATTTACAAAGAATAACAGACATTACCACAGAAAATGCACAACTTAAAGCGAAAATAGATGCTTACGAAGCAATAAATAGGCATGTTGATAACTTATCAAATACGATTGATGAATTAACGCAAAAATATATTCAAACAATGCAAATTCGAACTCAACAAGCTGCTTTAATTAAAAAGCTTAGTATGGAAATTGATGATCTAAAGGCATTATTACCCCAAGAGCAAACATACGGGCGATTTTGAACTCGAAATTTTTATATACAAATAAATCTTGTTGTTTTAGTCTTTCTTGTAAATTTATGTATTTTTAACACTAATTTTGAGAATTTTTAAAATAAATTTATACAAATACAGAAGTTTAACTCTATAAATCTATATTTATTCTAAGGGTTGTAAACAAATGAAATAACTACAACAACAAATGGTTAGAAATTGCTTTTTCCTACTCCTTGACATCAGAGAATGAGGCTGATGGAACTTTAGCTTTGCTTCTATCAGATAATACAGTTCCGTAGCTTGTTCGTTTAATTCTCTCTCTATTTAACATCTTTTGAAGTTCTTCTTGCGCTTTATTCTGTCTTTCTTTTTTGATTGCCTTTACATCAGTAACAACTACGTTTGGAGGGAGTTTAACTTCCTCTTCTTTTGTCTCTTTCTTTGCTGTTTCTTTGACAAATTGGTCCAGAAGAAAATCTGGAAGTGGTGCCGATGGATCAAAATCAGATTTTTTCATTAAAATCTTTTGTCACTTTTTCATTAGAGGACTTGATTTTTTTGTTCAGTGTCTCGATTCGAATGTAATGAAATACTGAGTTACCATGCTTTGAAACTATGAAATGAAACACTCTACCATGTGTCGTTCTTGTTTTGCAAACTAATTTCATCAAATATCACAGGTCAAAGGGTATATTAGCTTCAAGAAAACACTAACTATATGAAATTTATAAGTGTAGGATCTATTCATTCTAATTTCTGCATATTTGTCTTAAATTTGGAACAAATCTTTCTTATTCTAAGATTTTTCTTATATCAATTAATGAATATAATAAGCTTCATATTGTATGATTGAAAATCCTCATATCATTCTCTATTAACTATGTCTAAATGTAAGATATTATTTTTTATATTAAATTTGTGATTTATGGAGAGAAATATTCAAATAACTAGTTTGAATGAATTAGCAAGCAAGTAAAAAACAAAATTTTAGTATGAATCGATATTAAGTCTCTTATATCTGTCTTTAGATTTGATCAGCTGGCGGGCTGTGCCTTTCACAATGTTATTGCTATATTCTTCATCGATATTTACTCCATGTTTCAACAGCCATTCAATGATTTCTGACCAATTTCCTGTTTGAGATGCGAAATGCCAAATTAGAGGTTCCCGGTACTCTTATTTTTAATGTTAACGTTGAAACCTCTTTCATAAAGCATGTCAAGAATTTTGACAGCTTGGTCTGGATTTTTATTAAAGAAATAGTATGGCCCCGGGTTACCATACTCATCAAACTTGTTCACATCGATATTGTGAGATAAGATTTCCTTTGCAATTTTTGCATTCATTCCTTTGCAGATGAAATGAACCGCAGACATCTGATCTTGTGCCTCGATATCGTATACAGTAGCATACTTCAAAATAAACTTTACGATATCGTAATTGATGCAATATCCGTTCAAAGCCCTAAAGAGTGGGAGGAAATGTTGGTCATCCTCTTGATCTAAACTAAGACCGCTTTCAACAAGTATTTTCAAGCTGTCTAATCTACCTAAAACAATTGCTGAATTAATTGGTGCAGTTTGTGATTTATTTTGGCCATGATGCGATAGTAGGATAGATAATGAAGCTGCATCACATAATAGAGTTGATCTTTGTATTGCTTTTTCTGCATAAAGATGAAGATTTATTCCTTTTAGGCAGAGAAGTTGTATAGAACGCGCGGATTTGGAACTAGCTGCTAAAGTCAGATATTTTTGATGATTTTTGGAGTCATTTTGAAAAGCTTCATCAGTCATTTGACTTAAAATGTAAGCAACAACTTCAGAAGCATCATTGGCGCAAGCATAATGTAGAGGATTATCATCATGAGCATTTGGTAAAAGAAGATCGAGCTTTGCAACTTTGTGAAGGTAAATAAAAATATCCAATGCATTATAATATGCAGCAGCGTGCATTATATGTACACCATCTGCTGCTATATCATTAAAAATAATAGGCCTACTAAATTTACTAAATTTATCTTGATTTTCTCCAATCGAAATATACAAATTTTGGATGTTTTTAGTTGCAATAATTTCAGCTATATTGTCATCCTTAAGTATGCCGATGTACTTCGTGGACTGTATGGAAAGTTGGCGGGATCCAAAAAACATCTAAAATTATAAATAATGACAAAATTTTTCCGATTATTTAGGTTTCAAATATTTCAAGGAATTTAATTCTATCAAAAATAAGGGTTCAACAATTACAATTTTAAAATTGTTATTAGAAACTGTATGCCTGTGGAAAAATTCCAGAATTTGCATTTTTATGAGGCTTGGAAAAATTCAGATTTATTTCATTGTAATGAGGGATTAAGTAAAATACAATGATTTCCGCAATTTCAAATTAAATTGAATGAATAGGAGTGGAATTTGGATTATTGCTAAGAGATTAGTTTGCATAAATAGGGAATTACCTATACTCTATGAAAAATAATTAGTTCATAAAAAAATTGAGTGTAAAATCAAAATTGTTAACATAAAAAATCTCTTTTTTTGCAATCGATATATATTTCAAGGTACATTCGAATTTTTATTATTTTTTTAAAAGGAAGGGTTTTATCTCAATTTTTTGATAATAGTAAACTATTGAAAACAAAACTATTCAAAACATCATTTTTTTTCGATGCATTCTACAACAAGCATCACCTACACAAAGAAGTATGTTGGTAACACCCAAACAGGCAATGTCTACCTTTGGGGCCCTAACGGATGTATCCATGTCGAACATTTCGACTGCAACCCAAGAAGAAAACAGGATCCAGTCATTGGCACTACATTCCAAGAGGCATATAATCGATGCAAAGATATCCAAAGACAGTACGAGCCTGTTTTTGAAAATTCTGCAACCAACATCGAATCTCGTTTTGTTGATGAAATGGAAACCGATTCTCCAATTGGTTTCATCTTCCAAATTGATCAATGTGAACCCACACCTCCAGATTGGCCAGAAATCGAGGATCCCTTCCAAGATTTTGAGGAGCCTTCTCTTCCCAATTCTCATCAGGACTTAATCCACATTAATATCAACATTGCCTTTGAGCGTTATCACAGCTGATGAAAATAATGAAAACAATTTTTTCTTTTAATTTCGTATTTATTAAAAATGATTTTTTTATTTTATTTCAATTTCTGAATTTTTTTAAAATAAGAATTGTAATGAAGAGTTTTGATGATTGTATAGGTTCACACTCAAAGAAAACTGCACTTTATATAATACAACAGATCAAATTATCAAACAGTTGAACTTATTCTATAATTATAAATAATACAAACATTTATTATAATAAAATTCACTTAGAAAGCTTTTCAGCAGCTTTAGATTTCGACTTTGATTTCTTGGGAGATTTCTTTCTTGAACTCTTTTTTGGCGATTTCTTTCTTTTTCTTGAAGATGTTGCAGATTTATTTTCTGCTTCTTTAAGCTCTTCGATCTTATCAACCAAGAAGATTGGGTCACTTGTGAATTGGCTGAAATCAATCTGTGGTGGAACGAAATTCCTAATTGATTCTTCGTCTTGGACTTTTTCTTTTGTTTCTTCCAAGATTTTCATTACTTGATCAATTTTTCTCTGCAATTCCATTTCTTCTTCTTGTTGCTGTTGTGTTTCTTTTTGTATCTCTTCTTTGAGAGCTTCTGTATCTTGTAACAATTTCTCAGTTAAAACTTCTTCTCTTGCTGTACTATTCTTGATATCTTGTATCTGCGTTTCAAGCTGAGATTTCATTACTTCTCTTTCTTCTTCATTTTTCTTTGCAGCTTTGTATTCTTCTTGAGTCATTTCTTTTTCAATGGAAATTAGCTTGTTTAACTCCGTTAATTTCTGCTCAGATGCTTGATATGTGTTTGCAATCTCTGCCTGAGTATCAATGACATCTGTTTCTAATTGCCTTCTTGTATCTTTTAATGATTTAAGCTTTGATTCTGCTTCTGGCATTTTCGTTCTTTGTATTGATAATTGAACGAGTTCTTTCTTTAATGGCTGCAAGTTAACTTCCCTCTGGATCTGCTTATTCCTTTGGCAAAGTGTATTGATTGCTTGTTGAACGAAATGGTCAATCTGTGTTGCTGAAACGTCAATGGTAAAAATTACTTCATTTGCACGAATTTCTTCTAAAATTGAATATCCACACTCTCTTGTGAGGAAGTTATCAGAGAGTTTGAGAACTCTAAGCGCTTTATTATCTTTGAGAGCAATTGCAATTTCAACTGCGTAGTTATCTGAGATTCTGCAAGATGAAATATTTAATTTGGTCAGAGATTCATTATTAGTAATAGACGCTGCAATGGCATGAGCTCCAACATCTCCAATTCCATTCTTTGATAAATCTAAATTGGATAAAATGTTGTTTTTCAAAATTAATTCTGAAATGTGATCTGCACTTTGCTCTGTTATATTGTTATTTCCAACATTCAACTCTGATAATGTATAATTTTCTAATAAGGCTTGAGAAATGGCCATAAATCCCAAATCTCCAATTTCATTTTCAGAAATATCGAGAACAATAAGACTAGTATTGTATTTAAGTGATTCAGCTAATGATGCACCCGCATTTTCTGATAATTGGCACTTGTGTAAATCTAAATAAGATAATCTGCTCATTCTGTTTATTTGGGATAAAAAGTTCCCACCAAATGGATCTGGAAGTGGAGATATATGCATATCCAAGAATTTAAGATTCTCGTTCTGTAAAAGTCCATTAAGGACTACTTCTTGTTCTTTTGGAGCAAATCCATTTTCTGCAATTGAAAGAGATTTTAGAGTGGAGCTTTCTTCAATGAAATGTGCTAGGTCAGCATCCATAGAGATTTTGCGTGCACCTACACGAAAACTCATGCAGAGACCAGATAAACCAAGGCATTCAATGCGATTTGAGCCTTGGACTGCACGAACTATATCTGATAATGCAGGGATAGTAAATTTGTTGTTATGCCATGCAACACCGACAGTTCCTATTTGCAAACTTGTAATTTTAGTATTATTAATTATATCAACGATTGTAGGGACAGCTTGATTTGTGAAATCATTACATCCAATATCTAAAACTTTAACGCGAGTATTTACCATTAAAAGCTGTAATAAGCTGTGAATTCCATGATCTCGAATTAAGTTTCCGTAAAAATTAAATGCAGTTATTTGCTGATTAGCTCGAAGTAATTTTGAAAGTTTCGTTAAAACGTTGATACCTATACGCTGGCCGGATAAATTTAGTACTCCAACAGCGAAAGAAGCTTTTAATTGATTACAAAATCTTTTATAGTCATCTTCAGAGAAAGGCGCATTATTATCTCGTAGTTTTGCTTTGAAGATGCCTTCAAAAGATGTATCTTTAGACATTTAGTAAAAAAAATGTACGTTTGATTTTGCAAATAAATTTGATCATGACTTAAATCAAATAAATTTAACAAAACTTTAACATACATCTTATTTGTAATAAAAATTTCAATTGATCTCAGAATAGATCTGTAAATTTTTCCAAGATTGAGGCTTTGAAAGGATACTTTGGTAAGTAATCTCTTGCACAAGTGCGATTTCATAGGAAATAACCAACTAGAATGACTACTTCCTCATTAAAATTCCACAAAAGGCCGAATTTTTTCTTTCTAAAAAAGTGACAGATTTTATGTTGAATTTCGTATTTCCTTTGCTTATTTTAGGAGCTGAGAAGCCAAAAAAGGTATGGTATGCACCTAATAAGATGGAAGCATATGGAAATGAAGAAATTGAAGCAGTAACAAGATGCTTGCAAGATGGCTGGTTGGCTCCTGGCCCAAGAACAGCACAATTCGAAGAAAGAGTATCTAAGTACTTTGGAAAGAAGTTTGGTTTATTTGTTAACAGTGGATCCTCTGCAAATCTTCTTGCAGTTATTTGTGCAGGGATTGGGCCAGGTGTTGAAGTTATTACACCTGCCTGCACATTCTCAACAACAGTTGCACCACTTGTTCAGGTAGGAGCAACTGTCAGATTTTGTGATGTTTCACCAAATAAATATGTTCCGACAATTGATCAAATTACAGCAGAAATTACACCAAAAACCAAAGTTATAATGATACCGAACCTCCTTGGCAATAAAATTGATTGGAAATTACTTAAAAATACCCTCAAAGAAATGAAACGTGAAGATATCTTACTTATCGAAGATTCTTGTGATACCATGACACACACAATAGAGTCAGACATCTCAACTGTATCCTTCTACGCCTCTCATATCATTACAGCTGGAGGAACAGGTGGAATGGTGATGTTCAACAACGAATCTATGTACAAGAGAGCATGCAGCATCAGAGATTGGGGAAGGGCAGGTGATAATGACGAAGCTGTTGCAGGAAGATTCAATCATGGCTGATAGATGGAATTCAATACGATTGGAAGTTCCTTTATACAGATTTCGGATACAATCTAAAGGCATGCGAAATGAATGCTGCATTCGGATTAGTCCAACTTGACAGATTACCACAAAATATTAAAATCCGCCATGAATTATTTGACAGATACATTAAAACTCTTAAAAATAATGAATACGCATCCAAATATTATAAATTCCCCGTTATAGAGAATCAAGATATCCTTTTGCTTGCTCTTCCTCTTGAATGTCCTGATAGAATGGAATTGATAGAAGTTTTAGAGGAAAATGAGATCCAACCAGGAGTAACAATGGCAGGAAATATCTTAAGACATCCAATTTATAAGGAAAAATTCCCAGATCAGGCAAAAAAGCAATATCCTGTTGCAGATGAAGTAATGAAGAACGGTTTCCTTATTGGATGCCATCAAGGTCTAACACTTTCAGATGTGGACAGAGTTTGCGAAGTTTTGATTAATTTTGCAAAAAGAAAATTGTTCAAATTCCCTGAATTATAATTGTATTTAATTTAAAACTATATATTATTTTGCATTATTTTTTTTTCTTTTGAAATGTAAGAAAAATTTGGAAATCAAAGATACCTTTCATTCAGATGCTTCATATGGATCAATGAAATATCACATTATCCATTATATTCATAGAGAAAATCCTTAAATAGTATCTCTACAATTGAATTTTTTTAGTTGGATACCATTTGTATCAAATTTGAAATTTTATTTTGAAGTGAAGAATTACATAACTAAATTTAACCCTACTTAGTTTAAATTTCGACGATTAGCCAATCCGGAGCCTGAAATAATATCAAAAAGCTGTCTTTCATTGATGGTTCTACACTCAAATTGGTATATTACTTAAATCAATGATAGCAGCCATTTTAATAGTAAGTTTGTTGGAAATTTTAATTTTAAATATTTATTTTTCCAAATGGAAACTACATTCGAGGGTATTAAATTGAAAGCGGATAATGAAAAATCAGAAGTGATACAAGAAGTAGCTTACAATAGCACAGAACTAACAAGTTCTCAAATAGAGATAAAAATTGATTCTGATTTGGAAGATAAGCTTAAAGATAAAGTTTCATTAGTGTTCAGATTTATTCCTAAACTTACATTTTCTGTACATGTCAAAGTCATTGACGATGAAGATTTTTATAAAATTGGCATTTCTTATAAATCACACAAATATGAAGGTTATGCTATTCCCAATATGATTTATCCAGGAATAGTAATATGTAAGGACTGGATAAATAAAAAAGAATCCGATGAAAAAGAATCCAATGAAAAAAATCTTCAAATCCAAATCGGACCTATAGTTCCAAAAGATGATAGCATTATAAAGATTTTTGCAAAATATGATCACAAATGGCAAGATGATGATTCGGATGAATTGAATATTTTTGAACAGATCATTCATAAAAAGGAAACACACCGTCAAAAACCTCATGATGATATTAGTGATGTGAAAGTTTCGGATGGTGATATCGAAAAGGCTTGCAAATATTACAAAGAAATGACTTTTTATGATCATAAAGTAGAAAATCTTGTTCATAATGCCATGTCTAAGAATAATTGTATACCTCCAAAAGAGAAACTTATTAGACCAAAATCTCAATCAAAGCACAATCAAACAGACAAAAAGGAAAGTAAATCTATCAAATCAGATCAAACTTCAGAGAAAAGCAGTCCATCAAAATCTCATCATAAGCACAATCAAACAGACAAAAAGGAAAGTAAATCTATCAAATCAGATCAAACTTCAGAGGAAACGTCAAAAAGATCAAGTTCGTCTCATCATAAAAATCATAGACCTCATAAATAAGATTTGACCAATCATTAATTGATATTTTTTTCAAATAAAATACTTGTATAAATATGTATCTTTCAAATCATGATAGTATCTATATTAATTTTTTTAAACAATTTTAATTTCTTCTCTCTTAACAGGAACTTCGATTGTAAGTTCTTCTGTTTCTTGTTTCCATTTCGCGGAAACTTCTTTTTTGTCATCTGGAACTTTATCAAGTTTGAGTGTAAGATGATATTTTGGACAGCGAAGATCAAGAAAGCCATTCATAACGTTAAGATCTATATCATCTGGCTGGGTACCATTTAGTGCAACTTTTATAACGACAGCATCGATGTTTGCATTAGATGGGTCGTTCATATTAAGACCAAGATAGACATCGCCTGTTCCGATGCATTGTTTGTAATGTATGTGGTATTTTGGTTCTGGCCTGTCATCTGATAAATCTTTATAGAAACCAACTGGAGTAATTTCATCGTCATCCCAGAAAGTTTCTTTCTCTTTTTCTTCAATGACTTGCTCAAAATATTCTTGGTGCTCTTCTTCTTTATGACTGCAGTCTTCAAACATTTGCTTAAGAGCAAGGATGTCTACACCTCCATTTTCCATTTTTGAAAATTTACTAACGTGCACTAAAATCTTGTAAATTTTTTTAGAGGATGAAATTACTTTTTAAGTCGAGATCGCAATATTATCAAGTCAAGAAAGCGAATATTACACTTTGCTGCTTGATACTTTTTATCATTTTCTCTTTATTCCCTTTTTCCCAGCATGAAATATTGCATCGTAATCTAATTGACAAAAGGCTACCAGAAATCAATCCAAAATATGCTAGCAATGTCGAAATATATGAAAATATTACATGGAAATCTCAATTTGATGATCCAATCAGACAATTGCATTCACAGAATTTATATACAAAGATAACTGTATATGCACATGCATTGGTAAGAGAAGTTAGAATGTGTTATCATTTTCAAAATGTTTACTTTTCTGCGTGGGGTATAGCCCAAAACCAATACAACATAAAATTTGCGCAATACATAAAGAAGCAAAAAGAATATCTTGAACCAAGTCCAAATCCATGGGAATATTACAATAAAATCGTAATGGCTTACTCTCATCATCTTGAATATGGACATTTTATGGGTGACATGTTATCAGCACTCATTCAAATGCCACAGGAATACTTAAGAGATGCAGATATTTTCATTAATTTTAATGAAAAGCCAGCTAGAAAAATTTGTGGCATATTAGGTTTCAACGAGTCGAGAATTCATAAATTACCTAAATATTGGACATATGCACTTGACGTCCGTGTTATAGTTTCCAAAGAAGGAGCAAACGCCTTATTAGTGAATGGTCTCAAAATTCTTCACGAAAAGTTTTATGCAGCATTAAATCTTTCTTCAATTGTTCCCAATAGATATATTTTCCTCAACAGAATAAAAGGAATTTGGGGAACAATCAATAATCTTCCTGAATTATTTGAAAGTGCCAAAACTAACTTTCCAAAATACAATTGGGAGATCGCTAATGAGTCAATTGCATATTCAACTATAGATGCAGGTAAACTTCTTGCTCACACAAAATTTTTAATAACAACAGCAGGATCAATGAACTTTAATTGCGTTTTCATGCAAAAAGGAACTGCTGTATGTGTTTGTGGATCGAAATGCCTGGATTATCCTGCAATTGCCGTTCATTATGCAATGGGAATTTGGTCTATTTATACAAATGGCTTTCTTTTGCATGGCAAAGTTGACACGAAACCATTCCCTGTAGATAAATTTAACACAGCCGTTTCATTACTCTTAGAAGCTCAAGAAACAGGTAAATGGCCGAAATCTGCGGCAAAAGATTATATATATGCTTGGCCAATAAATACTATCAAATGGCAAGCAGAGAAAGGATACAGAAACTATCCTTTAAGACCTCAATACTATCGTTTAGAACGAAAAATCATATAATTTATTTTAGTTATTTTTTTTTGTCTGTTAATTATAAATATTAAACTTGAACACCATGTTTCTTATATTGACCCAAGTCTTAATTCTTAATACTATAAATCTTTTTAACTATCACTTTTTAAAAATGTCTAAGAATGTTTCGGTTGATCTTGTTTATGAAGGTTTGTTTTTAGAACTTCAAAACGCAGTTAAAACCAACATAGACCTAATGAACACTATATTAGACTCACTTAGCCATTTCAAAAATTCAACTGATAATATTCAAGCCGAACTTAACAAGAAATATAAAAGTTTACCAAAAGAAAACATCAAATCTAAAGCCTCAAAATCTATATTTAAGAGAAAGAAAGATGATTCTAAACAACAAGTTCCGGAACAAAGATTGAAAGAAATTATGGACGCGATGTTTTTATCTATTATTGATCCAGATAATGTATCATTCTTTGTTAAGAAGATGGACGATATTTTCCTTTCAAAATTTACTGATATCAGAAATCAATATGTCCGCGGAAATCAAAGAATGACTTCTAACTATGAGAAAAGTATGGAAGAACTCAAGAAGAAGCAACTTGCCTACGAAAATGCGAAGGAGCAATATGATATTGCATTCAATAAGGCCCTAGAGGCCTACAACATTTTTAAAGCGGATCGTACTCCAGAGTTGAAGGAACAGTTCAATCAAGTGAAAATTGTTTTCCTTGAATGTCAAAAAGCTCTCGAGAATTCACTTGATACTTTAAATAGAGGACGCTTAACCTTTAACGAGGATTACAATATCACATTAGCTATTTGGGAAGAAGCAGAAGTTGCACGCCAGAATACAGTTAATACTCTTTTGAAAGATTTTTCAACAGTAATTCAAACTCTTGCCGCAGTCAACAAAACATGCGCCATGCAGATGAAGCAGATAGAAAAGATCTACGATTTCGATGCAGATCATCCTCAATACAACAATCCAGTCTTTAATAAAGATCCGAAAGATTTTACTTTCGTAGAGTTTTCAACACCGGAGCTACCTATCGATATTACCGAATTCATTCCTACCGCAGAATATTTCGATGATGAATTGGCCGTTTACGAAGATGTTTTAACATCTGAATACGATGGAGACGTAAAAATACCAGCCGGAACGATAGTTACCGTTTACTCCGTATCTAATGGAACAGCAGATATCTGCGTCACTTCAACTGGCGAATCTGCAGTTATTCCAACAAATTTCTTGGCCGGAAAGGTAATGAACCAAAGGAGACTCATGAAATGCATAAAGGAGACAAAGTGCAACGGATACAAGCTCAAAGAAGGAGCAATTGTCGTTGCAAGTAACGCGGAACCAGGATTCGCGTTATGCACAACCAGTACAAACATCAAGATCAAGGTACCGGTGAATAATCTTGCACCAGCATTTGATTGATTTTTGTATGATTTTGATATGATAATTATTTTATATTTCTCAGATTATAATTTTTTATGGTTTTTTGTTTAAAGAGAATCGTTTATCTGCATAAAGTGTTACTTTTTATAGCTTTGTGAAGAAATTTAAGTTCATATATTTACTCTTATCTCTCTATGTGTCATTCTAGTGACATTACCTCTGCATTTGCACAGAAATGACGCAATGCTTGTCAATCTTCTTCTGATTACCGAAGCTTGGGCGAAAAGAGAGTAATTTTCTCTCTTATCGCTTGTTATATGCCATTTCATGGGACATCTCATGCACAAATCCCACTGAATGATACAATATTCCACACTCATAACTTGTCACTCATTTTCAGTTGTGATATTCTTATAGAAATTGGTGTTTAAACTGTTAGCTAGTGGGAATAAGCAGATAAAATTATACGAAATGTTCATGATATGCCATTCTATGGATAATTTCTATGAGAGTACCCAGGAATGACACCCTATTCAGCGACAAAGTTCAACAATGACTTTTAATGTCATTCCATGGTATTTATACAGATAACTTCCTCTAGAATGACAAATAAAAATCAATAAAAATTTAATAATCTCTATCAACAATTTTATTCTGTATTTTGTTTCTCTATTCATCATCTTCATCAGATAATTTCTGATCAGCATCAATGAAAACGCCATCATTATCGTCTTCATCTTGCTCGTTAACAATCTTTTTATGTTCTTTGGAAATTTCCTTTGCACCAGCAGCAATAGCCTTTGTATGCTTGAGGAATTTCTTGGCATCAGCCTTTGCCTTTTCATTTTCATTAGAAACTGTGGTCTTGTTCTTATTACGCTCTTCTTCAAGTGCGTTTTCAAGATCTTTCCATTTGAAGCCATGTAAATATCTAAGTGTCATAATATCATCTTGCCAACGTCCCTTTAAATTGATTGGCTTGCCATTTAATTGTTCTTCGCATTGTTTTGCGTGAACTTTATATTCAAACTCAACCCAACCGCCTTCAAAAAGCCTACCCTTTCTATCACCCTTCTCAAGACGTTGTTTGTATCTCCACATTGGTTCGTTTTTAAGATACATTCTTTTTACTGGACCATATTGAGACATAATGTGGCGTAGCTTACCGGATTTCATGTGTGGTGGAATACGGGATATGTAAACAATGCCTGTTTTGCCTTCTGGTTTCTGTGCACTCATCAAAATCTTGTGAAAAGTGACAATTTTTAAAAGACTCAAACATCAATATCATAATTTCGAGTTATATTTGACATGCCATGCACTATCCTGTTATATATTTATACAGTTTGGAAACTATTTGCGCCATTGTTCTGGCACAATATGCTTACTATCTTCAATATTAACACCAAGATATATATTTAAAAGAGATAATATACTAAGAATTGTCTAAATTATATAAAATTGAGGTCCGTACATATATTTGCTTTAATTGACATGTTTTTTTCCCTTTCATATTCATATTAAATCCTTGAAGTAAATTCATGCCTAGCTACTTGTAATCACACACTCTATTTACTTCATATTTTAAGATTTTAATCGATTTATTACAAATCTCAAAATCAATATTGCCAAAAAAGGAAATTTATATATTATAAATATTGCATTCAATAAGTACATGACTATCCTAGGAGGAGCTACGTTAATATGATCATTAATAATGCATATTATTGACTCATCTATGAAATTTTATAATTCAAGTAAGATACACAGCATATTGAGCACAAAATATATTACAATATGCTTCATATATAATCATGGATTTGAAAGATAACCAATTGATGATTAGTATTGGGCAAATTCAAAATTTTACTGTAATATCACCCTTTTTGTTTCTGTTATAGAAGATTTGTATAATTCCTAAGTTGAGATGAGCCTACACCTCCTATTCATTAAATCGAAATTTCACTCTATCATCTTGGGACGATAGAAGTGTAAGGAGTTAATTTTCCGTTTTCATTCAATTTTTTTTTTCTGAGAGAAAAAAAAAGTTTCAAATGAGTGAAGAACCAGTCTTAGCTCAGCCATACCAAATCCAGTATGGAGCAATCACTCTCAATGTTGATCCTACTGTTGTTGAAAAATTCTCTGGCAAGTTCAAGCAGCTCTGGCACGAAAATCCAGAAAAACTTGTAATCGAAGAACTCAAGTACGATCCACGTGTATTTCTTACATTCATGTCAGCTGCTCAGGGTTTAGGCTATGCATGCCAGCCGTATTTAAGACAAGGCGTTCTTGAAATGGCAGAAAAATGGGAAGCACCAAAGATCGCCGAAAAGGCTCGTGAATCAATTGAAAACGAGCCACATATCGATCCAATTCAAGCAGTTACAGATTTGATTGATGCCGTACAGAACAAAGAAGATGATAATGATCCACTTGATGAAATCGAAGCAATTGGACATATTCTTGTCGAGGCACTCGAGGATGATCGTATGCTTGATTTACCAATGTATATCATCTATCGTTGCATTGATGCAGCTGAAGCTCTTGGTTTTGATCCAAAGGACCTCAAACCATTCGCTTTTAAGATCTTCAACCGCAACCCAGCTCAGGCTGTTCCTCTCATCCTTCGTATTGACTTTGATACTCTTACAGACGCTGAATACAGCCAGCTCTTCACAAAGCCAGAAATTCATGAGCAGAACATCAACTTCTTCGCTTCTGCTTCCATGAGCTCTATCAGCAAGAACGCTACAAGCAATATCAAGCTTATCCGCGAATCATTCAAGCGCTCTACACAGAACTCAGCTACAGCCATCGAGTCTGGCAAATTAAACCCAGGCAAGGACACAAAGTCCAACTTCAAGTCCGAGATCAATCTTAAACGTAAATACGACCTTGATCGCGCCCGTTCTACACTCAAGGAGCAGCAAGATACAATTGATGATCTCCTTAGTGTTCTCGAATGGCAGCAGAAGGCTCTCATCCAAGCCGTCAAAAGAGCTCATGCAGCTCCATCCAACGAGGAACTTCTCAAGACAGCACAGCAGAACTTGACAAGGACACTCGAAGAAGGCAAGATGAAGGCTTACTCCATGATCCAGGACGACGAAGCCTCAGAACGCGATGTTCTTAACGATATGCTCGCCGAAGCAAAGGAAAAGCTCGACCAGTGCATGAACGAATTACCACCATTACCAGCAGGTACCAAAGAACGCATCGATAACTACAGAAAGGAGTTTGATGAGACAGAATCTCATCTCAACCGCGTACAAGAGGAATTACAGGACGCACGTGGTCTCATGGCCGCCAAGATCGTCAGAGATAAGCTCAGACTCGATGAATTCCTCAGAAAGACCGAAAACAGGTTCAAGATTTTCGAACCAGGAGAAGATTGCCAGATGGATGTCGATCCAAAGGAAGTTGCAGATGCAGAAAAGAGAATCATAGAGCTCGAAGAGAAGCTTGAACAAGTTTGCCCAATCAAAGGAAAGAAACACAGATCTCACGGTGGAGCAGCACCAGCATCTCCAGCACCGAAACCAGCTGAGAAGAAACCTGTTGAAAATAAGCATGAATCTGTTGCTGAAGAATACGAACAAACTGATGACGAAACTACTGAGGAAGAAGAGGAAGTCTACGAGTACTCTCAGAATGAGTAAACAGTTGCTTATTATTTCTTATACATTTAACTTTTTTTCTTCATTTTTTTCAAAATATATCTCATTCTTACTTAATTCGACACAAATTCTTTAATATCTTGAGAATTTAGTTTATTACAATATGATTCATAATTGTTTCAGCCCAATTTTGCATATTTACTGAAATGAAATCTTTGCAATATATAATTATAGTGAAGTTTACTATATCATACATTCATATATATAGTCTTTTGGCTCTAGATATGATATTTTGATTTGACTTGCATTTGAAATATATGATAATGTATATTTGTAAAGAATAAAATGGCCAAATCTTGAGTATTCAGATAAAGATACATAGTTAATGGTCTCTGAATCTTAATTTTGAAAATACGAAATTATGAAATTATTCAAAAACATCAGATTTGCTATTAATTCCGATAGAAAAATTAGTATACATTATATTTATTATAATATTAATGAACAAAAAAACTTACAAAAGTTTTTTTTCGTATCAACGCGACCAAAAATAAATTTTAAATGACGCTCTTTTTATTACTTCGTACTATTAGTTCCGAAATTTATTTTGAGGAACGATTCAACACCGATGGATGGACAAAGAGATGGATTAAATCCGAAAAGCATCCTCCGGGCAAACCATTCGGTCGTTGGCAATTAACTGCCGGCTCTACACCCGGTGATCCAGCAAAACAGAGAGGTATCAAAACATTAGATGATTTTAGAAACTATGCTATATCCGCTCGTTTTCAGAAGTGCTGGACAGATAAAAATCGTCCATTAGTTGTCCAATATACACTTAAAATGGATAAGCCAATCATTTGTGGTGGTGCCTACATCAAGCTTATTCCTGATGGTCTTGATCAGCGCCGTTTCACAGGTGGTACACCATATTCTCTCATGTTCGGTCCCGATGTCTGTTTTGCCCACACAGATTTAATCCAATTTATCATCAGCCGTAACGGTACAAACTTTAAGATGCTACAGCACGTAGAACCGAAGAGAGATGGCCATACCCATCTTTATACTCTCTACCTCGGCACCAACGGATCATTTGACATCTGGCTCGATGGCCGCAACAAATACGAAGGCACCCTCAAAGAGGAATTTGAGTTCGAAGGACCGAAATACATCATGGATCCTTACGATAGGAAGCCAATTGATTGGGATGACAGGGAATGGATACAAGATCCAGATGACAAGAAGCCAGAAGGCTGGGATGACCGCCGCCGTATCCCAGATCCAAGTGTACAAAAGCCAGAAGATTGGGATGACGAAAGAGATGGAGAATGGGAGCCTCCTTTGATCAGAAATCCAAACTTTACAGCTGTATGGGAACCAAGGATGATTCCAAATCCAAATTACATGGGTACATGGCGTCCAAGAAAGATTCCAAATCCAGATTACACTCCGGACGAAGATTTCGGCAAATTCGACGACCTTTGCTACTTGGGACTTGATCTCCACCAGGATAACTCAGGCCAGCTCTTCGATAACTTCCTCGTTACAGATAATCTTACATACGCAGGTGAAGTGGCCGAAGTTGTCTTCTATCCGATCGTCCCGAAGGAGAACGAAGTCTACTTCAGATGGGGTGGCCACGACAGATGGGAAACACAGAGAAAGTGGGGTATCGAAGATTTCGGACGTTCAAAGGACTTCGGAGTCGATGCAAACGGAAACAGATTTGATGATCCTGACTCATTCTACAAGAATACACACAGAAAGTCTATCGCCGAAGAAAATCAACAGGCACAGGCTATTTCTGATAAGTCTTTCAACGAAAGAAATGATCTTTAAATGTTTAAAATTAGTAGTTAGTAATTCGGATTTAAACAAACTAAAAATATTAGATGAATTTGAGAATTATTATTTTTTTTAATTTCCACAGAAAATCTTTATCATATTTCTTTGTGTTTCAAGGTTATCAATAACAATTGTCATCTAGCAGAAACATGAATTTTTTCATGAGAATATTAACATTAATGAATGACTGTTATTTGTGTACATACTTATTCGGAGCTATACAGCCAATAGCGTTAAAAATTTATTCATAAAAATAAATGAAAGTTATAAATTCTGATGATACCAATGTTGATGCTAATCAAATTCTAGCTGAAATACCGAGATTTTGCTACAGAAATAACTTTCAAGCTATCGAAAACTCTACACTCAGCTGCGATAGTGGTTGGGGATGTTGTTTTCGATCTTCTCAAGGATTAGTATGTCAATATATACTAAGATTGCACAAAAATTTTCCAGACTTATATAATTCAACATTCGGTATAGACAAGAATCCTTTGGATTTATTTCTTGATATCCCAGAAGCACCTTTTGGAATCCAAAACATTGTTACACATGCAAATTCTTTAGGTTTACCAATTGGTAATTGGGCAAAACCATCAATAATTGCTTCTGCATATAAATCAATTTTTCAATCGCTGCATTTAAACTGTATTGTACCACAAGATTCCACATTTATATACGAAGAACTAGAATCTACAAATTATCCTGTTTTAATTTTAATTCCAGGATTGTTCGGATTGGAAAAGATCGAAAAACCATACATTTCATTCATCTTTCTTTCATTATGTATGAACTCTTCACTGGGCTTTGTTAGCGGACATAATGATTCAGCATTTTATTTTATTGGCTTCGATTCAGATTATTTTTATTATTTTGATCCACATGTCACAAAACAGGCATTAACAGGCCCACCATATGATTCTCTCTTTGAGTTAAAGCTCAAATCTATGAAAATAGAGAACATCAATCCTTCTGTTTTGCTTGGATTTTATTGTGACGATTCAATACAAGAACTTATTATGCAACTTATGGGTTGCATACAATCGCCTATAGCTGTTATAGAAAAATCAAAACTTGATGATATCCTTCAAGATGTCATTGAATTTGAATAGTATTGGTTATATTTTTGTACATTTGTTTGTAAATATTTCTATCTACATTATCAAATCCTTATCATTCTCAGTATCAAAAAATAATTTTTCAAAATTAGAATTATTTGATATAATTTATCGACAATTTTGAATTAAATAGTAAAAATGAAACCATTTATACTATTTATATTAAAATTTGCACTCTAGATATTCAAAAAACATTTTTCATGGAAAAGGCTCCAAAAATTCTTAATCTCGATCAGAAAATCACATATCCAAGTCCAAACCAAGAAGGAACTACAGCTATTGCTTCGATGCTGAAAAAACTTATTCGAGAAAAACAAGTAGAAATCAGAATTAACTCGACCAACAAATCTATTATTGGGAAGAAAGCAAAAATTGTTGTGGTTGCATCATGCATTAATCCACCATCACTTGTAGATCATATTTTGTTCATGTGCTCAAAGAAAAATATTCCAATTATTTGCTGCTCATTAGATCCAAGAGGTTTAGGGAAAGAAGTTGGAATGAAGTCACTTACTGTTTCAGCAATTAAAGATTCAGCCGATAAAAGTATAATTAATCTATTAATGCCTTTTACTCAATTCATTCCAGAATCATCATTCCCTCAGACATTTACTTAATCAAATTATTTTGATTTTATATCATTTTCCAATAATACGCAAAAAATCTCCTGGAGTTAATTTTCTTGACACCGATATCATGGAAAATTCATTGAAATATGCTTATTTTGTCAATAGACAGTATTGGCACTCGAAATCACTATTCAGGATGTTTTTTTTTTAGAATTCTCAATCTTATTTTAGACTAAAATATAAAATAATAATTTTGAAAAGTTGAGTAAATGATTTTTTTTAATAAGAAGATGATTGAGTTGATTGGCCAAATAGTTTTTAAGTAATCTTTTACTTTATCTGTTGCAACCATCAATGCGGTTTTGCAGGATTATCCTTTGTTTATTTATTAGCTCCAACTGAGGAAAGATATTGAACAATCTCACGATAACCAAATTCTTGATGCCCAATTAAGTGCAGTTTTCCCAGAATCATCTTTTGCTTCTTTATTAGCTCCAAGTGAGATAAGACATCGAACAGAGTCAATTGAATTATAATATGATGCCAAAATGAGTGGAGTAAATCCATTCACAATCTTTTCTTCTATATCAGCTCCAACTGAGACAAGATATTTTACAACTTCAACACGTTTGAATAGTAATGCTTTAATGAATGGATCATATCCATCCAAATTCTTTGCTTTTATACTAGCTCCAACGGATATGAGATATTTAACAACGTCAAGATGACCTCTTGTGATGCACACATGAGTGGAGTCCAATTTTGATGATCTTTTGCTTCTTTATTAGCTCCAAAGGAGATAAGATATTTAACAACGTCTAGATGATCTGATGCAAACATGAGTGGAGTCATACCAAATTTAGTCCTTGTTTCTTTATCACAACCACATTCGATAAGTGATTTAACAAGCTTAAGATTTCCGTTTAGACATGCAATATGAAGAACATTCCGTTCATCACATGTATTTTTTTTTAGAAATCTTTTTCCAAAGTCCTTCTTCGCATGATTTTGAAATCATTTCATGATTTCCTTTCGAAGAAAGTTCATCAAGGAAATTGTAAACAGCTTCAAAATCATTAGATCTCTTAAGTTCTTCAATTTTAGTTAAAATATCTCGTGAATGATTGTGACTTTCATTAGTTACATTGATAGTCGTCTCTTTTGTTGCATTTTCATTTTCATTTTGAAATGCTTTGGGTTTATCTTGAATTATATCTATTTCGTTCGTAGAATCGTTTATTTATTCCTAGTTCTGCTTTAAAAAATCAATAATACCATCAAATATATTGAATTTCATGTATCTTTTCAGAGACTTAAGAATTGAAACAACTTCTTCGAGATTTTGGATGGTAATATTTGCTTTTCGCGTACAGGCATATATATCTTTGGATTTGATGGTTGATGAAGATTGTTTGAGAAGAGCAATATACTCATCAGCTGTTAAATGCGAGTATTTCATTATTGTTTTGATAGATTCGATGTGGAATGTATCAAACAAGTTTTCGTTTTTAATATAATCACTTATATGAGCTCCGATGTATTCGAAATACATGACCTACTTTGTTTTCTAAAATCTGAAAATTTACATTCGAAAATTTCATTCCAAAATTTAGTGCTTTATTTAAATAGTGACCTAATCATTTGAGGAATTGCTGGAAAACGGTTCACAAGTCATAAAAAATTTGCCACCATACTCCTTAAATAAACTCATGGACATTTTCAGCCCAATATTAAACACTTATAACATTTGATTATAAAACATAATAGAAAAGGAAGTTAAAGTTTCCAAATGTTATAAAACACTTGAACATCAGAAGAGATTTCTACAATTCAAAGTTAGAATTAATTGCCTGTAACTATTTTCAAAATAACTCATGAAGAACTTTGAGTTTCTATCAAAAGGACATCTTTTACTCCAAAATTTTGATAAAATTTTTTCTATCGATATTTTTTTACAACAATCAAACTAAAAACATTGAATTTATTCTTCAATGAGCCTTACATCACAAGCAGTAATAATGCATGAGATGCAAGACTGGAAGTCAAAGTTTTCATTTATTACAATACCTGAGGTTCAAAACGCACCATATTCGAATTTTCGTTCATTAATTTCCGAAAACTCAGACATTATTGATATATCCAATATAATTGAAGCCGTTTCAATGAAATTAAGCATTGATGTCCTTAAAGACATTTCATTCAGTTTTCCTTCTGAAAAGAATAGAATTGCACAAACAGCAGCAGCTACAAGAACAACTTTAAGATTTTCACCTAGTAACGAAGTTTTAGCTAGTAAACCGAATGCTGCATATATTGCTAATCCTTCAACAATTCAAAAAACATTACCACAAAAGTATAACAAATCTAAACTAAATAATAGAAAGATCATTATAAAGTAACTATTTGTGGTGATGATCAATCATTTATCTCTATGAATCAACAAAATTTTTGAAAAAATTATACCAAATATTTTGTTTGACATTATATAATGATCGATGGGTTGTATAAGGTTCATCTACTTAAATTCATCAACTGCTGCTGCGCCATTTAGTTGATTATAAGATATTTCATTCAAATAACTGAATTTACTCATCAGATTGCAGCCTTAGATTACAAAACATTTGATATGAAGTTCGATGCATTTGAACTTCCACAAATAAAATCCAGATAATCATTGTTACATTTAAAAACATGATTATATCATAGTTCATAGTTGCAAAGTCCTAGGAACATAGCCTATAATTCAAAACATTATTTATTTTTGAATTACTGCATTCTCTTTAAGAAAATAATTTCAATAAACTAACATTTATTAAATTCTATTAAATATTTTGATTCTATCACTGAGATCTACCGCCATATCTTGTAAATAAATAATAAGAAATCTAAAAAATAATTTATTTATTATAAATAACAAATTAATCACTAAAATCTTTATTGGTTGTCGAAGATATATCTTCCAGCTCTTGTCTGATACTTTATTACCTTGTTACACTTGACATTATTAATCGGATCAATTTCTTCAATCTTAAAACCAGAAATTGAAGTATCTTCAAGTTTGAAATCAACAAAAATAGGAATTTCACAAGAATTCTTGTTGATTCCTTCATCAATTGAACAGCTACCGCTTAAAGATAAAATTTCTTTTTGATCAGTAGCTTCAAGTGACCAAATCAACATATTTTGTCCTTTTAGATATTTCATGGATCCAGTACCAGCTGCACATGATGGTTGATGGAATCCTTTTGGTAAATTGAAAGAAATCTGAATGTTCTTAATACTACTGATATAATTTGGTGCAAGTCTAATCGAAATATCAAAAATAACGCTTACTTTTGAAAAAGAAAACTTTGGTATTACGAAAACTGGTAAATTCGTGATATTAGCCTTGCAAGTGTAAGACATTAGCGTAAACTGACCATCTGGAGGTATAAATTGCATTTTCCTTGATAAATGTAATGATGGATCAATACATCTGTGAAAAGAATAATCTTCCAACTTAGAAGGAAGTAAATAAACAAAATTAACGTTTGAAGGGTCATATAACCGAGAGAACATATTGACTTTTCCTGCTACAACTAGGTTTTCGGACTTTCCTTCTGAATTAATTCGAGAATGAATTTCTTCATCAACAGTAATTTCGATATATTGAGCAGATTTAACAGGCGATGATGTTCTCCAAGGAGATTGCATCTCAAAACCAATCGTATCTTTTGTTGTATCGTTGAATGAAGAACATAAAAGATTAAATTCATCGATAAATGGATATCCAGCATCAATGAACTGATCTAAAAGGACGTATGCAATCGGATAATCGACTTTCATTGTATCAACTGATAATTCTGACTTAAGAGATCTTTCTAACATTTTTTCAAACTCAATAACAAGCGATGATAGTGCAATAGTTGATGTACCTTCGTATGCTATGCCTATAAAATACATTTTTTTAATATAGTAAGATGCGAAAACTAATCCGAATTGTGAGATAATTGGTGAAATCTTTTGTTGTGCTCTGATTAATTTACATATCGGGTCAACATCCTGCCGAGAAAGAGTCTTTGTATAGTATCTCTCGACCAAAATTTCCCCAATTTCATCAGTGACTATTACTCCACTCAGCATAAGTAATATTTTTGACAATAATTTGACAAAATGTCAGAATTTTTTAAGACGTCAAAATTATATAATATATCTTCACATTCATACAAAATAAGATGCACATACATTTCTTTAGCATTTTCCTTTTATCATGGATAGTTCCAATTCATACATACGAATCTGAATTAATTTCCTAAAAATGAAAGCTTCCTGATCTTAACAATTATAGAAAATGATCAGGTGTGACAAGCAATATTAATACACATCGTAATTGCATTTCGATATAGATCTACATAAAATAAATTAAAAATGGTAGCATTTTATATTTAAAAACAAAAAGTGCATAAATCCATAAATATAAACAAACACATTAGAAACATCAAAAAGCAAAAAAATAAAAAACGTTTTTTATAAATTTCTTAATAATGAAACTTTTTACATAGGGACGGTCGGATAAGAGTACATGAATTTAATTCTTTAGTGCACGACTGTCCTGACAAACAACGCATGGCATGCAAAATGTTGTGCAAAGGCAATCCATGCAGTCATTGTCATTTTGACCAACTTTTCTCATAACATTCTTGCGTACCCAATAAGGATGAACAACCATAAGGAGATGACATAATGTGCATTCTTCACCACGAGATCTAGCCCAGTTGCAAGAATTCAAGCATGGGAAACAGAAAAGGCCAAGTAAACAAATCTGGCAATCTTGGAAGCATCCAAACATACCACCTGAATAGTTGTACATCGTTTGATAACTGACACTTTTTAAAGAAATCTGAAATTTCTCAGAATTTGGATATTTTATGTAAGCATATTCGTTTTTTTGCTTCTATCAATTTTCCTCTTTATTTTGATGGAATATTTCACTTCCGTTTTTCTGTAAATTATGTTGGCATGCTTAAATTACTAAACATCGATTATATTATGGTTGTAAGGGTCCTAAGTGTCACATAGATGGTTTGAAAGTTTCCAAATAACTTTAATTATGCTGAAACTTACTTATGTAGAATATTCTGTGTTAAATTGTATTGTCGCTAGACATATAAACGAGCTTGTATAAAACGAATGCGAATATTGATAAAGTATCCCACCAAAATGATACCCTTTCCCATGGTAAGGTAATTAGATCATAAGGACCAAATACAAAGCAACTTAGTCGTATTTCATTTACAGCAATATCAGAAGGTACATAAAGATATATCTTGTATGTGTATATATCCAGATTTTGTCAATTGAATTTAAGGAATTCAAAAGCCGTGTCTTTAATCCTTATGAAATGTTAGAAGTTGATAAACACAGGCTTATTGAAGGAATTATTTTATATATGCTATAAAAATTCTAAACAAGGCAATTCATTTTTGAAAACTTTATTTCAAATAAAAATAAAATAATGGATGTCTAGAAACTTAGCATGTATTGAAGGATATTTAAGAATTTTAACTTACAATTTACATGCTAAATTACATACGTTATTGCTGTGTATTAAAATTCTGTTCTCCTATTTTTATGGGGAAATAGTAGCAATGATCATTTCTACCATTTTCGCAAACCCTAGTTTTGTATTTAATGACTTGATTCAATTTTAAGTAATTTTTTTGTTAGTAACTGACAAACATACGTAGAATAGTGTGATCGTCGAAACTTTGTCAGTACCTACTCTGACTATGACTGTGCTCATAACACTTATGCTTGTCCAAAAATATTGCCGCGATATGGAGAAAAAGTGATTTTATTAAAAAATTTACAACTATTCAAACCTACCCCCTTAATCAACAAAGTTTGTCAAGCAAAATTCTGCGTCCAAAACATTGTATATCATTTTGTAAACATTTTCTGTTACTTTGATTTTTCCTTACCAAGATTTTATCAAAAGCTTGTGTCAAAAATTTTTTTGAAATAAACCGGCAAAGGTTTCAAACAATATAATAAAACCATTATTAAATTTTTAAATATGTACTAAAAATAAAAGTTTCTTTTTATTATCTCAAAACAATCACCTTGTGAATTTAATTAATAAAATCATCCTATTAACTTGACAAAGCATGATTATTATATTGCAATGATTAATTTATATTCTTATTGAATTTTTTCTGAATAAAAGCAATAACGTTTATGATTTATTATTACTATTGTTAATTTGACAATGAATGCAAAATTAAATCGATATTATTGAGAAACCGATGGTTATTGAAATTACTCTCAATTCCCGGTAAAACGTCAAATTCATTATCATGTCGACTCCTCCTTTCTCTAATTATTGGCCAAACCAAGAAGCTACAGCATCAACAACCGTTCCTGGTGATGGTCGATATATTAATACAGAACAAGGCAATTTCTATATTTATGGAGCAGAATTCAAAGACTTGAATGGAAATGGACAAGATGGTAGAGCCCTTTATATACACCATAATACCGGATATGTTGCACTCGTTCTCTGCTACTTTAACAACATTAATTCTAATAAAAAAGCCGGTGCAATCAGATTAGATGAAACAAATTGTGTCATTGACAGCACAGTCGCAAATAAATGCTACACTACAAATACTGATGAAGCAAATTTCCAAAACCAAGGCCAGTTCGTTTATGCAGATGGAAATGGAATTTCCAAATTCACAAAGACTTCAATTACCGAATGCGCTCCATCTGATGTTGCATTTAGTGGTAATTGCCAACGCCCGCTTGCTCTTACTGGTACAGTCTATTTTAATACAGTGAACATTTCCCAGTGCTATACCACGTGGTGTTCAGGATTTTATACGTCAGGAACAATAAGTGAAGCAAAGTATATCAATGTTGAGGGCACAAGCTCTAATATGGTTGCAATTGAACTTGCTTCAGCAGGCACTCCTGCTTTCGAATACACGTTTTTCAAAGATTACTCAGAATCATGTGCCACAACAAACAATGGCGACTGTGGTCTGGCTCTTTTATATTTCTATAGTACCCAGGCTACATTCAATTACATTTCTATCCAGTCACCTAAAGCTCCTGCAGAACAATATTTGATTTTCAAGGCAAAAGATGAAGCTGCTACATGCACTTTCAACAATTACGTCCTTTTCGAAGGCGCCAAGACTGATGGTATTACTCTTTCAGGAACCACAGATACATTTGCAAACACAGATCAATACATTACAGAGGAAAAGAGACAGGCGATTCTTAACCCAAGCAACCCAGACCCAGGCAATGAAACAGTTGATCCAGGCAATGAAACAGTAGATCCAGGCAATGAAACAGTAGATCCAGGCAATGAAACAGTAGATCCAGGCAATGAAACAGTAGATCCAGGCAATGAAACAGTAGATCCAGGCAATGAAACAGTAGATCCAGGCAATGAAACAGTAGATCCAGGCAATGAAACAGTAGATCCAGGCAATGAAACAGTAGATCCAGGCAATGAAACAGTTGACCCAGGCAATGAAACAGTTGATCCAGGCAATGAAACAGTAAACCCAGGCAATGAAACAGTAAACCCAGATCCAGAGAATCCACAACCAGAACAGCCTGAGACACCAGTACAAACACCAGCACCAACAAATTCCAGCTCTCCAGAAGAGAAACCTGTTCCAAACAAAGCAGACAACCAAGAGAATAAGATCGCAAGAATGGAAAAGAAGAATTTCTATATCATGATAGGTGTTATTATCGCTGCTGTGCTGATAATTATCATTATAGTTATAGTTGTTGTTGTAAGACTGAAGAAACAACCACATGACGTTACAAGTAGTAGCAGTGAATCCGAAGTTCATGCAGCCGACATAGCTACAATTTCTGCACCAGATACAAACTTCCCAACAGAAACTGCACAAACCAATGTCACATAGACTACAAATAACCAATATGAAACAGACCCATTCAAGCCAGAATTTGAAAAGTCTGAGTCCACAAGCGACATAATAGAGAGCAATGTTCTCTAAATTTCATATTGCTTTTAAAGTCAAAAGCAATCTTTTCCTTACGTGAATTTTTTTAAAAATTCATTTTATTAATTTTATTAATGTTTTTGCGATAATAACAGTCATAATGTTGTAAACAGAAATTGATTAAAAGTGACACCTCAGAAAAGCTAAAATATTGAATTTTTGGAACTTTTGATAGAGCACGTTTTTAAATATTAATTAAAGTAAATGTATATTTTGTAAAGATTCTTTTTAATAAAAAAATAAAATTTTGAAGAAGAACACAAAATCTTCTGAAAAATAATATCACATAAACTCATATTATTTTCTAATATCTAACTATTTTATATAAAAATCAAATTCAATGATCTTAAAAGCGAAGGATAAACCTCAAAATTTACGAATATAATGAGTGGGAATATAATGCTTATCTATCATAAAACCATATGAAATATCAATTTTTGCTTTACGCCTAATTTTTGACGACAATTAGCAAAAAATGTTAAATGTTAACACTCAGTCCATTTGAATATGAAAAATAAAATTGACTTTGATTAAATGTTTTTATTTATCATGCAATTCTTCTTGCGACCAAAGATTTGAATAAAAGTTCAAAAAATAAGATAGCTTAAAAAATAATATACGGTAGTGTTTACTAATAGATGAATAGTATATAAATTCTATTAAAATGGATTTGATCCAAAAAAATATAAAATCAAAAATAATTGTTATAATTTAAGGGTGCACCCGTATGTACGTTTATTTGAGAGGAGGAGGATTACCCTCTCAATTTTGAGGGATTCGTTAGTTTATTTTCTCGATGAATATGCAATAAAATTTGATTTTTACCTTATCAATATACTTCATATAATATACACATGTTCATGTAAAAACTTTTTCCCAAAATCCTCAGGAATTAAGGAATTTTTGAATTTTAAGAATTTTTTTCGAATTTTTTCGAAAAAAAAATATTTTCAGAACAGCCTTAACGGCTAAGATTTAGGAACAATGTTAAGTATCAAAAAGAAAGGAGGTCTGATATAGACAACATATATCGTTGAAGGTTGAAAAAATCTCTAATATTTGAGCCCAAAATTTCAAATTTTAATTTTTTGAAAAAAGAGGCCACCCGTATGTACGTTTATTTGAGAGGAGGAGGAGGATTATATTTTTGAAAGGGTGAAACATTATGAATATGTTAATTATATAATAATATGTATTATTATAAAAAAGAAAAAATAAAGCACGTTAAAATTTTTCTTTCTTGATTTTTTACAAAATCTACTTAGAATTATGCAAAATATGACTAAATAATTATAAATTTCAAGTTAAATTTTAATTTTGATAAATAATTTAAATTTCAAAATATCAAGTTCAGTTCGACTATGTATGTAGTAATTCCTCAATAAAGTGCCAAAACCCTATTAAAATATATGAACATTTTCAACATTTTAATGTTTTTATTTAAAAATTTGATGGAATATGAGCTTCAAACAATTATTATGTAAATAAAAATAATTAAATATATGCATTTATTCGTATTACAACCGTAGTAAGTCGATTCTTCCTTTCTTCTACTGAGTTTTGAATTTGATTTCGAATTGTATAGAGATTCAAAGGGAAAATACTAGCGGATAAAAACTACCTCCATGAAAGGGTCATAATGGAGTCAAGTTGTATTTTTTGATATTTTTTGCTTTTCGAGCCTAAATAGGTAGCCAAGATAATGCCTAAAAATAAGGTTCTAAATTCTGAAGTTTACATGATCCTCTCGTGTGCACCCTTAAATGAAGAAGTAATTTAAAACGATTTTATTTATGATCAAATTTATATATTTTTTTGGATCAAATCCATTTTAATAGAATTTATATACTATTCATCTATTAGTAAACACTACCGTATATTATTTTTTAAGCTATCTTATTTTTTGAACTTTTATTCAAATCTTTGGTCGCAAGAAGAATTGCATGATAAATAAAAACATTTAATCAAAGTCAATTTTATTTTTCATATTCAAATGGACTGAGTGTTAACATTTAACATTTTTTGCTAATTGTCGTCAAAAATTAGGCGTAAAGCAAAAATTGATATTTCATATGGTTTTATGATAGATAAGCATTATATTCCCACTCATTATATTCGTAAATTTTGAGGTTTATCCTTCGCTTTTAAGATCATTGAATTTGATTTTTATATAAAATAGTTATATATTAGAAAATAATATGAGTTTATGTGATATTATTTTTCAGAAGATTTCATTCTATATGCCTATGAAAAGTACTCTCAAAACTAACTTTTTCCTAATTATAATTAAATCTAGAATATTGTATTATGCTTAGTATTATTTCATTTTTCTCATTCAATTTAGAATTTACAGATGTCAAAAAATTGAGAGCTGTCACTTTTGATGAATTTCTGTTTATTACATGGTATTAAACAGTTTTATGCTTCATATAAACTCCTTATTATCTAAATGGCCATAACTTGTGCTAACAATGATCAAGATTCAGCTGTTTATGATAAATTTAGACATTTTCGAGTTAAAATTTCGTTATCATAGCTTAATTATTTCTTTTTAATAAGATAAAGGCAGGTATGAATGCAAAATATACTAGGCAGAATCATATGATTAGATCATTCAATAATACCACATTGTTCTAGATATCGTTTTAAGATTTGGCCTTGAAAATACATATAAGATAGAGAATATAACTACATATCAATATGAGTATCTTATCCAACGCATTAGAGTTGATACTATGAGGGATAATTTTCCAACATTTTATGAAAATGTTCAAATGTGGCTAAATCATAAATTTTTATAATGTACTGATGTATTATAATACATGTTTAACAGTATTTTTGAAAAAGATAAATTTTCTTCAAAAACCGCCACAGCTCGTTTATTTCCTATGGCACCAAAATATACAGAGGAGACTGAAGCTAAGCTTAATAAGTCCCTCGACGAGGTTGGCAGAAAGGACCGCAAGGAAAAGAAAGATAAACAACAGAAGAAGGATAAAAAGGATAGAAAAGAACAACCAAAGAAGGACAAATTAAAGGAAAAGAAAATTTCAAAGAAGGTTGTTATCTCTGGTTCAACAATGAGAAAGCTTTTCTCTGCTGCAGGAAAAACAAATGATATTGACGAATTTCCAAGTATCAACGTTACTTTGTCCATTAAGAAGAAATAAATATTCATTTACATATTATATTACGATTTTTAGACCTTATAAATAAAACTCACTATTACATTTAATCAAAACAAAAAATTTCGATTAAGTGAAGTGATCAATTTTTCTTACCTTTTATATACTAAGTCTATCTCTACCAGTTACGCACTATTGCAAAGATCTTGGCTGGGTAAATTCAATATGAATTTATTTCAGCATTAAATAATTGAAAAACCATAAGCATATCTAGATCTTGATACTTATATTTTTCGAAAAAACATAATATACAATATTTACAAGTCATAATCAAAATGGCTTGAATTTATTGCATTTTTTTTTCTTTTTTTTATGCCAACACATTATGCTCTGAATTTATCACTTGTTGGAAGGAAATTTAATGGCTAACAGTTTGACTTCCTTTCATGTGAATTTTCAGCGCTATACATTACTCGTAAAAAAATTCAGTGTTTTTTGACTTTTATTTTTGTTTTTAATTTCTACTTGGTAAATACAACAATTTTAAGATCTGAAACAGTTGAAAGATAGATAATGATGTATATATATGCTAAGGCCATGTTTCTTCAAAAAATATTCATCACATCATAGTGAAAAAGTGCATTTAAGAGATGAAATTCTGAAGTTTACAAAATCTTGTAAAACGACTGTTTCTCACTCAATATGTGATATTGTCGAATTTTTCTATAACATAAATTTATAATATTCCTTTTGATATAGTTTTAGAATCTTCACTAAAACAAATGGAGAAGTCATTAAATGTTGCATATCTACTACGTGCTTTTTCAAAATTACTTTTTGCATTTTTCGTTAAGCTGCAGAAGTTATAAAACTTTATCGTATGCTTCATTAATCAAATGATTAGGTAACGATTAATTGCTTGAACAGTGTTAAATAATGTAACTTCTTTTTTCTAAATTCATGTTCCACCGTCATTATGTACTTCAAATCACTGATGCCATCAAACTATGCTCTGGGCAAGTTTATCGTCAATGTTTACATTTTTGTTTTCATTCATGATAGTCTTTATTTCTTCGTTCTTCTGTTCAACTCTTACCTTAATATTCAAATCATTTAATATATCGTTTACGTTCTAGTTAATGTTGAATCATAACTTCACGAATGAATGAGTATGTATTGATTGGTTTTTGCATTCTTTCGAACTCTTGAATCAGCCATAATACTACAAGAAACGCTTTGAATCATCAATAGAAGTCATGATATCAACATCAATAATCATTTGCAGAATAGCATTTAATCATTCTGTTCGAAACTGCATAGAAGAAATTATGTTGCAATTTAAATGTGAAAGACCTCCTGAAAGCGGTTTTAACGATAACATCTTTATCGAAAGTTTTTGATAAAATATCTTTTCTCAACTGTTTCTTTAAGTTCATCATTGTACGATTTATTGATATCAACATCTATAATGTTAATTTGATATTTTATTTGCTAATAAAGCTGTACAGTTTTCCTTCCTCTTCCTCCATCATGTTTGAGGTAGTTATGTAAATCAATCTTGTTTTTCACCAATTCTTTCGTTGAGGGTTTTAGTTTCTGCCACAATAATTCCTCAGCTAATGAATCAATAACTTTTTCATTCAGAAAACGATAAAGTTACTGTTGTGTTTGTTGCTGTCATTTATATAGGAATAAAAAAAATAAAATAGTTTTTAAAACTAACTTTATTTTTGGACTGCATCATATTTCCAGGACTGTTGTCGAAATGTCATGTTGTCTTCATTTTTTCAGAGAAGTTAATTAACTGGTGACACATGGTGACATAGTGACACCCTCAGTGTCTTCAAAATAATTAATTATTGAATAACCTGAACCATTAACGTAAACATTAACGTAAACATATTATTTCCAGGACTGTTTGTCGAAATGTCATGTTGTCTCATTTTTTCAAGAAGTTAATTAACCTGGTGACACATGGTGACATAGTGACACCTCAGTTTCTTCAAAAATAATTAATTATTGAATACCTGAAACATTAACGTAACATTTAACGTAAAATTGTATTTCTGCAGTTCATCATTATTCATTACTAATTAATTACAGACATAAATATATTTAGTTCATTCGGTAAGCCTTGACCCAAGGTCTGGGTCAATTCGCGTTCAATGAATCGGTACCATGGAATATAGTCACAAATGGTGGCATATAATCTTTACCAAGCCTGTTGGATTTGTTGTGAAAGTATATGGACATGATTTCCCCCGGTTCAGTTTGTCGAAAAGTCTTTTTTGCTGCATTGTTATAAGATGGAGATAAAACGTCATTGCAGCTTCATACTCTGAGTTGTATAATGGGTGGTCTCTTAATGAGATGGCTATGGTCGCCAGAAAGTTTGTAGTTCCTGTATGAGTGTGTGGGGGTAAGTTTGCTTCTTTAATTTTCTTCGAACTCCTGTTTGCTTTGAATATCTAGCACAGTATAAGAATTTATCTACAAATCTGCTTCCACGTACCAAACTAAAATGTTGCGGGATTTGTTGAGTTCATTGCGTATATAATAGAACCAACAGGATATAATGTTTGAGTATTTCATTTTTCATGCTTGTAATCACATCATTTACTTCCGACTTCTTTGCATAATTTTCATCAACATATGTTTTATTGCTTTAAGTCTAAAACATCCTGAAACCCATTCTGTATCAGCTTTAACTTTAAAAGTCTCCAATGTCCATTCATGATACCATTCAACTCTTTCTTTAATTTCATTATCTTTTTCATCAACATAAACCAAATTTGCTTTCTTATTTAATTCACTATCCACATATTCCTTATCCACCTTCTTCATTATGTCGTTTAGGAAACCTTCTATGAATTCCTCATTTAAATTAAATCTTCCAATCTTCAAAACTTTAGGAAATGCATTTAATGCATAATATCTCTGTTCTTCTGGTGGAATTGATGTTATATCATCCGTTATACCTTTAATTTTAGAATTCATAAATAAATTTCTTTTATATTTGATATCACTGCACACTTTGCAAACGAATTCGAAATGTCATTTTTCAATACTATCTCCAAATCTCCATATTTCAACCTTGCGTTTGTTCTGCCGTCTTTGAATTATATGCATATTATGGCGTATGTAATGGTCTGAAGGACCGGGCGTTTTGCGCCTTAAGTTGCTGTTGTTTAATCATTTATTACGATTTAAAAATAAATATTTAATCCGTTATTCATCAGCTTATTTTCTATTTGAAATTGCCATAATATTTCATTCATAAATTCTAAATCACAATCAAATAGGTCAGTTATTCTAAATTTAATATTTGATAAATCTTTTGAATGAAGAATAAATGAATTCCCGGATAATTGAAACGGATATGATAAAGAAAATGTGTTTAAGTTGTGGATAAAATGTTTTGTATGATGGGTAAGAGTTAGGGTCTAATGTTTGATGTGAAAATCTCATTGGGGTATTAACTTTATCACATTGATAAAATGAAATTGGAACCAGTGTCAGAATACAAAACATCCCCAACATCTTTTTCAAAATTTAATATCCCAACAATGAACGAAGATGAGGAGTACAAAATTTAATTTTCAGCGGAAATTTAATAAGGTATTTA